ACTATGATTACATTTGTTATAAACTCAGAACTTTTTAAAAAAGCCAGCTGAGGAAGTAAAGGGATATAAGAAAGTCTAAGTTGAGCAAAAAAAAAAAGTACTGCTAATAAAAAATCAAGGAACAGGTAAACAACACAATAAAACTTTAATCAAACTTTTTTTTAGATCAAATGTTCCACTTAGCAGAGGTAGATAATCCAGGTCCAGAAAGTAACAACCCTGCCTTGTTTTCCATCATCCTCTTCACTTAACCAGGTGATTAACCCCTCAGGTGATTAGTCTGTATTGTAGAGCTGGAAATGCAAATGGTTGGAACTGATTTTAATTTCTGGACCTGGATTATCCATCCAAGCAACACTGATTGGTGGAGGAGGCCCTGTGAAGGCAGCAACCCAGCAGCAGGACTGCAACCTCCGCCTTCGTGCAAAGAACATGAGGAGCACTGCCTAATGCTGTCCACTTTTAGGTAGAATTGAACAAGTTAGCTGTGATGTTTTTCAGCTTCCTTGTATTTGGTTAGCACTCAACCACATTAAAAGCAGTAGCCTGACTAAGATGGGGGAATGATTTCCGTTCAGTAATTCTTTTAAGAGCTTTTGTGCTTCAAAAGGATTTATTTTAACAAAGAGAACAACTGATGCTGTTTTCCCTTTACACCAACATCTTCTACACCAAAGGCCTGACCTTCTGCATGTCTTAAAATGGGTGATACTGTGTTTTTACACATGGGTGGGGGGGTATTCATTTTCCAATACTTTACTTTAATTGATCATTTTACCTTTTCTTTTGATGGTAGCACTTAGAGATATTCAACCTATTTAAAATGCTATAAAAATATTATAATTATTATTTTTCAAATAACTTTTATAATTTTTACCTCAGACTACATGGCTTAGAACCTCATCCGTCTTTTATGACCACTACTGAGTTATTACAGGCAATTGGCTTCATAGCTGTCAAGTCTCCTATTTTGGCCAGAAAAGTACCATATTTTTTAGGGATGCACGATATTGGGATTTTGGCCGATATGCCGATATTTTAAAACTCATGTAGCCGATAACCGATATCGATACCGACGTTAAAGCTGGACAAAAATAGTCATTGAAAATAGCAGTTTTGTTATCCATTTCTGACACTTTGAAAAATAATATACTCAAATATATTTTCATATGCTGATATCAAATAGATTTTTAAAAACGCGGTATCGATCTATTTTACTTTCAAAATCTCGTGAAATTTCATCGTTCTGTTACAAACTCTCGTGATATTTTGCAAATTCTTGTGAGATTTTGTTAGTAAAATAGATTGATATCGTGTCAACATATCAACATATAAAAATATGGCAAAATTTCGTGAATTTTCGGGAGATTTCGTAGCATAACGATGACATATAGCAATATTTCATTAGTAAAAGAGATTGATATGGTGTTTTTAAATGGCAATATATCAGCATATGAAGATATTGTGATATTTTAATGTATCAATATTTTTTCCCTCGTCTTTAGAAGTTTTTAAGTCTGTAAAAAATAAGTTTTTGAGGAAGAGGAAGAAGTAGTATTTTATTTTATTTTTTTAGACTTTAGAAACTCAGAAGCTGATCAAATATCGGGTTAAATATCGGTGGGATGGCCGATGTCCGATATTCACCACGGTGACAGTAAATACAACATATATATTCTGGGTAAATCTGTATCTGCTAGGAGGAGAGATCCAACGGTTTGGCCTTGGAATTCCTTGCCCCTGATGTTGTGCCGGCTGCTGTTCAGTAAATGTTGGACTAATTGAAATCACTTCCAGCCTGCATGCAGGAGGAGGTGAAGCAAACTTGGCCATTGGAAAGTTGCCCGACTCATTTAGATGTTCTGTTAGTATTTAGGCGTGCATGCTTATTTGTAGACGAATGCTTACAGAGATTACAAATAAATAGTTCATAATGCCCTTGTGATAGATGAGGTCGCTTTTGACTGTTTATGTCTTCTTCTCTTGTATCAACAGCTAGCTCCACAGCCAGATTAAGAAAACAGGATGTAACACAGGACTTGATTTTGTTTTAGTTGTGATCATCACTTTATGTTTTTGTTGTTGTTTTGTCAGACATTCTTTCATGTTTAGTTCATTTGTTACCAATGTCAACCATTCTAACTTGCTGAAAACATTCATCCTCTTCTTACAGGGAGCTATAAAATACAAAGCTGCCAAAGTGCATTTAATTTACTAAATTACAATCCTGTTTTTAATTCTAAAAATACAGGGGGTTCTTTTTTATTCATGTTGATACCTCTGGAATAAAGTAACACCCCTTTGATTTTTTCAATTTGATCTGTTTAAAATGGCTCTTAAATTTATTTAATTGAGATTAAAGTTAATAGGTCTGTTAAGGGCAAGGATAAGGGAAAGGATAGCATTTAGCAGAAATGTGGAAAATCTGTTTATTTAATTGAGAAGTTGACAAAAAGAAAAAGTTAGGATTAGAAAAAAATGTCTGCCTAAGTTTCCCAACAAGGGCAATAGGGTTAACAGAAACAATAGAGATAGAATGAAGCAGAATGATGAAATAGGGGTCCCTTTGTCCTCCAGCAGTCTAAGCCTATAGCAGCATAACTATAGAGATAGCTCAGGATAACCTGAGTTCCCTAAGTTCACATTCAGAAAGAAAGTTTATCCAAACCAATTTAAGGAAACTGTGTTAAAACCACTGAACTTGGGTTTAGATTTCCTCCCAAACTTTTGGTGTATTTTTTGCCCCGTGTTTGACAGAACTAATGTTAAAAATATAATGAAGTAAACACAGAACAGTGTTTAAACATGCCAGCAAACAGCAGCCAAGGATTCTTTATGAAAAAACTTTAAATGAGTGTAAATTCAAACTTTTAATTGACTTAATTTTGAAATAAAAGAATTTAACAAAAAGAACTGTAAATATTGGTCTGAATAAAGCATCCTCCAATTATCAGTTCTCTGATGTGCAGAAGGGTGCACATTACTTTTTAAAGTAATGCCATTGAGACATAAACGAAAAGTCTTGAAGCTTTACCTGTTATTACTTGTTATTATTTTTTTGTATTCAGTCTCAACTGTGGGATGCTAATTAAAACAACACCACGCTTTCCTCATTTTTTATTTATAATGTTTTTCTCCTTCTTTACAGTTATAAAATGATGTTGAATACAAATACAATGACATTTATGCAGGGTATCATCAACTTTAACCTCTTGGACACTAGGCCTGTTTTTGAATTGAATATACCTCAAGAACTACAGAGTTTATTTTAATTGTTTTGGTATCAAAATAAAGGCAAGACTCCAGAGAATATGTTACAGGTCTAAAAACCATCTTGGGGCGAGTGCTGAGGACCCAAATTTGGGTCCTCATGTTATGAAAAGGTTAAATAATTATGGAATAGTTTAAATATAAGAGTTATGATATTGAATTCAGGTAATTTAACTTCTTCTTGTCATATGTCTGAGGTCTTCCTTATCATCGTGATGTTTGCTGAGAGAGCTTCATATTTGTGAACATTTGTCGCTGTTTGGTGTGGTGTTATTTGGAAAGCTTATAAATGCTGTCTCAAACAAAAGAATGTAGACAAGCAGTAAAAATGTCAAGCCTCAATTGTCTTCGTATGTCACAGTTGAAGGTTATTACCTCGGGAGAGTTTAAAGAGATTTATTTCAGCTCATGCTGTGTTGAGGTCATGGGTTTTTACCGGGTTTTCCACACTGGTGGTGCTGAAGAGAGAGGCTGTGGTTTGGGGCGTTAAAGCCAAAACAGTCTAAAGAATCATTAGAACAACCATGGGAACCTCTCCCTGAATGAATGAGCTCTCAACTTTTCCATCTCCAAAAAGGTTTGGCTCCAAATCCATGTTTTGTTCAGAGCAGCCAGGCTCATTTCTCTGCTAGCGTTTAAAAGCAGTTCTGATTGCCACAAAAGTTTTTCTACAGCACCTCAATACTTCCAAGCAATATCAATAATTGACATCTTTGGGTGCATGCATATTTCTTGTCTATTTCACAATCTGAGGAGCGCTTTTCAAGAATAAATGTTAGAACGCAGCAGTCCCTACAGACTCCTCGCTGTTTATGTTGCCTGTAAAGTTCTACTTTGAAAGCATGATTAGAGGGAAAACGTCAAAACATTATAGCCCAACATCAAATGCAGCATTCGACCAACAGCCAGATTTCCCATGCGACCTGCAGACAGATTTGGAGGCTGTTTAAAAACCGTATCCTTCCTCAACAGTCAGGGATCCTCGGTTATTGCCCTCTTTTCAACAAGGGAACCCTTGTTTTCCAGTGTTTCACTCCGCTTGCATGTGCAGAACTGCTCTGCTGGTTTTTTTTTTTTTTTGCAGACCATCATCAGCCTCATTCTTCATCACAGCTGCAGAGGCTGAAGTCACCTAGCTTGCCTTGAGAGAGATCTTAGAAGCTCATTAACAAATAAAAGACAAAAGAAAACAGTAGTAGGTAGAAATAAGAGCAGATCATAACTTTTTGTTGAGGTAATAATACAGTTTTCTAAAAACTAGAAGAAGATCGCTATCAGGACTGCACAGGGATGTAGGTTTTGAAATTGTTGCCCTGCAGAAAAATAGTTTTGGGTTTGAATTTGTCTGTTTGGCGTTTGGATGTTTCCTGCTGCTTAAATCAGATTTCCAGTGCTCCTTCAAGTAAGTTAATTAGCATCTCTAATGCTGTCGGTTTGGTTAGTGTTTGCATGGGTTAATATTCTGGCCCCTTAAAGACTGTATAAAAAAAAAATGTCTACAGCTTATTACTCAGAACATGCAGAGAAGATAGAATGGATATCTTCTTTTTGGTTCTGAAATGTTTGTCTGAAATACAATTATTAATTGGTTCATTCATTTATTAATTCATTGGTTGATTTGTTCATGATTGATTACCAGCATTTAGAGCTGCACAATGTAATAAAACACAAAAATCATCCCCATACTGTTCCATCAAACACATAACCATTTTTGTGATGCTTCCTTGCAGAAATTGGACCGGTAACAATCACAACAGACCCAAAGAAGTTCCAGGATGAGCTCAGAGAGTTGTACGTTCAGGTGGGTTCATGCATCCCATCCATCAAGGAAACAGCAGCTGTAGTCTGGGTGCTCATGGAAACATTCCATGTTCTTGCACAACCTTCAGGCAGTAATTCTTACCCTCACCTGTAACCCAAACACTCCTGGTTAGAGATTAGCCTAAGAAAGTAAAAAGAGGTTTTTCTGTTCAAGATAAAAGGCAGAGCTGGATGAAAAAACAACAGTGCAGGATTGCTACAAAGCTTAATGGTGGGTGCTTGACTAGACTAACAGTCCTCAGATGGAGGAAAACGAAGAGATAAAACTTTGAGATTTTTATCCGCTGATTAGGCACCCACTTCATAAAAGGTTTCATCAGTCTCTGCTAAACAGAAGGTTCTGGACATGATTCAGATTCTGTTTAATAACTTTAATCCAAATTAATGTGTTGAAGAGAGATAAAAAAAGGTTAATGGGTTTGGAAGAAATATGAAATAAAGTTTTAAATAGGAAAGAATTCAAGAGGAAGACTTTAACCCCTTCAGCCATCCCTGAATCATCGTAAAAACTGGTTAGAAGAGATTTATAATTTGGTTAAACATGATTTATTTATTTTTTTTTTTACCACTCTTTAAGCCAAATTGTAAGATTAGCACTGTAGATTACATGCAGGTAGACTCAGTGCTAACAAGGCGACAGTGGCGTGGAATGTAGGAGTTTGCCCTTTAATGAAAGAGTTGATAGTTCAAGCCCCGGCTTTCATTGCTGTGTCCTTGGTGGTCAGAAGGCCCAGTGGCAGCAGTGTACAGCAGCTTCGCTTCTGTCAGTCAGCCCCAGGGCAGCTGTGGTCACAGTGTAGTTTGCCACCATCAGTGTGTGATAAATGGGTGAAACTGAATGTAGTGTAAAGCGCTTTGGTCAAATCTCCTGACTTGAAAAAGCTCTTTAAACGTTTAAAGTCAAAGCTATTTAAAATATTTAAGGGTATCAGACTAAAATGGCTAAAAAAGATCACACATGTAAAACATGCTCTTAAAATGTTAAAGGGTAAACATAACTGAAAACTTAGCAAACATTTCCTTTACTCTAAAATTATGTTATACTCAGGTCAGTCTATCACACTGGAAAAAATAAAAATCTAGATAAGTCATTTTTTTTAAATAGGTGCATTTGTTCTTGGATTGAGGAAGTAAAAGAAAGAAGTAAAAGAAACATTTTGCCTATGGAACAAGAAAATTTACACTTAAAATAAGAAAACATAACTGCGTTGTCTTATTTCAAGGGCATATTATCTACTTATCTTATTTTAAGAGTACAAAAACTCACTCCATTGGCAAAATATCTCATTTACATACTCAAATTAAGGGTAAATACTAGGGATGCACGATATTGGGATTTTGGCCGATATCCGATATGCCGATATTTTAAAACTCATGTAGCCGATAACCTATATCGATACCGATGTTAAAGCTGGACAAAAATAGTCATTGAAAATAGCAGTTTTGTTATCCATTTCTGACACTTTGAAAAATAATATACTCACATATATTTTCATATGCTGATATTAAATTGATTTTTAAAACGCGGTATCGATCTATTTTACTTTCAAAATCTCGTGAAATTTCATCGTTCTGTTACAAACTCTCGAGATATTTTGCAAATTCTTGTGAGATTTTGTTAGTAAAATAGATTGATATCGTGTCAACATATCAACATATAAAAATATGGCAAAATTTTGTGAATTTTCGGGGGATTTCGTAGCATAACGATGACATATAGCAATATTTCATTAGTAAAAGAGATTGATATGGTGTTTTTAAATGGCAATATATCAGCATATGAAGATATTGGGATATTTTAATGTATCAATATTTTTTCCCTCGTCTTTAGAAGTTTTTAAGTCTGTAAAAAAGAAGTTTTTGAGGAAGAAAGAGTATTTATTTATTTTTTCTTTTAGACTTTAGAAACTCAGAAGCTGATCAAATATCGGGTTAAATATCGGTGGGGTGGCCGATGTCCGATATTCAGTTTTAAGGCCGATACAGGCCGATACCGATAGGGGGCCGATTATATCGTGCATCCCTAGTAAATACACTTAATTCAAGACATTTTTTACTTATTTCTAGGTCATTTTTCCAGTGCACATAAATACACAATATCAAATATACTAATTTTTAGAGTTGTAGAGGAAATGATAAACAGCATCAAGGAGTATGAACATTCTTTTAAGGCCTATAAATGTATATCCCTGACAAATCAAACTTTTTTTATCTTATAGGGAGGTGGTGACTGTCCAGAGATGAGCATCGGAGCCATCAAGATAGCTTTGGAGATCTCTCTACCAGGATCATTTATTTATGTTTTCACCGATGCACGTTCTAAAGATTATAAACTGACCCAAGAAGTCCTGCAGCTTATTCAACAGAAACAGTCACAGGTTTGGGAATAACTTTATGAAGTAGATATTTCTTCAAGTGCAGGATCAAAGAAACTGCTTTGTCTTTTTTTAAATCTCTAATAATTTCTCTAGGTGGTTTTTGTGTTGACGGGTGACTGTGATGATAGGAATCATATTGGTTACAAAGTGTATGAGGAGATCGCCTCTACAAGCTCTGGCCAAGTTTTCCATCTGGACAAGAAACAGGTCAATGAGGTAAGAACATTATTGCTGTTATAAGGCTGTGTTACAGATGGGTAAGATATTTGATTTTAAACCTGATTTAAATCATAAAACGTTTTTTTTCCCCTTAAGGTAAATGAAAGAAGAAAGTTTTACAACCCATCTTCTAGCGTAGAAATTCAGATGCAATGTACATGAAATGTTTTAGTGATTAATGCTCAGCTCTTCAACCTCTTCCAAATATAAATCACAGTCTTGGATCGTGAAAAGAGCCAGTGCATGAAATTGAAATGTCCTGCTGTTTTATTACTTTACACAAAGGATGTAAGGCCTTTAGATTTTCAGTATTTTTTTTCCATCTAAAACCTTTAAGCTACAAAATAAAATAAAAAACAAATCTAGTCTATTTTTTTGAAAATCATTATTTGTAAAAGTGCACACTGGGAAAACAATCTAGAAATAAGTAAGAAACTTTCTTAAATTAAGTGTATTTACCCTTAATTTGAGCAGGTAAATGAGCTAGTTTGCCAATGGAATGAGTATTTCTACTCCTAAAATAAGATAATTGGATAATATACACTTAAAATAAGACAAAGCAATTGTCTTTTCTTATTTTAAGTGTAAGTTGTCTTGTTTCATTGGCAAAATGTCTCTTTTACCTCCTCAATCCAAGAATAAATGCACATATTTTAAGAAAAAATTACTTAACTAGATGTAGATTTTTTCCAGTGCATTGGGGCTGCTGCTATTAAATGCGGACGCTGCACCAGTCTTTTGTGTCGAAGATTGAGGCAAAGCTCCAGATTTACTGGTCAGTCTATGTTCCTACCCTCACCTATTGTCATGAAATCGGAATCCTGACTGAAAGAAGAGGATCCCAGATAAAGAAATGAGCTTTCTCAGGAGGGTGGGTGGGCTCTCCCTTAGAGATGGGGTGAGGCTAAGAGTAGATCCGTTTCTCATCCTCATCAAAAGATAACCCTTGAAGAGGGTCCCAATGTGTTCTATGTGTGTCCCAGTGGGAGGAGGCCTATGGGACGACCGAGGACATGATGGGTCTTTGTCTCGCGGCTGGCCTGGGAGAACCTGAGGCCTTCCCTTGCAGATCTGGAGGAGGTGTCTGGGGAGAGGAAAGCCTGGGAGTCTGTGCTGAATCTGCGGCCCCTGCAGCCCGGTCTTTTGTTGTTAATTGAGTCTAAATAAATAAAACCAAATTCCATCGCATATATGGGTTTTTTCCTAACATTTTGCCCTTAGAGCCAAAATTGTCCAGTTTGAGGTATTTATAATTTTTTTTTTTTTAAGAATTAAAGTTAAAAAATTTATAAAAAAGCTAATTTTGTAATATTAAAGCAGTCTTAGTATAAACAGGCTTCTATAAAAAGATGAAAAAAAAATAGACTTGCAGCATATTACGGCCTAAAATTGTTAGGTTTATTTTTTTTTTTGTCTAAATATTGTTACTTTTCTCTGTAAGCCACCATGCAGCCCACTTTATGTCCATCTTTCCCCTAGGCATGCATGGGTTCTCTCTGGGTACTCTGGCTTCTTCCCACAATCCAAAAACATAACTGTTTGGTTAAATGGAGTCTCTAAAAGGCCCTTAGGGAAAAAAGAAGAAAAAAAAAAGTGGGACCAGCTTCATGCAGGTTCCACACTGGCGTCTTCCCTGCAGCAGCAGATTATTACAGAATTAGAAAAATGAACCAGATCTACCTCCTTGCCACTTAGATTCGGTTATGGTTATGCGTTGGATGAGTATAAGACCCATTTTCAGCTCAGTAGCAGAAATTTTATTTTAAAATACCCTCCTAACTCAATTAAATTCAGTTTATTATATAGCGCCAATTCACAACACAAGTCATCTCAAGGCACTTTACAATTCAATTAGATCATACAGTCAAATTGATTCAAAGTTTTCTATCTAAGGAAAACCAGTCGATTGCATCGACTCATTGACTCAAATACAATCCTTCACACTAAGCATCCTTGTAGCGAAAGTGGAGAGGAAAAACTCCCTTTTAACAGGAAGAAACCTCCAGGAGAACCAGGCACAACTCACAGAGGCACTAACATGGTTCTAGGGACGTTTGGACAAAAACAGCAGCCCCATAGCATATTTAAAGCTAAGACGCAGCTTCCTTTGACCAAAGTACACAGTTGAAGTTAAAAGTTTTATTGGTGTTTGTGATGAAAAACCCAAGAAGGTCTTAAAACACCAGATAGGAATGAGGATATCACCTTGAGATTGTTTTAAAGGCTTGGAGACTTCATTATGTCACTTTTTGTTGAATTACTTTAGAAATGAGCTTTGTAGAGTTTTTCCTTGTCACCTCACTCATCATCTTTTCTCTTAGAGAATAATAGGTACAATGAACATGTGTTTCTGCTGCACTTTAATACACATCTTTACCATGAGTGTCAGTTAGTGGGAGGGCACATGATTTTGCACATAACATTTTAGAATATCCTCTGGGTGTTGTTGTCCTTGTAGGGATGTGGAAGAAATGCAATGCTTAAAGCATGCAGGTGATGCTAAAAACATCATGGTAGATAATTTTACACGGTTAACTTAAAAGCTGCTAAAGGGTCATTGTGACATTGCTGGGATTTCTTTTAAATAAGTCACAATCTGAAAATATTCTTATTTAAACCCAAGCTAGGTTTTCCAATCAGTTTAATTACTTTTACAACTTCTGTTTGAATATCTTTTTTTTAACAACTTGGTTAACACTTTCTCTCTGTGTCATAGGTTCTTAAATGGGTAGAGGATGCCGTGCAGTCCTCAAAGGTCAACCTGCTGTCCACTGATCATTTTGGCCAAGTCAGCAACACTTGGCAGATGCCCTTTGATCCCAGTCTAAAAGAAGTTACGGTGGCTCTCAGCGGCCCAGCGCCTAATATTGAAATAAAATCTCCACAGGGTAAGCTTATATGTCCAGCTAAATGCTGCAATCCTTTATAGCTTAGATCCGTAGTACTCTTTTTATTTCACCCTTAGCAAAGGAGAAAAATAAGTCAGAATTCCACTTAAAGGCAGTAAAGGGGAGCTGAGCTTGCAAAATATGCTCTTGTTGGCTAATGCCATGGGAAAAAATTAAACAGTAGAGTTTTGTGCCCATTGACTGCAAGAAATGGTAGACCATTTCCTGAAAGAATCATAAAATAGTTGAGACAAATGGGGAGAGATGTAGATTACTGTCTCAATGTTTCTTTAAAGCAGAGCAGAGTTTACCTTTGATGACAGCTTAAACTGGAAAAAGCAGGACTAACTTCCTGCATTTTTCAAGGAAAAGGCCCATTCTCAAAGCCAAACCTGCCTTTCCATGCAAGATCAAAGAGCTTAAAGGTATAGAGGACGATCTTTTATTTCCAGGTAGATCATCTAAATAAGTGGTCCTGCTAACTGTCAATCATTCTGGTGAAATGTCTACATAAGTCCGTCGTATGTGCTCGTCTCGTTAGATATATTTATCTGTGCATGCGGACATTCAGGCATACACTATCGATTCATGTTTGTATTATTATCCTCAAACCAGAGGCACTTTTTTTCTAGCAGATTTCGCTCATTAGTTTGATAGAAAAGATAACATATTGTTATAATGAGTAATTTGTAACCTCTAAGGCATTGTTAGCGAGAACAACTGATATACTTAACAAAACAGTTTAAGTATGTACCAGGAATTCCAACATCTGGGATACATATACTCCACATATGTTCTTTCACTTACAGTGTCTTGACTAATACTTACAAGATTTCATACAATTTCCCTTAGAAGTTTTATAATTTTATATGTCTAACTTACAACTATGTTATATAAAGTACAAAAAAAGAAACTTTAATCCATAACAGCTGTCAAAAAGGGTAAATAATTGCAACTCTATTTATGTTTGAATTTTAGGAAAGCTTTTGGGCAAGAATGATGGCCTCACTGAGCTTTTGCACATTCCCAACTCAGCAAAAGTTGTCAATATCAAGGAGCCTCAGCCAGGAATGTGGTCTATCAAGGTAATTGCTTTTCCTTTCACCTGAGCATGCATTTAAAATCCTATTGTCCCATCAAGGTTACCTTTTCAACAATTAAATCAAATAAAAATTAATTAGGATTATGCTTACTCATTTGATATCAAGCCATTTGGGGATTTATAGACTAACATAGGTATGTGAAAGTCTATTTTCTGCATGGAGCCAGTGCATGGTCTTTAGAACTGGGCTGGTGTTCTCCACTTTCTTAGTTTTAGTGAGGACACAGGCAGCAGCCTTCTGAATCCGCTGCAGCTGTCTGATCCAACGTTGCAGTGACTGATTCTAAAGATGAACGCAAGGTCCTGTTGAGCCATTAGTCCTTTAATCCTGGAGATGTTCTTTAGATGATAAAAGTCAGAGTTTCTTACTGACTTTATTTGCTCATGAAGGTTCAGGACTGAGTTCATTATTACGCCCAGATATGGAACCAGAATGATGTTCCTACTCGTATTAACTGAAGCTGTGTGCCAACTTTCAACTGTTGGTCCAAAAACTATGACTTCAGTTTTGTTTTGATTCAGCTGAGGAAACCATTGACACATTCATGCATCTTCTATGCATTTACAGCACTTACATGAGATTATAGTCACCTTATGCCATTGTAATGTATAGGTGTTTCTCTGAAACATAGTTAGGGTAAATTATGTTGGTGGTAGCATGTAGATATTGAATGTTATGGGCCCTAACATAGAACCTTTGGGAACACCCCAAGTGGAAGATTTAAACCAGTCCAGTGCTGTACCAGAAAAGCTGACCCAGTTTTTGAGGCACTCTAATAAAATAGAAGCACTGATCCTTAAATACTCCCTGTTACAGAAGGTTAAGGTAAACTTTTTCCATAGGTGGCTCTGTCTGGGAGAAAAACAGTTAAGCTGATGAGCTCTAAGTTGGTTTAAAGGTTGACAGAGAGCTAGTGAGACACACTAAACCCCTCCAACACATGCCCAAATGTATCATCTATAACATCTAATTGATGTTGCAGATGCCTCCCTTCAGGATTGTGTTAAAGCAAAATAAAAGACTGAACATACTGTTTAAAGTTTAACTAGCAAATAATGCAGAATTTGAGAATAGAAGTAGAAAGTAACAGAGTGAAAATAGATAACATAATCGAGTTAATAATAAAAATCCAGAGCTACAAGTTCTGATGTCAAGGCCTTGTGATCTGTTATACAAAGGTATATATTCTAAAATCCTCATATCTTCAGTGGGTAAGAAAATCCTCCGTCTGTCTGTTTCATCTGCACTGTTTTGTATGGTGTGATTTAGTGAAGTTAGGTAATCATTGTTAAATATATAGAGTTTAAGTGTCCTCTTTCATTTAGTGCAATTGTTTAGTAAATGACAGTTCAGAGTTTCGTCCCTCCCTCTGCAAGTGTAACCCCATCAAGATGCTTCACCTAAGGTGAGGAGTTTCCACGTCTCACAAACATGTACTTGAGAATAATTATTCCATCTTTATTTCTGCAAACTTCAGGGGACCTCCACCCAATGAAGACCTCATTATCCACTATAATTATAGTAATCCCGCTTACATGATTTGTGAGCATCAGTCTAAATTGGTTTGCCCAAAGCTGAAGCTGTTTTATAAGCTCAGGTGGTGAGATATTTGACAGGAACTGTGTCATGGTGGTGTCTTGTCTGCACTCGTTTGAATTGTGGTCTGCCACTGAACAGTTGTAAAGCTGAGTCTGTCATTAGACAGGGAATTTAATGCAACAACTAGTTTTTGTTCATGGAAGTGAGAGAAAAAAAGATTTTTGACTCATGATATTATTGTTGTATAGTTAATCCAGTCACCCAAACAATTTCTTTCTGTTTTTGCTGCAGACCTCAAGCAAAGGGAGACACTCAGTTCGGATTTCAGGTCTTAGCACCATTGATTTCCGTGCTGGGTTTTCCAGAAAATCCACCATGGATTTTAAAATGACATCCAGTAGGCCAGTTCAAGGTGAGCATAGACAACCTTTCCAAGCTGTATCCCTACCAAAGATCTTTATTTGTCCTCATGTTATTCATTGAAATACTTTGGGCTTCACCCATGATCTCCACTTTCTAGGCATTCCTACTCACATCCTTCTGAACACCACTGGACTTTCCCCTCCTGCTCGGCCTGACAGACTAGAGCTTCTTACCATTACTGGAGAGGTTATCAAAACTCTGCCAATCAGGTATTACCCAGAACAACGGCCCTACAACCTCTGGAATATCACAGAGTTCATTCCACCCAATGAGGCTTTCTTCCTGAGGGTTACAGGATTTGATAGCCAGGGTTTTGTGTTCCAGAGAGTATCCAGTGTCTCCTTCTCCAGCATTGTGCCTGGTCGGTGATGTACATTGTCACCCACGTTAAAAAACAATTGCTATGGCGAATTTGTTAAATGTCATTATCTTCGTCTTTATGTTGGCTTCCTTATAGATGCACCGAAAGGGGTAATGCCAGCCATCACTAATGGTTATTACCTGCAGAGAGGATTTATCAGATGCCAGGTAGAGAGTTTGCTACCCTTTACTCTGCGCTTCAGCCGAGATGGAAAGCGACTTGGACTGGACCAACTCTTCAGGTGACATATATAGAGTCATATACAATAGATTACCATAAAGACTCCATTGGGAATTTTTTGTTAGATTTGAATGTTGAAAAAATAACTTTAAAAACAATTTTTTTTGTTTCATTCGATAAAAAAAAAAAATACTCCTATTGGTTTTAAGTTGAAGATCATAATAATTAATAGTTAAAGGCTTTAAAAAATCTGTTTATGTTAATGATGTATATAACATGTAAAACTGTAATAATATGACTAAATTTCATTCCATAGTTTTAACATCACAGATGATCATAATCAATTCAAAGAAAATGTTTTAGATAACTTTCACAAACTAAATCTGCTTAATTTAGTTTGTGAATTTGATGTCTGTACCAATCTTTGTGACTCTTCTATTACCAGTGAATCGGGTAGCGGGTCATGGGAAATAGAAAAGGTCACTTTGAAAGATGAGGGCCACTATGAATGCATTGCAATTAGCAGAGCTGGAACAGGACGAGCTCGCACCTTCCTAGATGTTTCAGGTAAGAAGGGATTCCAAAACTCTGTGTGTTTTAGCGTCTCATTTGTCTACCATCATATCACCACATGTAGGTGTGAACTAAATAGTTATCCCCGCCAGAATTAATATCCACCCAGTAGGAGCTGATCGAGTTCACTCCGCTTCAACTCCACTACGCCGGAGAACTTAAAGCCCTGCAGTTCCAAACAGCAGATGATTTTATTGCTTTTTTGAGAACAACTTCTCACTCCTGGATTTATGATGTTGTTTGCTGTTTCGTGTGACTCTGTTCTTGCAAAACTGCAACCTGAGAGTAAAGGGGTTTGTATACTCCTGCAGCAGTATGTCACAGTGAGCTTGTCGCAGGTATGATGCAGATATTTTTGATTTAGGCCCAATTTTACAGCGTGGTCTGCGATATTTTTTTCGGCGCCACAACGCAAGAGGGAAAATCACGAACTAGCTACGATTGTGGGTGTGGTGGGTGGCGTGTTTCTCTTCCGTTTACGGAGGTCATTCAACGACCCTCCATGAATTGCTTGAATATGTGCTGTCCTTGTGGTGTGGAGAACGAGAGTCGTACAAATGTCGGTACTTTCTCACTTCTTCGCAGACTCACTCCTCTAGCTGGTCCAAATGTAGGCCATTTGGCCTACAGTGTTCAAAAAACAAGGCCATTAGGCCTTGTTTTAGGCCATTGCCTAAAACAAGTCGTTTTAGGCAATGGCGGTCATACAAACCAAACAAGCCGGTAAGATACCAAACAGGAAATATGCACAGTGTAGAGCGCATGTAGATTTGACCAATCAGAGGCCTCCTGTCTGTGGGCACCTACAATTTTGGAGAGGTGCAACAGAGTGTCTGAAGAGGGGGCTGCATGTCTGCGTTAACTGCGACACACACACACAGACGACCTGGTTTCTGAGCATAAACCAGCCTTAATACTGCAGCTACAGAAACCACGGGGAGCCAAAAATGTGAAAGAAAACAACAAAAAAACAATAACTTTTTTTTTTATTTGCTGCAGCAAAAAAATTTTTATTATTTAATTTTAATTCGATTTTCTGCCCAGGCCTAACTGATGCTAAACCATAAAGGTCCGTAAAGGTCAAAGTTTTTGAGGAGCTACCCTTTGCTTAAAGGAAAACTCGTAGTCTTTTGGAATATGTCTTTACCACTATTTCTTTAATAAGTGTAACCTGCTGGAAGATGAAACTCCACCCCAGTTTTAGGCTACATTTATACAGCATATTTTTGCCTATGGAAAAAAAAAAAAAAAAAAAAAATGGATTGTTATTAGTGTTGCACCAATGCCAATACCAGTATCGGGCAGGGCCCCGTATTGGTATCGGGGAGTACCAAGAAATAGGACACCGATACCATTTTGGTATCATTTACTGGATTCATTTTGTTTTAGTCTTTTTCCTGCTTCACAAAGGTAGGCAGGAGCTCGACAAAGCCACGATGGCGAATATTTTACATCCAAGTAGTATGCAGTTCTTCATATATACACACACACACATCAATTTCAAACAGATGGTATTGGTATGGTATCGGTATCAGCCAATACTGCACAGGCAGCTATCGGGTATCGGTATCGCGGCCAAAAAATCAGCACCAATTCGTTGTTGTGTGAGTTAAGCCCCTCCTCCCTAACTCCTCACTCTGAGAGGTAGATTCAGTCTCGTTCTCCAACGGCCCTGAGATTGCAAAGAATACTCTGATCAGCGCTGTTAGGTAATTTAGTCAAAAGGTATTTGTTTAGTTTTCTAACTGTCTTCATATCTAGGCGTCTCACCCTGGATCCAACTGCAGCATATCTGCTGAACAGCCTAAGCATAAAAATGCTTCAAAACCTGCAATTTGTCAACAGCTGCTACCTCTTTATTATTCATATCAAATACTTGGATTGAAGCTAGACAGATTTTAGAAAAAATAAGTCCCAAGGGTGTTGTTTTATATTTTAATGCTAAGGCAACATATGAATATCTGATAATTTATGATTTATCCAAAAAACAAACAAACAATTTTACCATCATTAAAACCTCTTATAAAGATGACTTGGAGGGTCTGACCCAGATCCTCTAGAAGTTCATATATTTATTTGATTTATAATAATTAGCATAGTTAATTAACAAGTATCGAGGAATGTTCTATAGCCATGTTTCCATCCAATGTCATGCAAATTTTGAACAAAAGAAAATACAAATTCACATTACTTACCTTATAGAACCCCACAAACGAGAGAGACATTGTTATCGTCACATTTTTACTCTTGAATAAAACACCTGTCAGAGAGAATGTTCTTATAATGAGTATTTTTATATTCAATTTAAGTAATTAGAAAATTGCTTTATGTTTTAGAGCCTCCTCCTGCCATCACTGTTGAAAGAAATGTTACTGTCTCACCTGGCAGTCAAGCCGTCCTGACCTGCCACGTAGTTAGCACCATTGTCTTCAACCTCACTTGGCTGCGAGGCGGCTATGACGCCCGCCTGGACCCACGAGTGAACATACTTGCCAACCTTTCACTCCAGGTGTCTGATGTGACCCCAGATAATTCAGGCTGGTATGAGTGCATTGCTGCAAATGAAGGAGGAACGACTTCAGATCGGATATATCTCACAGTACAAGGTAATGGTTGCTTGTTTGTTTCTGCAAAAGCTCATTCAATTTACAAAACACTTTCTAATCTACACACCTTCCTATGTTTTGGGTTTCAAAATTGAAATCTTCAACTGCTCTCTACATTTGGGTAAATTCTGTTTTTTTGGTTACTTTCCATAATTAGATCAGCATCATTTATGTATGTTTCTGTCACGTAATGATGTCCATAAGGCTTCTGTGTGAACACAGCAGTGCAGAATTCCTTTTCTACCCAAAGTTCTTACTGAATCCCACTTCTTTGGGCACTTTCTAATGTATAGATAAGAAATGATTGTTCAGACAAGAGAAATTACACAGATACTGGGTAATTTCTGGGCCTACTGGGCTCAGGTCATCAGTGTTTTTTTAAATTTTCTTTATTAGAATTTGGTAGATTTCTTCTAAGGAAGTTTGAGGACGATTGCCTTAAATTTGAGTTGCAGATAGAGATCCAAAACTCTTGCTAGGATACCGAGCAGAAAATGTTTTGGCAATTCTCAGGTACAGAATGATCTGCATTGCAGAATTCATTAAAGTATTTTACAATGGTTGGAGAACTTGCAAAAGGAAATGATTGATCAATGTATCAAAAAGCATTAATACCACATGGATCATTTAACAATTACAAAAGTTTTACAAGTACATGGATCATTTAAGAAGTAGAAAACAGACTGCAAGATCAGTTCTATAATATGGTCCTATGGGGAACGATGTTTTTCAACATTTCTATTACAACTTTGGAAATTTCTACTGGGGGAAAATGTGTCCCTTGAGGGTGCATGGCTGGACGATCTTTTATTTCCAGGTGGATCATCAAGAATGTTCGATGATGTTCCATCAATTACTCACTAAGTGCCAGGCCTCTTCAAAATTTACTCAGGAATGTTCATCATATAGATGTCAATAGCTGACACTACGAAACACTTAAAAAAGCATTATATAGAACTAGGGCTGGGCGATAATTCAATAACGATATATATCGATCGATAGACGTGTGGCGCAATAGAAAAAAAGAGGGTCGATAAAAGTTCGATAAAGAAAAGCAGTTTTCCTTCCTTCTCATTGTAGCCTAGCATGTAGGTTTATGCTAGCCACTGCTTCCTCCCAACCAATCACAATCGCGGACCCAGGCACGCCGTCACCAAGCGCCGCCCTCTCAAACCACAACACAGAGCACATGAAGCTGTGCAGCAAGGAGAGTCGGAGGAAATTGTTTCAAAGAAAGGTTTTTGTAGTTCGGCAGTCAGGCGGTATTTCGGTCATGGCAAGTCGAACCAAAAACAAACCACAGTCATCTGGAAAATGTGTCGGGAACCAGTGAAAACCAGTCTGATAACGAAACCAACTTTTTTTTATCATCTCAGCCGCTCACAGCCGCAGGAGTACGAGCTGTGTAGGCCCCGGTGCGGCTCTCCTCCGAGGAATCTTCGGAAAATATATATATATTTTCAGTTCTGGGCAGTTTCCCACGTAGTTCTAACAATTGAGATAAAAATGCCGAGGGGGCAGAAACTTCAAAGTAATAACTCAGGTTAAAGCAGGAAACGGGGGCGGCGGCGGCGGCGGGGCATTTATTTATTTGTTATATTTATTTTCGTCACTTTTCTGGTCACTTTAGTTTATTCTTTGTCAGTATTTAATAACATAACTCAGGTCTCTTAAGTTATTTTTCTTTAAAACAATTCTGTTATGGTTAAAAAAGTTGGTTAAATAAAGATTTAATTCGAAGTCTGTGTTTGTGTTTTTTATTAAAATTAAATCATTTAGCAATATTATAAAAAGTCCAGGCAGAGCTGCACATAAAATATGGTTTCAAATCTTTTCAATAATTATCGATATCGATCAATATGCATTTTTTTTTTATCGATAAGCTTTTTTTCTATATCGCCCAGCCCTATATAGAACTGTTAAGTTAGTAAATAAAGAGGTTTAGCCAACCGCAATCTATTCCCTAGCACAATCTGACAGTATTATAAATCAGCATCATTTTAAATCAAATAAATATGTGACTAAAATTGAACCACTAGTAAATAAGTTAGTAAGATTTTCCTCCACAGCTGCGCTTTACAACTCTCTTCTATTTTTTTAAACCTTAATAAATACAGTAACCACATACTAAACAGAAAATAAAATCTGAAAATTTATTAACACTGTATATTACATTTTACACAAGGCAACTTTCTCAGTTTGTCATTAGTATTGTGGATGAACACCGGTTAAAGCCCAATCCAAGAATAAAACAAAACAGAAAATTACTCTTTTTTTGGTTTGAAGTCCTTATTTGGCCTTTTAACAAAATATGTAAAAAGAAAAAAAAAATTTTTTTGATATCAATAATTTATTACTATGCGATAAGTCAAGATTATGTTTTGTGTAGTCTTCTACTGGCTGTTATCAGGTATATCTGATTGTGTACAATAGGATTTTGAGCAAAGTTTTTACCATTAAATTATGCAAAAGGTGTCAGACGCAAAACATTTCAGAAACCGTATGTATCAAATATGATACATTTGGCATTACAGGGTTAAGAATATTCCAGCCATCATTCCTCTGCAAGCAACACTGTAGATACAGTGAGAATATAATAGACAAAACATATGCTCAGAAAAGAAAAGTTTCCCATTGCAAATCAGTGAGCAAGTCTATAGAGAGAGTTTCAGATTCTTTGGATTCCGTATTGTTTTTATGTTTTAGTAAAAGAAAATCCGAAATAAAGACATGCTGTGAAATAATATCAGAGGTCATATCCGCCACATTCCTTTTGATACACCAGTCATAAAAGTGTAGGCTCTGCTCCATGATGTAAATATCCAACTAAGTTCACAGTGTAAAGCAAGAACTCTTCTTTCTGTGTGGAAATGTGTTTAAAGCCACCTTCCCCTGATCTACCAAAAGGCTTGAATTACCTCCAGTATGTCAATGCCTAAGCTTTACCTGAAAAATTCACAAAATTCTACTTCTCGCCTGTTGTGAAAGAGTGGCTGAAATGGTCCAGTGTCATGTTTGGCTTAAGGTTCCTAACCCACATGCAGAACACACTGAGGCTGGAGAAAAGTTCAAAGATTTATTGAAATGATTCTGTACAAAGAATAAACAGATCCAGGGGTTATTCAGATCCAGGACTGGTAACTAGTGGGTTCACTGCAGGGGGGGACAGAGGAGTTAGTGGATGTCCAGGTAATTTGCTGGATGTGAGCGAGCAGGACAGTACCTGTTCAGGAGTTTGAGCTGAGCAGCAGAGGGGAGAAACCAAGAGGGTCCAGAGGCTGTCGGCAGGCTGAGGGCTTGGCAGAGGCAGAGCTAGGTTTGAGCGTTTGCAGATCACAGATTTGAGTTTCCCTTCCGATTCTTCCGAGAGCGGGCAGGCAGGTCTTTGACAGGAATTATTCTCCAGGGTTCTTCAGAGATCAGACAGGCAGATTACCGACTGAGAAACTCTTCTGGGTTTCTGGTTTCAGGCAGGTTCAATCTAGGAAGCAGAGAGGAGAAAACAGATCAGGTTCAGGTTTTCAGGGAGTCAGAGGTTCAAACAGGCAGGTTGGCTCAGGCTTGCTAACCATAACTGGCAAACACTCTGGCACTGGAGAGACGTCCTCTGCCTCCTTAAATACAGATCTCCTGATGAGCAGATGAGCGGCAGGTGGTTGCAATCAGCTCTGGCTCCAGGAGATCTAGTACGCCCTCTGGTGGAGAAAGTGGACAGATCTCCAGATCCCAACATCCAGACTCATTTACAGAATAATTAGAAGAATTGCTGTTTTTTTTAGAGGTACCCAGAGTGTCTTTGGAGCCAAGAAACCAGACCTTTATGATGGGAGATGAAGTGAGGATCAGGTGTTCAGCCAGTGGCTATCCTCCACCTCGTCTAGTCTGGACCCACAACGACATGTTTATTACTGCATCCAACAGGTATATTCTGTTTTTATTTTTATTTTATTTTTTTTATCCCAATATTATAAGTAAGGCATTGCTTTTATATAATTCGTGTTGTCTAAACTGTTAAGAAGTGGTTCTTTAGGTGTTTTGCATGTTCACTTATAATACAGTATAATCATATGTGTCTTTCTCCCATTGTATTTTATCTACATTGTTGCCTATATACAGCGTCCTTACTCATGCACTTCCCTCTGCAGGTGTCAGAATGTCTGACACTTATCCATGAATACAGCTTCTGCTGCTTATCCGTCTGGGTAACAGGCTGCTGGTGTTTATCTCCAGCAGTTTATCTCCAGCCAGACTGACTTACATGCGGCGTAAGTCAGTCTGGTAGGCTTAATGCTCTTCTTCGGAAAACAGACAGGAACAACCATCACATATCACCCAAAAGTGCTTTTTCAGAAACCATAACAATCAAGATTGCATCTGCAGCGGATGTTTTATTGATGCCCAGAGATTTTCTTTTTAAAAACTGATCAAATCTGTAGATATCTGATCTGTTCTTAATTGTCTCTGCTGACTTTGTTAGTCCAGCCTTTGAAATTGGGATCTAGTGGCTCTTTGTTAGACTAATATGAGGTTTAAATGGTGTAAGTTAGTCTAGCTGACCAGCCTGCTGGTCGCCAGTCCATTGCAAGGCTCCATTTATCCAGTGCTTGCTAAATGCCATCTTAAGTGATTCTCTTTAAAAAGAATAACTAAAATAAGGTTGTTTTTTCCACTCATGTTGCCAACAGCACATCTCTGGTATGCTTTAACTATACCAATCTCTGTATTAGTAAGCGACTAAAACTAAACATGGGAGAATCCATCAAACTGTCTCTGTTGTAGATCTCTCTTTGATATTAGACTATTTGTATTAATCACATTGTCTGCATGCAAAAGGTTTAACACACTCTAAACCTTTTGGATTTAGGGGGTAAGTTTAGGTCAGTTTAGCTAATTTGGAGAATGTAGATTAATGTGGAACATAGTGAGAATCAAATGAAGAAAAACTAATCTTTCTTTTGTAAAACACACATCTACTCAATTGGTTATCGTTTTGGTGTTTGAAATACATTGACCAAAGGGTTCAGAAGATATATATTTAAAATGAATTCAGCAAGTTAAGACAAGAAGTATTTTTAATAAGGCTGGGAAATTGTTTGCATATAATAGCAGTTTAACAAAATGCAATTGGTAAATAACAGAAAAACTCAGTTTATAGAACATTACATTAGCAAGAGTAAGACATTATGTGCTGCCAGAGAGAGTTTCAAGTCCATGCATGCCAGTAGAAATTTCCCCCGCAATAGTAATAATAAAGTTTTGCAACAATAACCTCTTGATAAGCAATTTTTAAGGTAATAATAAATAATGAAACCCTGCATTAAGACATCTACATTTTTTGTGTTTAGGGCAAAAAAAATTAAATAAATTTTTACAATGCTAATTTAGATTTTTTGTTAAGAAAAAACAAAAAATGTTCAGCTGTACTTTTTAATTAGCAGAAATGAACTCCTAAAAGAAAAACAAAAATGGTCGGGCATGACATCATGAACTGCGTGCAGTTGTAGCATCTGTTAAAGTAGAGAATATATGTAACTTTTTATGTTTTGTGAATAAAACTTAATAGATCAGTCTAGGTAACAACACTTAACTGTTGTCAAAGTGAAAAGTGAAAAAAAAGTATTTAAAAGTAAAGGGTTCTTATTAGTCCCGCAATTCTTCTCTGTCTTATTTAAGTGATAAAACATTTTTTTATTTTCCATCTGATTATTAGATACAGGATGACTCCTGATGGAACCCTGGTAATAAGAAACACAAAGGAGAAGGATGGAGGAGTGTATGGCTGCTTGGCCAGTAATAGTGCTGGTACTGACACAATGACCTCCATCATCACCTATTTTGGTGAGTGTTCAAATCATTCGGCTAAATACTTTTATGGTTCTGATTTTTTCGTGCCTGATTATTTTAAACTTTCTTGTTTCCTAGAATTTCCTGTGGTAAGAGCAACATTTAGAGAAGTTCTCAGTAACATTGGAGAAACCACAGTGTTGTCCTGTTCAGCATCTGGAATCCCTAAGCCTGAGATCTGGTGGTATAAAGGTAACAGTTAAAACGCTTAAGGAATGTATTTTGATGTTTGATGGTGACCAAAAATATTTAATTTTCAGAAGTAACTTCAATTATATTCAGAAAAACATATTCTTACTAATTACTCTTATATACAGGTGCTGGTCATAAAATTAGAATATCATGAAAAAGTAGATTGATTTCAGTAATTCCATTTAAAAAGTGAAACTTGTATATTATATTCATACATTACATACAAACTCATATATTTCAGATGTTTATTTTGTTTAATTTTGATGATTACAAATGACAACAAATGAAAATCTCAAATTCATCATATCAGAAAATTAGAATATTACTGAAGACCAATAAAAACAAAGGATTTATAGAAATGTTGGCCAACTGAAAAGTATGAACATGAAAAGTATGAGCATGTACAGCACTCAGTATTTAGTTGGGCCTCCTTTGGCCTGTATTACTGCAGCAATGCGGCGTGGCATGGAGTCGATCAGTCTGTAGCACTGCTCAGGTGTTATGATAGCCCAGGTTGCTCTAATAGTGGCTTTTAGCTCTTCTGAATTGTTGGGTCTGGTGTATTGCATCTTCTTCTTCACAATACCCCATAGATTTTCTATGGGGTTAAGGTCAGGAGAGTTTGCTGGCCAATTAAGAACAGGGATACCATGGTCCTTCAACCAGGTACTGGTAGCTTTGGCACTGTGTGCAGGTGCCAAGTCCTGTTGGAAAATGAAATCTGCATCTCCAAAAAGTTGGTCAGCTGCAGGAAGCATGAAGTGCTCTAAAACTTCCTGGTATGTGGCTGCGTTGACCCTGGACCTCAGAAAACACAATGGACCAACACCAGCAGATGACATGGCACCCCAAACCATCACTGACTGTGGAAACTTTACACTGGACTTCAAGCAACGTGGATGAAGTGCCTCTCTTCTTTTCCTCCAGACTCTGGGACCTTGATTTCCAAAGGAAATGCAAAATTTACTTTCATCAGAGAACATGACTTTGGACCACTCACCAGCAGTCCAGTCCTGTTTCTCTTTAGCCCAGGCAAGACGCTTCTGACGCTGTCTGTGGTTCAAGAGTGGCTTGACACAAGGAATGCGACAGCAGAAACCCATGTCTTTCATACGTCTGTGTGTGGTGGTTCTTGAAGCACTCACTCCAGCTGCAGTCCACTCTTTGTGAATCTCCCCCACATTTTTGAATGGGTTTTGTTTCACAATCCTCTCCAGGGTGCGGTTATCTCTCTTGCTTGTACACTTTTTTCGACCACATCTTTTCCTTCCCTTCGCCTCTCTATTAATGTGCTTGGACACTGAGCTCTGTGAACAGCCAGCCTCTTTAGCGATGACCTTTTGTGTCTTGCCCTCCTTGTGCAAGGTGTCGATGGTCGTCTTTTGGACAACTGTCAAGTCAGCAGTCTTCCCCATGATTGTGTAGCCTATAGAACTAGACTGAAAGACCATTTAAAGGCTTTTGCAGGTGGTTTGAGTTAATTAGCTGATTAGAGTGTGGCACCAGGGGCCATCAATTTTGAACCTTTTCACAATATTCTAATTTTCTGATATGATGAATTTGAGATTTTCATTTGTTGTCATTTGTAATCATCAAAATTAAACAAAATAAACATCTGAAATATATGAGTTTGTATGTAATGTATGAATATAATATACAAGTTTCACTTTTTAAATGGAATTACTGAAATCAATCTACTTTTTCATGATATTCTAATTTTATGACCAGCACCTGTATTCTTATATTTCAAACTCCATTTTTGAAAGCTGAACCAGTGTACTTGTATTTGCTCTAGGTAATGTGCAGCTACATTCCTCCTCTCTATTTGAGGTGGATAAGTTAGGAGGAACACTGACCATAAAGCAAACGCAGTTAGGGGATGCGGGAGACTACTCTTGTGTGGCTGTCAGTGCGGCTGGCTCATCCTCACTGAAGATAAATCTTGATGTTGGAGGTAAGTCACACTTGTGTAAACAAAATGACAAATATATCTGCCTAAGTCTAAGTATTGGTGAATATTAGAAAGTCATCTGGTTTGATATCCCATCCTTATTCGGTGCATTTAGAAAGAGCTTCTTTAGATATTTTTATTTCCATTTTCTGCACCAAAAGCTGTTATTTGTTTGTGTTACCCCTTTAAGTGTTCACTTTAACATTTGATAGCAAGATTGCATGACGTATGGACAAGGAATGCACATTTTTTCTTGGTGTACAGAGTCCACTAAATGTTTTTTTTCAATGTGCACATTTAACTAGAAAGGCAGATTCTGGTGGTGTAAATAGATATTCTAGTGTCTGAGTGAATAACCCGCTGCGAAATATAGTTGTTTTTGGAGCAGCAGTTTTTTTAAAGGTGTTATGGACATTCTCACACGCTTTATACCAGCGGTTCCCAGAATAAAAGCCAGGATCCCACATGGTGATTTACATAAATTTTTGTCTGGAAATTAAATTAAGCTTAAAGGTATAGTACAGGATGTTTTGTTCTGGGTGTATCATCGAAATAATTGGTCCTCCTAATTGTCATTTTAGTGATATGTTTACGTAAGGGCGTCCTACGTGCTTGTCCCCCTTTTCACTTACTGGTAATGAGTCTGAGATAATGAAAAAATTGCAAATCTAATTTTGAAAGTAAGCTTTAATGAGCGAGAGCGGGTCTTTTCAAAAATTAGCGAATATCCTCCACTATACCTTTAACATTTTTCAAATGAAAAATACTATAATACAAAGGAAGTCAGAATCTGATCACAAAAGAATAAAGAGAAAATAAGAGAAATTGAATAACAACATAAGTCTTAAAATTATTAGAGACCATGTCAAACAAATATAATAAAAATAAAACATAAAGTATGAACATAAACAGAACAAGCAGAAGACCCAAAACAGAAGACAAACAATTCCAACAATGACAGTAGCCTACTATTAGTGGGATCATAAGCAATCTAAGGAATCTCATTTTAACCTTGTGATCTAAAACAGTGTTTCTTGAGAAAATCTTTTGACTGGATTGATCGTTTCTTTCCATAATCTTGTGACTGTGAATTTATTGGTATGCTATGTGTTAATATTATAATTTTGGGTGGAATAGGTTTGTGCTTTTCCTGCCTGATGGTCATCTTCCACAGCTGAGAGCAGCTGCTGGCTATTAAACACTTTCAAATAAATAAACTGTTTACATGCAAATTTTTTTTCCTCATTATGATCATTGCTTATTTTAATCCTGACCATCCCAGCTACACCAAAGTTCACTCTTGAGCCATCAAACATGGTTGTGGACATTGGCTCCAACGTGACTTTGTCCTGTGAAGCACATGGGTATCCTGAGCCCCAGCTGACATGGAGGAGAGAGGATGGTTCCTCTTTGTTCAACCGGCTGCAAGCACATAGCACTGTGTCACAAAAAAATGGGGATCTACACATAAATAGTGAGTCTTTTAAACAGTTATGAATATGTAAACCTAAAACAGATTTTTCAGTTTGTTGTTTCATATTTTTCCGCCAGATCTATGGATCGAAGATGAGGCGGAGTATATATGTGAGGCCAAAAATCGCTTTGGTAGGATCCAGACCAAAGCTAACATCACTGTGACTGGACTTGGTAAGATGTCTGGATCATCATGCTGTGATTGTAGGTGTGTCTTAACAGAAGAGTGCATTTTAACTCTAAGATGCCATGTATTTATGCACAGTGTTTGGCCTCAGAAAAAGGGATATGTATGAATACGTGATGACTAGCAGGACTTAAAGTTTGATGCATTTAAATACTTTTCTCTTTCTGGTTGGATATTGTTTTTGTCATTAACTTTTCACATCCTTCTAAATGCTCTGGATGCCTTTATTTTGGTTTCAGGATATTCATTTCTATTAGCACATTTTAACATGCCTTTGTCTCTTTAAAGCCTCTGTGTAAAAGTTATGCTGCGTTCACACCAAACGCAGCAGTAGCAGCAAAAACGCATCTGCTGCTTCATTTTTGATGCTTGTACAAGTTTAGTTCTGACGCGCGGCTGAAGCAGCTTTGCTGCTCTGGCTGCGCAGTCGAAAAGAGGGTCTAACGCATGTTGGGCGGAGCTATGCTATCCTTTCTTTGCCCTGCAGCTGTATTTTCTGTGATCAGTGGGAATAAAGTAGTTCTAATATATTTTTAAGTTGGAAAATCCACTTGAAACTTGCAGTCAGTTCATCCAGATTACCATCCTACCTTCAAATATTATTTCCCTGTCGTAGCTGCTCAGACCAGCACATACAGGCGGTGCTTTTTCAGTAGGAATCCAATTCAACAGCAGTCTCTGGCCCGGTCGCCTCCTAGCGGTTTGCCGCGGCGGCTGGAAAGAGTTTTTTATGTACGTAATACAAACTGCAGGCACCAGGATAATAAAAGCGAACATGTTTGATCGGCAGGTTTCAGCATTTTAAGTTAATTTAGGCGTTAATCAACTGTTTCAGAGGAGTGATCATAGTGACCAGTATCATTAGCGATGTGTCTGTCTTGCTGACAGCTCCCAGGTCAGCTTGTCTGATTGGTTGATGTGGCGCGTCGAGCAATTCAATTTTTCCATCTCGAGCAGCTGCTGCGTTTGCGGCGCGTTGCGTGTGTCAGATACTCAAACGCTCCTGATGCGATGCTTCAGCTGCTCAGATGCACTGCGCCTGCTGCTCAAAATGCGCTGCGGGACATTTTGCTGCGCCTTGACGTGCGTCAACCCTTGACTTTGCATGTAAACTAGCTGTTTCTGCTGCTCCTGCTGCGTTTGGTGTGAACACAGCTTACTCTCGTCTAGTGCTTTGTTAAATTAATAAAAAATTAATGAGACCCACACTAGCATGTATTTACCTGCTGCTGTCATAAACGGGACAGATGGACCTAGTATTCAAGGCGAGTCAGACAGTGGGGAGTTTAAAATTGTTCAATGAACCAGGTCAGAGAAACAGCCAGGAACCAGACAGTCCCGAGATCCAGGAGTCCGTAGCCCGACCAGGGGTTCCGATTCAAGCAGGAACAGACAGATCCAGGGTTTCAGGAAGCCTCAGAGCATTCAGGCAGGTTCAGAGTTCCAAAGACTCAAGCAGCGAGCTCAGACAGACAAGCTCAGATGGCGACAAGCAGGCTCAGTGTTTGAGGGACAGAGACAAGACCTGGTACCGGAATTACTGCAGAACTTTAAAGTGGTCTCCACCTTAGAGACAGGCTTATGGGCATTAAAACTGACCTCCCCCGCGTTCCGGCCCAAAAACCCTGAGGGCTCCACGGAGAAGGACCAGAACCTGCGCTCCCCTCGCACGCTGAGCCAAAACCATGAGGGCTCAGTGGAGAAGACCATTAGGAAATGCTAGGCAGTTGTCTAGGGCCCCCAGTTCCTTTGAATTGCAAACTCTGTTTACATGTATAGTTAATACAACTATTCATTATTTGTACACATTAATAATTTTTTTAATAAAGATCCTTTCACTAAAATGCCATCAAACGGTGCAAAGAGCAGTGTTGCCAACTTAGAGCTTTTGTTGCTATATTTAGCCACTTTTCAGACCCCTCTTGCTCTTTTATTTCCAAAAAAGCACCTAGTGCCAAATCTAGAGACTTTTTTCTGCTCCTGGAGACTTTGGCGGCAACATATAAAAGCAGCGAACTCTGCTCTCCAGAGCAAGTAGATTTGTAACCCAGCCTCCTGCTCTCCTCTATCTTGTCTGTTGTCATGATTCATGCAGCTATTATTTCATCCAAATGAAAAATGGAGAACAGAGAAGCAGATCATGCTTTGTCTGCAGTGAAAAAAAGGACTGGGTTATTTAATTTTGCCGTCGCATTTTTGGAAACACAGGAAGGAGCAATCAACTAAGTGAGCTTAGTGCTTGGAAAAAAGCTTTCATTCCTTTTGAGACAGCATGAAAAGTCAGCAGAATACAAAACATAGAGAGAAAAACAACAAGAAAAGGGACAAGAAGAGAGGGACAAAACCTAGAACAAATAATGTACACTATATTGCCAAAAGTATTTGCTCACCTGCCTTGACTCACATATGAGCTTAAGTGACATCCCGTTCCTAATCCATAGGGTTCAATATGACGTCGGTCCACCCTTTGCAGCTAGAACAGCTTCAACTCTTCTGGGAAGGCTGTCCACAAGGTTTAGGAGTGTGTTTATGGGAATTTTTGACCATTCTTCCAGAAGCGCATTTATGAGGTCGCACACTGATGTTGGACGAGAAGGCCTGGCTCTCAGTCTCCGCTCTAATTCATCCCAAAGGTGTTCTATCGGGTTGAGGTCAGGACTCTGTGCAGGCCAGTCAAGTTCATCCACACCAGACTCTGTCATCCATGTCTTTATGGACCTTGCTTTGTGCACTGGTGCACAGTCATGTTGGAAGAGGAAGGGGCCAGCTCCAAACTGTTCCCACAAAGTTGGGAGCATGGAATTGTCCAAAATGTCTTGGTATGCTGAAGCATTCAGAGTTCCTTTCACTGGAACTAAGGGGCCAAGCCCAGCTCCTGAAAAACAACCCCACACCATAATCCCCCCTCCACCAAACTTTACACTTGGCACAATGCAGTCAGACAAGTACCGTTCTCCTGGCAACCGCCAAACCCAGACCCGTCCATCAGATTGCCAGATGGAGAAGCGCGATTCGTCACTCCAGAGAACGCGTCTCCACTGCTCTAGAGTCCAGTGGCGGCGTGCTTTACACCACCGCATCCGACGCTTTGCATTGCACTTGGTGATGTATGGCTTGGATGCAGCTGCTCGACCATGGAAACCCATTCCATGAAGCTCTCTGCGCACTGTTCTTGAGCTAATCTGAAGGCCACATGAAGTTTGGAGGTCTGTAGTGATTGACTCTGCAGAAAGTTGGCGACCTCTTCGCACTATGCGCGTCAGCATCCGCTGACCCCGCTCCGTCAGTTTACGTGGCCTACCACTTCGTGGCTGAGTTGCTGTCGTTCCCAAACACTTCCATTTTCTTATAATACAGCTGACAGTTGACTGTGGAATATTTAGGAGCGAGGAAATTTCACGACTGGATTTGTTGCACAGGTGGCATCCTATCACAGTTCCACGCTGGAATTCACTGAGCTCCTGAGAGCGACCCATTCTTTCACAAATGTTTGTAAAAACAGTCTGCATGCCTAGGTTCTTGAATTTATACACCTGTGGCCATGGAAGTGATTGGAACACCTGATTCCAATAATTTGGATGGGTGAGCAAATACTTTTGGCAATATAGTGTATGTCTATCAAAATTTTGTATCAGTGTAATGGGTCTGTTTTATGTGTCGTGTTCTCAACTGAAAGGGCCCCCTGCCTTTTTTTGCCTAGGGCCCCAAATTTCCTAAATTCGCCCCTTGTGCCAATGCAGACTCTCGTTTTCTTTCAGTTATTTCTTCTGTTTATTTTTTATAAATCTGCAGGTGTCTTTGCTTGTATAATACTCCTCCACTGACAAATCCTTTTCATATACAGGTAAAAATCCTAAGACTAACAAGTTTGTCCTCTTTCAGCATCCGTAATCAAAGAAGACGAGGCAACGTAATTAATAATAATAATTGAACTTCATCAATGGCGTAACGACACAACAATAGGCCCATAAGCAACATTATCTGGGTGGGCCCCATATGAAGTACAACTGAGCCACAGGAAAGCTTTCATTTGTGATGTTATTAAACTTTGTTGTGCATTAATGAAAGCAACATATGCAAAACAATATATTCATCATATGCTAATAAAAAGCTAAACTAGTAACACACTACCCCTTTAAGAGTATTTTTAATGTGTGCTTTCTCTTTTTTTTTTTTTAGGTTCTTGCTCAGGTCTTGTTTAAAAGGTTTCTTTCTTGCCTAATAGCATCATTTCATTACAGCTTTTAACAGTAGCCAGACCGTGTGTCTGTTTATTTAAGTAAGTTTATATATATTTATGTATGTTAGATCTCAAACATGTTGATCCAAAAATGTATGCCTGCCCTGAAACTATTAAATTGATTTTCTTCTGAAAAAATTAGCCATAAGTTGTTATATATTCTCTCTTTGCTGGGGTACCTGCATTGTATCTTTCAGTCTGTTTATGTGTTTTGACCCTTTTCCCCAGGCAAGTAAGATTTAACGTGTTTCCATGCATGTTTAGGGACACATGTGCCTTGTTAACCACTATTAGTTCCTCTGCAGGGGAAATACATTGAGTTCTTAAATGTGGGCCAAAGGTTAGAAAGTGCAATCACACCCAGATGACATAAACAAGCCCTGCTAAATCCCCTTTTCCCTGCTGGTTAAACTACCTCATGGGATATGAACATTAATTTAGCAGAGCAAGCACAGATGTTTTATTTGCATGCATTGTCTCCAATAAATACATATCCCACTCCTGTGTATTTTTTTTATGGCACAGTGTTGAAGCTAGTCAAAAAATGCATTATAGGATTGGGGTGTACACCAAGTGCCAAAAATGTTATATTTTTAAAAATCAGACTTAAGTCAATGACGTGTTAAATTATACAGGGATAAAATTTAGCCAGAGACCAATTATGCCATTTCTATCTTCCCCTTGGTATAGGACCAAAACACTTTTTATATTTCTGTTCAATCCATCTTCTAATACAGATATATTCAAATTCCAATCCAATTCAAACAAAATCCAATAGAAATCTATTATATTTTAAATTAAATTTGGGTTAGCAATAAGACAACTATTGAAACCAGAGGATTGTGGCTTAAAATGGATACAGATCCAGCATTTTATTTAGATGTTTTTAGACATTCTGTGTTTTTAACTAAAGCAGGTCTTAGTTTAACTTTTCATGGAAAAAACAAAAGTGAAACATGGTTTTAAATGTTATGCTTTTCATTTAACGGTTAAATGCTTTCTATCTAAGTTAGGAAAAGGTGCTGTCTGGATTAATGCAGATTTTTTTGTAGAAGAGAATAAAAATAGATGGGTTATCTCTGCTGTCATACATGTGAAACCGAGCAAATGTTTCTCTGTCTGTGTTCTTGAAAGATGTTAAAGTCTTTTGAAAAACATAGGTAGAATACTGCATCCACATTATTAGGGCCAATACAATTGAGTTTATATATATGACGCCAATCCACAACACACGTCAAAAGCACTTTACAGTTCACCAGATCATACAGTTAAATTGATTAAAAGCTTTCTATCTAAGGAAAACCAGTTGATTGCATCGACTCGTTGACTCGAAGGCAGTCCCTCATACTGAGCATGCTTGTAGCGACAGTGGAGAGGAAAACCTCCCTTTTAACAGGAAGAAACCTCCAGTAGAACCAGACTCAGTGTGTGTCATTTTCCACATTGAATAGAACTGCGATTAGTTTTTGATTAAAGAAATTCTTCTAATGTTTGAATGTCTTTTTTCTTTTTCTTTGAAGTTAAACCTGTTATTGCAATGAGTCCACCTGTCATCAGTGTGATTGAGGACCAGCAGCTAACCCTTCCCTGTGTGCTGCTGGCTGGAAATCCGCTGCCAGAGAGGCAATGGCTCCATAACTATGGCCTGGTGGGGACAAAAACAGGAATTTTACAGTTTCTCTGTCTTGCATTAAAACTACTTATGGATTTTTTTTAAATGTTCTCCTCCTGCATTCTTCTAGGTGACCCCAGACCAGTATGTAACGGTGAGGAAGGATGGTAGTCTGCATATTGAAAGAGTTCAGATGGAGGATGGGGGTGATTACACCTGCTTGGCTGAGAACGTTATTGGGGCCACCAACCATACAACCACCGTTTACGTTTACGGTAGAGTCACCACCACACAAACACATATATGATGCAATAAATATTAGAAACAAAGATTGTTAGGGATGTTTCTTAAACTGTCGGCTTCCTTGTTAACCTTGAGAATCAGGACCCATTGTCCTGCATGTCTCCAGATGTGTTTCTCCTCCAGCAGGCCTGAATTAGAATATTACTTTCCCACCATTAAGGACTGAAGAGGTCTGTTAATCCTACATTTATTTAAGTTAGGTGTGTGGAGGCAGAAAACAGCTACAACACACAAGACAGACTGACATAAGGGCTTTGATTGAAGAAAGATAACATAGGCAATTAATGCTAACAAGGGTCTTATTTTTTATTTTGATTATTTAGTCAAAATAATGCCTTTTTTCTTGTCATTTTTTCTGAAGACATTTTTTTTATTTTCTTATATTTTGCAACCTGCCAACACGAAAACACATCTTAACAGCAAAAGGTTGCAATGGCCTTGTTTGACCATTGGGGGGCTAATGTGTTCAGGTTTATATGTGGGATTAGTTTTCTCCCATTTATTTAACATTCTGAATTTAGGCCAGAAAGTTCAACTTGGATCTCATATGACCAGGAGATTCATACAGCTATATGTGTGCAGCTATTATATGAAAAGATGGCAGAGTAGAGAAGTTTTGAATATTTAGGAGCAAGGACTATGGGGTGAATTTTGTTTCATTTTTGCTGTATGCGAAAAACACAATTTGCAAATGAAAAAACAAAAAAATGCAATCCATAAAAGAAATTTAAGTAAAGTTTTAATGCAAAAATATATTGTGAATAACTTTTTTTTTCTCAGATTCTTTATTCTGTTTTATTATTTGCATTCTTTTCATGATGCATTTTAGAGACGACATTCTCTTCACTCAAAATCTAATAAAAATGCTTCCTCTTGACATTCACATTAAACAATACAATGTTTTTGCTATCTTGCGAAGAGAAGTGAAGAGAATTTAATCTCCAAAATGCTATTTAGAAAGAAATCAATTAATAAAACTCATATTTAGAAAAAATGAAATCTGAAAAATAAATCGAAAAAAAAGTGTAAAAATTGCAAATCAAGTAAAAATAAAATAAAATAAGTACAATCTGTAAAATAAATTTGAATAATAATAAAAAAATAATTATAATTTAAAAAAAAGTCCAAGTCCAATTGGTGCTGTCTATTTACTGCATTTAGCTAAGGAATTGCTTAATGCTGATGATTTTAACATATACTAAATCATTAAAGTGATGTGAACATACCTTCCCCCATTTTGTTTTAGGAACACTGTCATCACAAACATCCGTATGATGTACAGTTAATGTTTTGGATGATTGTGGATCTCACACCAAAAAGAAAACCTGCAAGGCAGCCATCATGTACTGCACCTGCTTGAAGTTTACCAATCTTAATCCTTATAGTTATTTTTATAGTATAAAGGAATCCTGCGTAAAACACTGCCACTACATTTTGTGCATCACAAAAAGGAGCACATGGCCTGAAAATACTTTCCATTCATAAAAGCAACTTTAACCTTTTACAGATTGTGCGCTTATAGCAGCATGAATACATACATTTGGAGATTGACTCATTGCTCCATATAACTATATGATGTGGATCTTTTAAAGACACTTAAAAAAAATGCTGGTCTTGAATATTTTATTTATCTATTCTATTATCCACAGTTATCCCTACAATTCAACATGGACCTCAGGTATTTAGCACTATCGAAGGAACACCTACAACTTTGCCATGCCATGCCAGCGGAGAACCAAGTCCTGACATTACTTGGACCAAGGTATGTCTCTGTTATTAAAAAAGGAAATAATTGTTATAGATTTTCAAGTAAAAGTAAATGTGAAAGAGAACAGTTAAATAAAACATTCTTGAAGTTTGATTCTTTGTATTGGAGGCAAAAAACATGATTACTTTAGTTAATCTGTTATAAGTTATATGAGCATTGCTGGTAAACCTTTAGTGTAATTGATTAGTTTCAGGTGAAAGACACCATACTGAGGACCCCAGCGGTGGGTAGAGTATCCAAAACTTTTTGCTTCAGTACAAGTAGAAAGTATTCTTCCAAGAAATATCACAAGTAAGCATAAAAAAGCTTATTAAATAGCTACTTAAGTATTGAGTAATTGTTGACTCACATCGTCTCATATAATCTTGAAAACAGAATACACAATAAAATAAAAAAAAATAACAATAAATAGCAGGATTACAAAATAACAAATTTGGGATGGAAAAAACAATTTATCTTAAGATTTCTATTCAGTTTAAAACCAATCTTTATAGAAGGTAAATAAACGATAAATATGGAAGAAAAACAGTCTCATTGGAATCTGCCTTTTTTTTAACAATGAATTTTACACACTGAATTTTTTTAACAACGAATTTTAAACACTGAATTTTTTTAACAACGAATTTTAAACACTGAATTTTTTTAGACATTGAATTCCTTACACTCAATTTTTATCTGGTAAAAATTCACCAGAAAAAAATTCAGATGCAAAAATTAAGCTGCAAATTTTGCAGCTGATTTTTTTTGCAGCTGAATTTTTTGCAGCTTAATGTTTGCAGCTGAATTTTTTGAAGCTGAATTTTTTTCTGGTGAATTTTTACCAGATAAAAATTGAGTGTAAGGAATTCAATGTCTAAAAAAATTCAGTGTTTGAAAATTTGTTGTTAAAAAAATTCAGTGTCTAAAATTCGGTGTTAAAAAAAGGCAGATTCCAATGAGACTGTTTTTCTTCCACAGATAAAGAACATCCACCTAAAATATCTACTGTTCACTGCTTTTTCTCCTGATCTCAAATAGCTGCAGTTACTCAATTTTTTTTGGTAGAGTAACCAGAAATATACTCAAGTACGTGTAGAGCTCTGAAACATCAGTGGAGGCAGTTAAGTCATCTGTGAGCCAGACGGATCGCGCGCATAAAACAATCCTGATGGACGCACAAGCTTTGCTTTTATTAGCTTTCAGGTTTATTATCTGTCCGAGCAAAACTGTTTCAATAACATCATTTTATATATAATAGCTGCTGATAAATTAATAAAAAACTGTCGTTCTCTTTGTAACCGATGTTTTGACAAGATGATTTATCGACCAAACATTCTCTTTATTGTGTGATTTATTCCTTTAGGGTGGGGAGCTGTTAAACTTGGGTGGTCCAGCCTTCTCTTTAGATTTAGATGGCGGCCTCCGTATCACTTCACCTTCTGGAAATGAGACTGGAGAGTTTGTCTGCACAGCTACTAACGCAGCAGGATACGCATCGAGGAAGGTGCAGCTCACAGTCTATGGTAACCACCTGATTTTTTAAAGACACATAAAATAACTTCATGTACTGTGATCTACAGGGGTATGTACACCAAATATAATATAGATTTAAGTAACTAAGATTTATTACATATATCCTGTGGTATAGAAGTGCAGCTCTTCTGCTACACTAACATAGGTATAAGAAATCAGAATAAACAAATTATCAGAATAAAACGTCATGTAAATATCCCAGTTGGAATATTCTAATCAGGTTTGGCTTATTTGGTAGATTCAATGGAAGTTAATGCAAGCCTGTAAATACTTATCAGGATCAAATTATTCTGACTGAGGCAGACTGATGTGGTTGGTAAAATGAAATGTCCTTTTTAATTCCCGTTACATATCTTGATTTATGAGTACAGTATGAGGACAGTCTTCTCCTTCTTTCCCATCGCCTCCTGTGTCTAAAAGTAGCTAGCAGCAGTGATGGGAGTAACGGCGTTACTAACGCTGTTACCTTTTTTTTGTAACGAGTAATCTAACTAATTACTTTGACTGCAACTATAACGCAGTTACCATTGCCCACACTCTGTTACTGCACGTTACTCAGGTCGCACAATGAACCTTTTTTCATGATAGGACTCGTGCGCGCCTTGTCATGACAGAGGGGAGGGTGAAATTGGCTGATGTATAGTGAGATGTGGGTGGGTGTTTCCGCTGGTGGCTGTTAACGTACAGCACACACAGAGGGATGGAGAGGGAGGAGGTCTCCAGCAGCAAAATAGTGTTTTCCAGATGGAAATACCGGTGTTACGTCAAGCTGTGTTTCCCCATCAGATACGGTTTCCCGTGCATCTCCGCACAGCGCAGGCGGCACGATTCACCGCGCAAGCGACAGGAAACGCGAATGCTCGTTAAAGGCGCGTAACAGCCGCCCTGTGCTCGCGCCACACCGGAACTACGGAGAGCGTGAAGGATTAAATGTTAGCCTAAAGGGAGAAATCTGGATGGATGGATGGATGGATGGATGGATGGATGGATGGATGGATGGATGGATGGATGGATGGATGGATGGATGGATGGATGGATGGATGGATGGATGGATGGATGGATGGATGGTGGATGGATGGATGGATGGATGGATGGATGGATGGATGGATGGATGGAAACCCAAACACACAGGATTTCAGAATTAGACATCCCCAGTTATTAATTTCATAAACTCACCAGATCTGAACGCCCTGTTAAAAAACTTCACACCCATAGTAGTATACCGTTCCCCCCATGTTACGAAGAGGGGAACACTTCTAAACACCGTCAGATAGCGTTCCCCTCTTCTTAACATGGAGGGAACGCTATCTGGTGCGGTGTAAATATCATCAGGCTAAATATCATATATATCTGGTATATAAATATATACCTGGGTCCTTTATGAGCTAAAGACCCTTAACCCCACACTGCTCCCTGGGCGCTGCACAATGGCAGCCCACTGCTCCCCAAAGGGATGGGTTAAACGCAGAGAGTTAATTTTGTTACTTAGTACTTGTGACAGCGTAATGACAGTAAAAAAGCTGGAACAATGTTATTCTTATTTTAAATGTAAATCAACTAGTTCCATAGGCAAAGTGTCGCATCTACCATCTCAATTCAAACAAAAATGCACTAATTTTTAGGAAAATAGATTTCAGCTTTTTGCACTTTACTCATAAAGGGTCAAATAAAAAAAGGCAATGGTAAAGATACTTTTCCGTAAAACATATTTTTCCGCAAAACATAATAAAAATAAAATGTTTATTGTGTTCTGGTTTGAGACCATAAGGTTTTGAAAATCACTCGACAATTTCAAAATCTTGTCTTGTAAACCCTCCTTTAGTCGGATCAGCCATCTTATTCTGATTACAAACAGTAAAATCCGGCTATGCGTTTAAAAGACAGGACATGTGTTTTGAATTGGACTCATATAAATAAACTGAATTGAACTGAGTTTTGTTTTTAAGCAGAAGATATTTCAAATATTTGAATCACTTGCAAGTTTGTCTCTGGTCTCTTTCCTAGTGCGACCAAGACCCCGGGGTGGTGTTGCTGGAGGTTTACGAGACCCTGTGAGGATGTCAGTGATCAAGGGGGAGGATATCACTTTACCATGTGACGTTCACAGTGTTCCACCACCTTCTATCAGCTGGGCAAAAGAAAAACAGCTCATTTCCCCATTTTCCTCAAGGTAACATTCCACAAATATTTAACACACACGGGGAACTGAAGTCCTTTGTTTTTGTTTTATTTCACTCGTTGGAAACAACAGAATCCACATGAATAAGTAATTTGTCAGTTTGTTGATCCTTACACTCAAACATAAGTTAAAGCTCTTCCAAGGGAAGCCTGAATCCTTTCACACACTAAGGTCTTGCTTATTTCAGAGTGACAGCGCCAAACCTGATTCTGTAAGTATTAAGACAGCATGTCTGTGTAGAGAAAGAATCCAGAGGCGAAAAAGTCTGCAGTCCAGACCCGTCACACTGAAAACCTATGCAGCTTTGAGAAACCAAAATAGGACAAAGAAAGACTTGATGTTTGAAAACCCCCATGTAAGACAAAAAACAGCAAAAACATCTGCAACTACTGTTCTCCCGGCTCTCAAAGTTGTTTTAAAAAGCAGATGATGCAAACAACGTTTCTGCATCATTAAATATTTCCATAATTACATGGAAGGAAATTAAGGTAATAAATCATTTTTGCTTGTCCTTTATTCATTCTGTATAAATAAGTAGTTTTAATTATATCCATTTTATTTCAATTTAATTGCTTTGTCTCTGTCTGTCTGACTTGACTTGAGGGTAAAGTTTGAGTCTAAGTTGGTAAAGCAATCCTACATTTAATCTGTGATCTGCCAAAATAGCTGAAATTACAGTAAAACGTATATTTATTATAGGTGTTTTTGTTTGGTACGGAAGCCGAGAGTGGTCGAGGTCAACTTTTTTTTTTCTTTGCCTTTTCGAGATAACATTACGGTTAAACGATTAATTGTTTTACGAGAGAACAGTTTTTAATTTCTCGAGATAACAACATGATTAACCTGTATGAGTAATGAATGAGGCTGGCCAATAATCATGGCAAATAATCATTTTTTTTGTTTCCTATTTCTTTTCACTCATTGTCAGCTCGTGGTGGATGATTGGATTGCATTGAATAATACAGTAAAAACAAATCTGAATGATTTTGAATAAAGATCTTCAATCTGGACACATTTTAGGGGTTAATAACATCTTATACCTGTTACTGGCGTAACGCGGAGCTGTTCAGAAAACAAGGGCGCCGGAGGCATAGGTCTAATTGCTTATGAAACAGAAGTTGAAGCAAATCATTAAACACAGGATTATTTACAGAATGACACATAGGCTGCCATGACTGATAAATCCTCTTCCACTGTTTGTCATGATTTTATCCAAAGATCTGACCCACATGCAGAAAACCAAACAGAGAGATCAGGGGAAGGTTTAACAGGTTTATTGAGAACTAGTAGAGATGGGTCCAGTGCTGCTCTGAACACTGGCGAACCGGGACTTAAAAGTGAAGGGGAAGTTTCTGTGGTTAGTTCAGGCTCAGTGGGAAATTTGAGCTTCGATTTGCAAAAGGGAATGAAGGCAACAGGACTCACCTTTCCAGAAAAGGTGTCTTTCTCTGAATCCAGTAGGTGTGGGTTGTTCCAGTAATAGACTTGCTCCTTGGAGGGCGGACATGGTTTACCCAGGTTGAGGTGTTTCCTTGAGGAACTAAGGAGATGACTGCCACTAAGATTTCCTGCGGTACTTGAACGGTTTCTTGTGGATATGAATTCCCTGCTCAGAGAGAAGCCCAAACAATCCATGGGGAAAAGTAGATCCAAACTACCAGTTTGAATCCCCAGCTCAGTTTGACGCTCAGAGAATCCTTCCAGGGGGAGAAGGTCCAAAACATCCAGTTTGCAGGATGACTTCCTGCCGAGAGGCAAAGACAAAAACAACAAGGTTAGCACTCAGGTTGACGAAAACTCAGTTTGACTCAGCAAAACTCAGCTTGGCTAGAGTACCCAAAACTGGCAAACACTCTGGCATCAAGGTAGTGGCAGTCAGCAGTATAAGAGTCATCCGGTAATGGGGCAACCATCCGCAGGTGTGTGAGAAGGCCAACGAGAACCAGGCGCCACCTGGTAGTGGAGGAAAAACAAACAAAAACACAACCCACACAAACTGGATTCCTAACACTGTTGTTGTATTGAAGGATGTAATCAGTTTTAACACACACCACTCATCTTATTATAATGAGAAAACAGCTTTTTTATATTTAGATAATGAGAAAAATTAGCTTATTTTTTTGAGAAAACCACAGTGAAAAAGCATCTGAGGGACATGACCGCTCTCAGCTTCCGTAGTTTTGAGTCCAAATAGCCTAAATCATTGTGTGGAAACAATTGGTGCTCTACTGAGTTTGCTTTTCACATTATTTGGGAGTTTGCAGTCCTAGTTGTTAGAGCATAATTCAGTTTTGCAATTTGACGTACTGGTGTTGTTTCCTTTTCCCAGGCATCTGCAGCTTCCATCTGGATCGATGAAGATCCTGGAGACCAGAGCTTCAGACAGTGGACTCTATGTTTGTGTTGCTTCAAACCTCGCTGGTAACGTGACGTTGTCCATAGAGCTGAGTGTTTTAGGTATGTTATGCTTCATACTTTAACTGTTTTCAAATATACATGATAGTTTAAGCCTTTATAAAAATGTGTTTGATGCTAGAACAGGAAAAATGTAATTTAAAGTTAGACACTTAGTACAACTATTGTGCCTTTTTTTCTTACAGTGCAATGTTAATAGAAAGTTTCGACAGAACTTGAGGCAGAAGTAGTGAGACATTAAAGTCACAAGGTGACCACAAAGAAAGAGGGGGATGATGTACCCACATTAACCCTAAACAAACAACTGCAGAGTGTGAGGGGGATTCCAGCAATATGGCATGAAGTAGTAGTGCAAGCGTAGACCAATCAAAGAACTCATGATGCCAATATTGGCCAAGACCCACAAGTTCAGCTAGTGTTTCCCAGCAAGCCAGTCAGTCTAAACAATGAAATACTTACCCCAACTTACCACAGCTACGATGCCTCCACCTGTGACCCGTCTCAACTTACCTGTAAAATGAAGGAATACAAACCATCATGAAGACACAGCCAATGTGGTCACCCCTGCAAAAGCTATAAGCGTGAGTTCAGAGGCACAAGGGCAGCCAATGTGCTTGCCCAGAGTCCCAAACCATAAATCAGTGCTCTGCCATTATCTCGACACTTTTGTGGGGCTTTGATCTTTTTCTGGTCGGTAACCATGACCTTTTATTCAAAGGACCCAACTTGCATACAGTCCTTGTCGCTCTCAGCTGTAAGATGTTCTAATGAAATTGATGGCTTGAAGTTGTCAGCTGTTTTTGTATTATATTATCTGTCCAAGAAAAAAGAAAAAAGTAATATTGGGTGAAATTATGACTTACGGAAATAACACAAAAACTGGCTACCTCAAAGTGTCCCAAAAAATATTGAAAGACCTTTTTAAGGAGTAAAGAAGTATTCCACCAAACAATACCAGTACAAGAAACTGTGAGTATTTTAAAAGAACATTGTAGAAAATGGGAGCTAAGTGAAGATGTTCCAAAAAATGAAAATTTAAAAACAATCCACTGTACTCTGTTTCCAAGTTGGAAGATGTCTCGCTTCTCATCCAGGAAGATTTTTCAATTCAAAATGTCAGGAATAGTGTTGAGTTTGACTTTTTATAAAGTAGCCCAACAAAGCCTTGATTTTGTTTCGAAAACATGCCAATTGGAACGGATGAAGGGCTCCCCACTAACAACATGTTTTCAGATTCAGCTGAAACACTTAAGGCTGACATATTTGTACCCTTTCAGCCACTTTGATCAAAATGGTGATGTGACATGGTGTTCCCTATTGGGTTCACCGCCCTTTGGATTTATAAACCACAAATTCTAAGTTGCTTCTAAGAGTGCTTCTTTTCTATTTTGTTATGATGCTATTGGACTGTAGCGGAATGTGTATTCATTAAAGCAATATTTGTTTCTAATGAAAATGCTAATTTTGTACAGTACTTGAAGTCGCTTTAACTGGATCACCTCAAAATGACATTTCCTGTTTGTCTTGTAAAATGTCAAAAACCATCCAGTTGGAACATAGTGACCTATGTTGCTGGTCCTGCTCGGAAGTTGTTAGAAATTTACATCAACACTGACAGGGTTTGGTTGAAGTTTGAGGACCCAATTGCAGAGGCAGGGAGGTAGAGGTGAGTTTCTTGTAGATTTAATGAGTGATCCCCGGTAGCAAAAACATGAATCCAAAAATCCAACGTAAAAATTAAACACAAACAAGAACCATGGAGACATCAGGGGAAAACAATCAGGAGGATCCCGGGTAAGACGAAGTAAGACGGAGTTGGACGAAGTTAGACGAGGAACCAGCACTGAGCAACTGCACAAGGAGAGTATTTATGGCTAACTGAACAAAGAGAGGACTAACGAGCAGATTGGGAGCAGCTAGGGAAAAAGGAGACCAACACAAGAGGGCAACAAATAAAAACCTAAGAACTGAAATATAACCAGAAAACACAACAAAATAAAAATTAAACCAATAAAACTAGAAAATATGGAGAAAAGTTAAACTGAATACTCAAAAGAAAGCATAACAGAACCAAGACTGTGACAAACAATCATCATTACTGTTCAGTAATGTTTTACTATTCCATATATAACATGTTGTTTTGGTAGACAACCAGGAGCCTTTGTGTTTCTTTGACTCCGTTTTCTCTCCTGCAGTTCCTCCTAAAATCCACCCAGGTCCAAAGGTGATAAAGGTGCAGGTTGGCCATAAAGTAGAGCTGGGTTGCATGGTGTCAGGGGTCCCAGAGCCTACTCTCAGCTGGACCAAAAATAACAAAAGTTATCCTGTGTCACGTGATGGAAGTCTGACACTTTCGGATATCAAGCGTGAGGATGAAGGAATCTACACATGCACAGCCACTAACACTGCCGGCCAGGACCAGGCTCAAGTTAAGGTTCAAGTTCAAGGTTGGTTTATTTACTTTAGATTACAGTCCCTGGTCACTCTTCTTGACTAGACTTGGCTAGACTGGACCCCATTTTGTGTTCAAAAGATGTTTATTATGTTTCCCAGAGATCCTGGTCTATACTGACCTCATAGTCATAGTTTCTGTAGATTTGTTGGCTGCACATCTTGACAGAATGTGCTCTATATGACTAAGATTGGATTGCTGTGAAAACCAGTGTAGTTCATTGTGTTAATTAAAACGTTTATAATGTTCTTGTTTGAGACGTTCAGCAGTGCCCTTCTAGAGGTATCTAAGAATCTTGTCCAAAACTGTATGAATTTCAGCAACCATCGTCAACATGTCTAGATGCCAAAATGCATTGTTGCTACCACTTTGTTTCCATTAACTGCGTAGAAATTTAAAAGTGCTTGACTATAATCTGCCATCAATAGGAAATATGAGGAAACAGAAAGAGAATTAAGCTTTACTGTATTTTTATTACTGTTTAAAATTGTTAATGCCTTTGTAAAATGCTTATTTGATTCCTTTCAGCGCCTCCTGTTGTCGAGGTTGCAGAACCCCCTTTCAACAGCCCCCTGCAGGAAAGGGTTTTGAACCAACGCATTGCATTCCCCTGCCCTGCCAAAGGTGCTCTACCATCCCCTCTTATGTTTTTCTGTGTTGCTTAAAAATGCCTGATAACTTCAAAGTTCATTCTTGGTCTCAGAGAACCTGAAAAAGAAGAATGAAGCACTCCATATTAACTTGCAGATTTTACTTTTATAAAGAATAAATGATAATTGAACTATCTTCTATTATGTCTCAGGTCTACCTAAGCCAGTCATCAGTTGGTTGCGTAATGGTCAAGAACTGACAGGCAATGAGCCTGGAGTGTCTATCCTGGATGATGGTACTCTGCTGATACTTGCTGCTGTTTCGCCTCTGGATGACGGAGAGTATGTCTGCACTGCAGCTAATGATGCTGGGTCCACTGAGAAAAAGTACCAGCTCAAAGTTAACGGTGATTGAACTGTTCCCTGAATTAGAGACATAAGAGTTCAGACTACAGCGAAACAACTTGTACAGTGATGTAGTCCTCTGAATGTTTCTAGTGCACGTATCATTTTATATCATTCCACTACAGTACCACCGGATTTCCGTGATGGGGACAGACCAAGCAACACATCAGTAATCCTAAACGAGCCAGTCGACTTGGAGTGTGATGTCACGGGAAGTCCAAAACCTGTCATCACCTGGTATAAAGACGGCACTCCTGTAAGTGCATGCATTCCAAATAGTTTTCTTTTCTCAATATATCTTTTTTCTTGTTGCTTTTGTGCAAATGTCCGGTTGAAAGGCCGGGCTGTTGGCTCACTAAGGTTTTGCTACTTCTCTAAGATCTTCACAGAACAACTAGACTTATCATTATCATTGTAATTTCATACTGACAGGAGTTTCTAAGGAACTCATGAACATTTCCTTTAACATACCAGTGAATTTCAAACCCAACAACACATTCAGACAAAAACTAGTTCATCCTAAAGACAGAGCACCCAAACCAAAGCTGAGTGGCTTGTTCATGTGGTCCAGTGCAACGAGGACTGTCCGGACTCTTATATTGGAGAAACGCAACAACTACACGATCACATAGCACAACACAGGAGAGCCAGCAGCTCTGGGCAGGATTCAGCTTTAGACCTACAACTCAAGATCCATGGACACATCTGTGGCGACCAAAATGTTCGGATTTTGGAAAGAGAGGAGTGATGCGTTGAAAGAGGGGTGAAGGAAGTCATCTCTGTGAAAAGTGAATGTCATGATGTTACAAAGTTCTGACCCAATAATGCAGACAACCGAACAGAGAGACCAGGGAAAAGGTTTAACGGGTTTTATTGAAGAAGTAAAACGGGGGAAGAAGTGTTGCTCTGAACACAGCTCAACCGGAACTGTAAAGTGAGAGGAAGACACAGCGGTTAGTTCAGGCTCAGTGGGGAATTTGACTCGTGAAACTTGGAGAAGAGGTTTTGGTTGCTGACTCACGTTTCCAGAGAAGTTGTTGAATCCTTGACTCCTGTCAGTGTGCCGTGGTTCTAGTGTTTGTCTGATTCGGTGGAGGGCGGAACAGGTTTTACCCAGAATGCGGTTGATAGTTGGTGAACGGAGAAACTGACTGCCACTCAGATTTCCTGCAGTACTTGAACGAGTAGCAGTGGAGAATAATCCCTTTCTCAGTGAGAAGCTCAAACGATCTCTTGGGGAAAGTGGATCCAAACCTCCTGTTTGAACCCCAGCTTAGTTTGAAGCTCAGTTGATCCTTCCAGGGAGAGAAGGTCCGGAAAATCCAGTTTGCAGGATGACTTCCTGCTAAGAGGCAAAAACAAAACAAAGTTAAACTCAGGTTGACAAAAAACTCAGCTTGACTCAGCAAACTCAGCTTGGCTAGAGTACCCTAAACTGGTAAACACTCTGGCGTCGAAGTAGTGGCAGTCAGCAGCTTAAGAACATGTTTAACGAGGAAACCATCAGCAGGTATGTGAGGAGGCGGACCATAACCAGGTGCCTCCTGGTGGATGAAGGGAGACAAACACAGAAAACACAGACTCAAAAACAGGAGTACTGACAGTGAAAAGCATAACTGATCCAGGAGGGAGGATTGCGGTTTTAGCTTCTACAATTCAAGCCTTAAACTCATTATGAAGAGATTATATAAACACTATCATAATTCAAATGAACAAACAAAAAACTTCAAAAACCCAGGAGAACGAAGGGTGGGTCATGGATTTGCATCTGACTTGAAATGTGCTGCAAGCAACATCAGTACTCCAAAAACATATTTCTCTGGTGAGCTGACAGAATTGACAGATTATTGGATATGTGCTGAAACATTTTCAGAAAAGGATGAAATAACAGTTATAGAACTGATGATAGTGTACAAAAAAAAAATTTGTTTTCTAATTGGTTCATCAACACTCATATAAACTTATGCTCTAATTAGACCATGCAAGGTGCATTCGACTGTTGTATTCAAAATATTAAATTAAACAGCAATCAAAATAAACAGTTGCAATACTGCCTGCTTTTAGATGTTTTTGTTCTTTTCTTTTGCTGTCAGGCAGGGAAACAATCTAAGCCGACCGAGCTGTAATTTTCTTTGGAATCTAAGCCAAATCAATCTGCTTTCTAAGTGATTTTTGGCTTTAAACCTTTTTTGACTTCTGCAAAACTTTTCCCTCTCTTGGTCTTTTGATTTTTAGATCTGCTTGCTATTACCAGTATGTGTCCCAGTAAATGTCAGACAGCATTTCCTGAACCTTCTGTTATTCTGTTGGATTTGATTTAATGTATTTATGTTAATTAACAGGTTGTTACCAGTAACAGCATCCAGATTCTTGACATGGGAAAAACCCTGAAACTGCTGAGGGCAGAAACAGCTGACGCAGGCAGCTACAGCTGTGAGGCCATTAACATCGCAGGCAGCAGAGAAAAAATCTTTGTTTTGGACGTACTTGGTAAGTAAAGTCAGCGAGGAGTCCTCACAGCCAGCATAGTGCATGTTTTTAAATCAAGCTGACTGTTTTAATTTATGCTCCCTAGATTAAAAAAAGAATGCTTCACAAATTAGGTCCTTAAGTAGAATTTCTGCATCTGTCATAGCTTGAAATGAATTAACACTGCCATTTTATTAAAACAACTCTAAACATCTAAAGATGTGTTAAACATTTAATTACAAACACAAGATAATTGATGACCTTATTCTTTCTCTCAGTCCCACCAACAATTGTAGGATCTGGTTTTCCTCAGGATGTTTCTGCGATTGTCAAACAAGAAGTCCTTCTCGAATGCAAGGTGCAGGGTTCACCATTTCCCACAATTCAGTGGTACAAAGGCAGAAGGTGAGTGCCTTCTGACTTTTATAGAGTATACTTTCCCATAATGGTGGTCAGGACCTCCTAGGGGGTTGCAGGATACCAAGTGAAGGGAAACAAGATGATTTTCACTACTATTGTGCTGTCATCCCTGAGGTGTATAGAGGGCCAAGATATATTATGAAACAAATAAATGCACATAACTAAATATATAAAATTAAATAATAGAGTGGAAACTTCCAACTAATAATCAAAAATACATTTAGTATAATAAAATAAAAATAAAAAAAATGAATACTGTTATTTTGATAATGGTATGTAATTTTTGGCGGTCACTAATCTGTGTCACTGTTATTATTGCAGTCCCAGGTGAAAATGTTTAGGAACCCCTGGTTTAGAACAATGTTCCTTAGAAACTTGATTAAAGCTGCTTGCTTTTTGCAGCAAATCATGAAAACCAGGAGATAACTGCAAAGATTAAAAGAAGAGAAGGGGAGGAAAAAGGGAGAAATGTGACACCAATTGGTTTTGTTCTGTGTTTTTTTCCCCTAAATGTACAATTTGTTATCTCATCTAATGGATTAGAGATTATTTGTTATTTTATAGTGTAATAGTTTAAAAAAGGGGGAAAAAAAGTTTATTTGTGGATTTCTTTAAAATTCAAAATGAGTACATACCTGAATCACACACATAGATACAGACTGATACTGAGTTCTGTACTGATTATTTCACTATGAATGTATAAATGTATGTAATCCTTGATTAGAAAAGGTTTTTATGTTCTATGATTGTTCCATCGATGAATTTGCATTTAAAATGTTTCAATAGAAGTTCAAACTTAATGTGATGATGAATGTATGTAAACCTTGAAACCTAAACTGGAAGCATAACCATAAACTAAGGTTTCCATCTAACTGGGTTTTATTTCTCTTTAGGTTGGTGTTTCTTGGTGATCCAAATCTGAAAGTCATGAATAGAGATCAGGTGTTGAGGATAAAAGCTGCTCGTCTTGGAGACCAAGGTCACTACCAGTGCAGCGTCACGAACGCAGCTGGAAAACAGTCCAAAGACTTCAACCTTAGCGTCTATGGTAATTATTTCCCTTTCTATTTGCTTAAGAATGAAACAGTCAAATATTACTCCCATAATGGTTGAAGCAGCAACCTGGCCAAACATATACAGTAAACACCCAGACAAGTGTGTGTTAAATCAATTTACAGACGTAAATGCACATGTCCAGTCTGGCCAACTCATCTAAGCTAAGTTAGATTTAAAAGTCCAATCGCTAAAAGGTTATAAGATGTTCAGTAGTGGTCTCATCATAGGAAAATGACACTGACTGGAACTAAACATACAGACAACCAAACCATCATATAATAGAGATGCCAAGAAGACCTACTACAATATAGGATCAATAGAAAAGTCTAAGAAACCTTTCAGACACCAAATTTATGCTACAGCACTGAAAAAAATAAAATCTTTTTCCTCTTATTAGTGTTAGTATCTGTGTTCAAATCAGATTTCAATTTTTCCTCACAGGCAGTTACTAAGTACTTGTAATTCTCCGCAATTAACCCTTTTTGACCATCTATGTCCCTAACCTGACTCCGCCAAATGGATTTGCTCCGCATAGCCGTCTGGAAACCTTCCGTTGAAGTAATTTTGGGAAGGGGGGAAATACTGGTTAGCTGATTTGCCTATGTTGGTGATAGACGGGCCAAATAAACCAATCAGATCAACGAAGCATATGACGTACTAACCGAGCGACGACGAAAACACAACCACAAGTAGGGCTGGGCAATATAGAAAAAAAGCTTATTGATAAAAAAAAATGCATATTAATCGATATCGATAATTATTGAAAAGATTTGAAACCATATTTTATGTGCAGCTCTGCCTGGACTTTTTATGATATTGCTAAATGATTTAATTTTAATAAAGAACACAAACACAGACTTCCAATTAAATCTTTATTTAACCAACTTTTTTAACCATAACAGAATTGTTTTAAAGCTACAATGTGTAATAATTACAGGGATATACAGTCAGAAATGTAATATATTATACATAACTATGTTATTTATCATCATCTACGAGCTCAGCCTCTTAACCCTAATATTTGCGTTGCCTTAGAATTCGTTATTTATAATTACATAGGAGCGGGTCTCGCAGCCATGGAGGCAGACATCTTTGCGCTACGGCAGTGCAGAGCCAACAAACTAGTGATTGCGAGATCGCCAAGATGTCAAAACGATGTAGAAAAAATAACGGGTATATTTATTATCTTAAGTCTACATGAAATCTATACCCTACACAGACTAATGAAATACTATCCGTAAAATTATCTATGTAAACAAACCTCATCACTTGAGAAGGTAGGTGATGCGTACGTCGTGGAAGACATTTTGTCCCGTAACGCTCACCGTACTGTTTGGGGGGAGAAGCGGTCGGGGGGAGATGTTCATGTTGCTGCAGTCTGCAGTCTGACCGCTAGATGTCGCTAAAAGTTACACACTGTAGCTTTAAGGAAAAATAACTTAAGAGACCTGAGTTATGTTATTAAATACTGACAAAGAATAAATTAAGGTGACCAGAAAAGTGACCAAAATAAATATAACAAATAAATAAATGGACCGCCGCCACCCGCATTCCTGTTTTAACCTGAGTTATTACTTTGAAGTTTCTGGCCCCTCAGCATTTTTCTTTCAATTGTTAGAACTACGTGGGAACCTGCCCAGAACTGAAAATATATATATATTTTCCGAAATTCCCGAAGATTCCTCTGAGGACGAAGCAGATGCACGCCGAGGCCTACACAGCTCGTACTCCTGCGGGTGTGAGCGGCTGAGATGATTAAAAAAAAGTTGGTTGCGTTATCAGACTTCGTTTTCACTGGTTCCCTATACATTTTACAGATGACTGTGGTTTGTTTTTTGTCCGACTTGCCATGACCGAAATACTGCCAAACTGGCGAACTACAAAAACCTTCTTTGGAACAATTTCCTCCACCTCTCCTTGCTGTGACATCTTCATGTGCTCTGTGTTGTGGTTTGAGAGGGCGGCGCTTTGTGATGGCATGCCTGGGTCCGCGATTGTGATTGGTTGGGAAGAAGTAGTGACTAGCATAAACCTACATGATAGGCTACAATGAGAAGGAAGGAAAACTGCTTTTATTTATCGAACTTTTATCGACTCTCTTTTTTTCTATTGCGCCACACGTCTATCGATCGATATATATCGTTATTGAATTATCGCCCAGCTCTAACCACAAGCCAGGCTACTCTTGCCGAAACAAGTCGGGAGAAGAGCAAAAACATCTTTTCCTCTGAGAAAAGCCTCCAGAGCAGTGTTTTGCTCTTCTTTCAGTGAAGAAATACTCTGTAATTCCGATAAAACTTGCTCGATAGCCACGCTAACGCTAGTTTCATCGGCTGAAGCCGGCATGTTCTTTAGACTGAACTGTCGCGCTTCTCGTTGCGTCATACCTCAACCCGCCTCAAAGCCAAATTTTCTTTAACGGAGAGTCTCCAGACTGATCTGCGAGTGAAACCTTTAAAGCTCGCGAGATCAGGATGGTCTCACAAGGCTAGTATGTCCCTGGACCTATGCGTATTTCTGCTCTATCCGAAGTCTACAATAAGCTGTTTTTTTGTTTGTTTCGGAGGCCTTAAGGTCTAAGAAATTGTAATGATAAGAACTTTTATTCCTGTTACCGTAGTACCTCCTGCCATCATTGGAGGCAACACAACTTTGGATGTGACAGCACTGCTGGACACAACGGTAACACTGGAGTGTGAGGTACGTGGTGTGCCGCCCCCCACCATCACTTGGTACCGCAGAGGAGAGGCCATCATGTCCGGCAGACATGCTCAGTATGTAGAGAGAGGCCTCCGCCTGAAGATCCCACGAGTGCAGGCGTCTGACGCTGGACAGTACACCTGCAAGGTTAACAACCTGGCTGGGAGCGCAGAGAAGAGCTTTAATCTGGACGTCTACAGTAAGATTTGTTTCGGATTATTTGCTATTTATATAAATATCGTTTTAAGGAACCTTCTCCTTTCATTCGAACATTAACATTAAAAATATTTACAGGCGTGCTCAGGTGGGTCACATATTAGAGACTCATGGTGTTGAATTCATGCTTGGAGAGAAGTAGTTTCTGTGTGAAGTTTGTAAGAAAAATAGTTTTAAAACTTTGCTAGCAAGAAGTGGCCACTTATGGTTTTCTGTTTAATTACTTATTTTTATAGGAGTCAGAGTCAGTGGGCCCAAATTGATCAGAGCCAACATAAATAGAGATGCGATCTTGAAGTTGTGCTTCACCTTAATTATTTTTGCTTAATTTTTTCTTTGGTTGATAAATGAGAGGTTTTAGTGGGAAAGTCTGCAAAGTTTTAATGCCTTGTTATCTTTTTTTTTATTCATTTCCTTCAGGGCCTCCTACCATCACAGGTGTGGAGGATGAGCCCATTGAGAGGAAAGTGGTCCTCGGTAAGCATCTGATCCTGGAGTGTCAGGCGGCAGGTCATCCTCCACCCTCCCTCACCTGGCTGAAAGACGGAGTCCCTGTGCGTCATGGAGAAAGTGTCAGTCTTTCAGAGCAGGGAAGGAAATTAGAAATCCTCTCAGCCAGCATGTCAGATGCAGGACGTTACATCTGTGTGGCTACAAGCATTGCTGGAGAGAAGGAGGTCAAATATGATGTCAAAGTTTTAGGTAAAAAGACACAAAAAATATTTTATTATTGGCATAAACAAACACTGTTTAAAATTATACTCTTTATAATATCAAATAATTCCTTACTTGGTAATCATCCCTATTGACCAGCAGGGGCCAGTGTTGGCCACGGTACTGAAAACATACAGTGCAAACATTTAAATATAATTAGCCCATTTTTTCCTTAAATTTTGTGTATATGTTCTTGATTTGAGGAGGTAAGATAATTTGCTTATTGATTAGGATAATTTGTGTTTGTCTGTAATGTCTGTAACCCACAAAGATTCACATAGCTGCTGTATTTAACTACCCACATGTTACAGATTAATTTTGCTCAAATCCTGCATGACTTTTATAGCAAATGTAAAAACTGTTTTCCAGAGGTGGAAAAAGTACTAAAATATCATAATCAAATAAAAGTACCAATACTTGGATTAAATATTACTCCCGAAAATGTTGCTTTTCCACTTAAAATTCAATACAATCCAGCTTTATTTACAAAGCACTTTAAAATTTCTCAAAGAAAAAAAGTTCTGTAAAGTGAAACAACATAATACCATTACACACACTCAAAAAAAGCAAGCATAAAAGAATCAGAACTATAAAATCTATAATAAAATAAAAATAAAAGTAATTTAAAATAATGTATCACAGACTAAAATCAACATCTCACACAGTTTAGAAAGCCAAGGCAAAGAGATGAGTGATTTAAAATAAAACAAAGAAGTAGACAATTCACATTAACAATGGAGAAATACTTGTTATACAAACATACCTTAATATGTTTGTCTAGCTTAATTCGATTTAGGTTTTTTACACCTTGTTAACAATTTTAGATCAGGTTCTGTGAATTTTCAGCCTTGAAGCAACTGGAACTGCCTGAATTAGAACAACTGCTGCGTGATAAACCTCAAACAATTGCAGCCCTGTTCTGTTGACTTTCCTCTTGGCAGATTCTGATAACAGAAAAAGCAAGCATGCGTTGTCAGCAGGATTCGAACCTGCGCGGGGAGACCCCAATGGATTTCTAGTCCATCGCCTTAACCACTCGGCCATGACAACTCTTGTGTGGGAGAGCTGACGCTGTTTTATTTCCAAAGCGAGACACTCAGTTTCAGTTTTCAGCAGCAATCACAAGAGAAGAAACATACGTACAGGTGCTGGTCATAAAATTAGAATATCATGAAAAAGTAGATTGATTTCAGTAATTCCATTTAAAAAGTGAAACTTGTATATTATATTCATACATTACATACAAACTCATATATTTCAGATGTTTATTTTGTTTAATTTTGATGATTACAAATGACAACAAATGAAAATCTCAAATTCATCATATCAGAAAATTAGAATATTGTGAAAAGGTTCAAAATTGATGGCCCCTGGTGCCACGCTCTAATCAGCTAATTAACTCAAACCACCTGCAAAAGCCTTTAAATGGTCTTTCAGTCTAGTTCTATAGGCTACACAATCATGGGGAAGACTGCTGACTTGACAGTTGTCCAAAAGACGACCATCGACACCTTGCACAAGGAGGGCAAGACACAAAAGGTCATCGCTAAAGAGGCTGGCTGTTCACAGAGCTCAGTGTCCAAGCACATTAATAGAGAGGCGAAGGGAAGGAAAAGATGTGGTCGAAAAAAGTGTACAAGCAAGAGAGATAACCGCACCCTGGAGAGGATTGTGAAACAAAACCCATTCAAAAATGTGGGGGAGATTCACAAAGAGTGGACTGCAGCTGGAGTGAGTGCTTCAAGAACCACCACACACAGACGTATGAAAGACATGGGTTTCTGCTGTCGCATTCCTTGTGTCAAGCCACTCTTGAACCACAGACAGCGTCAGAAGCATCTTGCCTGGGCTAAAGAGAAACAGGACTGGACTGCTGGTGAGTGGTCCAAAGTCATGTTCTCTGATGAAAGTAAATTTTGCATTTCCTTTGGAAATCAAGGTCCCAGAGTCTGGAGGAAAAGAAGAGAGGCACTTCATCCACGTTGCTTGAAGTCCAGTGTAAAGTTTCCACAGTCAGTGATGGTTTGGGGTGCCATGTCATCTGCTGGTGTTGGTCCATTGTGTTTTCTGAGGTCCAGGGTCAACGCAGCCACATACCAGGAAGTTTTAGAGCACTTCATGCTTCCTGCAGCTGACCAACTTTTTGGAGATGCAGATTTCATTTTCCAACAGGACTTGGCACCTGCACACAGTGCCAAAGCTACCAGTACCTGGTTGAAGGACCATGGTATCCCTGTTCTTAATTGGCCAGCAAACTCTCCTGACCTTAACCCCATAGAAAATCTATGGGGTATTGTGAAGAAGAAGATGCAATACACCAGACCCAACAATTCAGAAGAGCTAAAAGCCACTATTAGAGCAACCTGGGCTATCATAACACCTGAGCAGTGCCACAGACTGATCGACTCCATGCCACGCCGCATTGCTGCAGTAATACAGGCCAAAGGAGGCCCAACTAAATACTGAGTGCTGTACATGCTCATACTTTTCATGTTCATACTTTTCAGTTGGCCAACATTTCTATAAATCCTTTGTTTTTATTGGTCTTCAGTAATATTCTAATTTTCTGATATGATGAATTTGAGATTTTCATTTGTTGTCATTTGTAATCATCAAAATTAAACAAAATAAACATCTGAAATATATGAGTTTGTATGTAATGTATGAATATAATATACAAGTTTCACTTTTTAAATGGAATTACTGAAATCAATCTACTTTTTCATGATATTCTAATTTTATGACCAGCACCTGTATATGCATCTGCAACATTTTACTATTGCTTATCTTTTGCTATAGATAAACAATAAACAGAGATTTCTTATATCAATTCTAGTTCCTCCTTTCATTGATGGAGCTGATGTGGTGACAGAGAGCACAGTAATGATTAACACTCCTTTGGAGCTGGAGTGTCACGCCACCGGGTCAGCTGCACCCGCCATCATGTAAGGCATCAGTCCAACATGCACATAAATGGTCATATGTATCATACCGACAAAAAAATGCAACTGTTTATTCTCAGGTGGTACAAAGATGGAAAACGACTCCGATCTGGAGAAGGGTTGAGGATTGCAGCCAACGGGAGACGACTGATTATTTCCCGCGCTCAGATCTCTGACTCAGCTCATTTTCTGTGTCTGGCCACAAACAAGGCTGGAGTCCATGAGAGGAGCTTCAATGTGACTGTCCAAGGTACAAAATAAAAAAAAACTATAACTTAAAAAAAAACAACAACCTAGATTTCTGTTGTTATGCAAATGTTCATATGATTATTTATATTTTGAAATCCCAATACAAGCTGCAGGAAAGCTTTGTCTTTGGGTAAATATGGCTCATTTTTTATTAATTTATAAATTTCTTTAATCAATTTTCCCTCCATATGGAGTTCTGAGGTGAAAAAAGGTGTATTAAAAAATAATTAATTGAAAACTAATTCATAAATTTCTGCAGTTCCTCCATCTATGCGTTTGAACGGGCCTGTCGATCGCTCAGTGATTCTTCACAAACCGATCAGTTTGGACTGCATCTCCAGTGGCATCCCTCCCCCTAGTATTACCTGGCTTAAAGATGGCCAACCTGTGGTCACAGCGGAGGAGCACATCAAGGTAGCTTTCAATTTCTTGAAGAAAATCTGTGGTTCAGTCAAATCTATAGTTAAGGTTGGAATTATTTAAACCATTGGAATATTTAGGTCTGGGGTGATGAAAACATAATCCATATCAGTTGATATTTTCTGATGGTTTAAAATGAAATCATACAGAGAATCAAAGAGATAACAAGATCAGTTTCTAACCTTTATTATTTATTAGGGATGCACGATATAATCGGCCCCCTATCGGTATCGGCCTGTATCGGCCTTAAAACTGAATATCGGACATCGGCCACCCCACCGATATTTAATCCGATATTTGATAAGCTTCTGAGTTTCTAAAGTCTAAAAAAAAAAAAACTTCTTTTTTACAGACTTAAAAACTTCTAAAGACGAGGGAAAAATTATTGATACATTAAAATATCACAATATCTTCATATGCTGATATATTGCCATTTAAAAACACCATATCAATCTCTTTTACTAATGAAATATTGCTATATGTCATCGCTATGCTATGAAATCCCCCGAAAATTCACAAATTTTTGCCATATTTTTATATGTTGATATATTGACGCGGTATCGATCTATTTTACTAACAAAATCTCACAAGAATTTGCAAAATATCACGAGAGTTTGTAACAGAACGATGAAATTTTGAAAGTAAAATAGATCGATACCGCGTTTTTAAAAATCAATTTGATATCAGCATATGAAAATATATTTGAGTATATTATTTTTCAAAGTGTCAGAAATGGATAACAAAACTGCAATTTTCAATGACTACTTATTTTTGTCCAGCTTTAACATCGGTATCGATATCGGTTATCGGCTATATGAGTTGTAAAATATCAGCATATCGGATATCGGCCAAAATCCCAATATCGTGCATCCCTATTATTTATTTATTTATTTATTTATTTATTTTTATTAAATCAAAAGATAAACTGCCAATACAATTTTTGCTTATAGACTAATAAAAGCCAAGTTAGTTTTTTGCTCTATGATAATTTCTCCCTCCAAATAAATACTCAAGTTTATCTAGTGTGGCAACTATTCTGGAATCAAAGAATCTCCCATCACTTTTATTCAGATGACTGCAAAATGTTTATGCAATAAAAAAATGTTTTTACAATATAATGGTTTCCTGACAGCCATTGTGGTTGGCTCAAAACATTTTAAATCTAAACCGGAGGTCTTCAACAGGGGGTCCGCGACCCCTGGGGGGTCCACAGAGGTACTGCATGGGGGTCGCAAAATTTTTGGTTGACTTTTTTTATATTCTCCCCTGCAATTTTTTCCACTAATTGAAATGTCTTTAGATAAACATTAAAATGAATACAACACTGTAGTAAACAGATAAATGGAGGCAGAAGATGTCTTTCAGTCATCAATGCACACATTCAGCGACACACAGGAGCTCTTTCAAGCTGGGCACCGTTTCATTCACAACACCTGTCCCATCAACCAGGAATCATAATCAGAAATATTTTAATAATCCCAGGAAGGAATTACTTTTGTTATATTACTCCATCAAACACAGTGACCATAGGACCAGTTTGATATAACACAATTTCATAGAATATATATAATTAGGGGGTTCCCGCTCCATCAGTTTGGGGGTCCTCGGCCTGGAAAACACTGAAGCCCCCTGATCTAGACGAAAGCGAACTGGAAACCTCTGGTGTTTCGACCTCTGGACCCACTGAATAACCTGGGCCAACTTAAAGAATATGTTCATTCTTTTATCTTTATTGATTTGGATTTTAACGTCCACAAGCAAATTAATACTGTTGTAGAACAGCTCATCTTCTCATCAAAAGTCAAACCGTTTTCATCTTTCTAGACAGGAATAAATCAAAATGTGCAAATGAGTTATTACAGAAACAAAAGACTCTCTGACGTCTGCTATTTCAGGCTAACCAATGCAGAAAAAGGATCAAACATGGTTTGCTTGTACTGTATTAAGGGTTGTGATATTGCTCCACCTGTGTCTAACTGTGGTTTTAACTACCACAGCTGCAGTCAGCAGGCAGGACTCTACAAATCACAGAAGCAAGACTAGAAGATTCTGGGAGATACACCTGCCTGGCCACAAACGCAGCCGGAGAAGCTCAACAGCATATTCGACTGAGTGTCCATGGTAATTTACAGAAACACTTAACTCTGTTGAACATCTTCTTTTTATCATTTTTGCTTCCTAACAATAGGGATAACATCATTATTTGTCTTCAGAGCCTCCCAGCATCCCCCTCTCTGAAGACATCATCAACCAGACTATTCTGTCAGGCTTTCCCACTGAGCTGGAGTGCAAAGCCTCAGGAAGTCCATTACCTGGTAAGACTGATTGTTGGTGTCCTCCACCATCCTGCCCTAATCCATCCCAGCCTGAAGCTTATCAGCAGGTTATTGATTTTTTGCCTTGGGTGTAACTCAGATTTTTGATGCTCCATAGTCTACTTCATTGATCCCTAATTTGTTGATTCAGATTTAGCTGATTGATTTAGTTATTTTAAACTTTTAAGTTACTCCTCTGGCTGTTTGTAGTGACAAAATGTGTTTATTTTGTGACTTCAGATCAACACATGGCTTAGAAATAGATCTTTGCCTCAACTTGAATTTATAAATTTATTCCGTTTAAGTCATAATTGCATCCCTCTAGTAAATATCTGTTTACTTATCAAATGTATTAATGACTTAATAGAACAAAAATTCTGATAAAGGATCAAGAGCTTTCTTGTTGTATTTGTTGGACTGTGTGCCATCCAATGTGGCTCCAGGTTTCCTTGTTAAAAAAGAAATCCTGTCGTTGGACATTTTTTCTCGATTGAAGAAAAAATTTGAGTTAAAAGTTGGAATCTTCTGGATTTCCATTTTAAGGTATTGCTATTACTTTACAGATTAATGCTAAGCTGCACAGTTTAAATTATGTTGCACAGTTTCTCATACAGGTTCTGACATAACATTATACTGACTTAACCCTGTAATGCCAAATGTATCATATTTGATACATACGGTTTCTGAACTCCATCTGACACCTTTTGCATAATTTAATGGTAAAAACTTTGCTCAAAATCCTATTGTACACAATCAGATATACCTGATAACGGAGGGCAGAAGAACTACACAAAAAAATTATCTTGACTTATCGCATAGTAATAAATTATTAATATCAAAAATGTATTTCTGTTTTTTCTTTTTACATATTTTGTTATAAGGCCAAATAAGGACTTCAAACCAAAAAAAAAAGTTATTTTCTGTTTTGTTTTATTCTTGGATCGGGCTTTAAAGGGTTAATAGCTTAACAGCTTGTAGCACCAGAATCTGTGGTTAAGCTCTCAGTTGCTTTAAACAATATCAAAAACTGATTTGTTCAAAGTTTCCAATCAAACTTTCATTCCATTTCTTTAATGATTATTTAAACTGTTTATTTATTTTGTCCTTTTATGCTCTATACAAAGTATTTACCTTTGTTCCAAAGCACAGTCTGAATTCCTACATTATTGCTTCAAGCACAACAGTCACCCTAATAAGTGCATCATCCTAATGAGTATTTTATAAAGCCACGCTCCGCAAAGCTGTATAAAATACACTGAAAAAAAAAAATAAAGCAACTGTTTTTTGGCATTTACTTAATCATATATAGTTACTTTAATATAATTATTTCATGTTAGCAGGGTAGGACATAAAAAAAACCGTGTTAAAGTAACTAAATATGATTAAGTAAATGCCAAAAGTGGTTGCATAATTGTTTTCAGTGTACTCCCTGTAGCTGCATTGAGTTTAGATGGGTAACATACAATAATATGACCAAATGAGTAGCAAAACATCAACCTTTCAACTGTTCTAAATGTAGTATTATTAATTTTTACTTTTGTAAAAATGTATCTCTGATGCTTCATGACTGCTCCTTTATTTATTTGAACCCATCAGCTGTAACGTGGTATAAAGATGGCCGCCCTCTCACTGGTGCTGCTGGTGTCTCAATCCGGAAGCGTGGCCAAGTGCTGGAGATCCAACAAGCCCAGCTGTCCGATGTGGGGATGTACAGATGTGTGGCTGTTAACCTGGCTGGGGCTGCAGAGAAATTGTACAGTCTGCAAGTGTTCGGTCGGTGCTTCTTTGGCATTTTTATCCTCTCTCCTTATACATGGTCATATCCGAGCAGAATTACATTTTTCTTTTAATCACAGTCCCTCCAGAAATCTCCAGTAGAGGTGGTACAGTCACAGCTGTGGTGAATGAAGCTGTGAAGCTGCAGTGTGAGGCGTCCGGGGTTCCTGTGCCCAGTCTGACCTGGTTAAAAGACGGGAGCCCCGTGGCAAGTCTTTCACATGGCATACAGGTACCAATTAAAGTTTTAGCTCTTACTTTCAGTCATTGAGTGAAGCAACATTGTAGGGCTGCAACTAAGGATTATTTTAAAAATCGATGAATCGGCCGATTAGTTTTTCGATTAATCGATGAATCGGACAAAAAATATTTTTTATATTAACCTCTTTATTCCAAAAAAACATTTTAGACAGAACAAACAAGCACACAATTACAGGTTGCTCATTAACTGTACTGTTGCAATATGAAAAATAAATGTTTGTGTTAAAACTACACAAACTTACATGAGAAATGTAGCTGTACATCCACAAAATATAGGGTACTTTGTTTCATAAAGTGCAAAAAAAGACATTTTTGTTTTTAAAAGCCCCTAAGGGGTTAAAACAATAGGTGCCCCCATTTCAACAAATGAGCTTTTTTTAGACTAGAAGAGTTCTGCCTTTTAAGACAGGAAAGTATAGCAGTTAAAGTTGCTACTGGAGAAAATACTGAACCATAGAGATAAAAATAGCCCTGTGATTCAAATTATAAATTGTATTTGGAATTAAAAAGGAGAGAACTAGGGGTGCTAAAAAACACATCCTCCAAAGACATATATTTACATGGGAATGTGGCATATAATTAATTGACATATTACTGATCTTGCTGGATTTTATTCTGCTTTACTTCCATAAATTGCAGGATCTTCTTTACTTTATCTTTGCCAGAAGATTTAAACTTTAAAAGCCTTGCCCTCATAATTTGCAAGTTAATTTGTTTATGAAGAAAATATAAACGCTGCTTAAGCTACTTCAAATTAAATTAAAAGTAAAATAAGTAGCCAACCTTATCAGTCTGTAACCTACTAACAATGTAAGGAAAGCATCAGATGAGCTACCTGAGAAACTAACGTTACGTTTCCCCACTTTAAAACCAAACAAACATGGTGGTTCCGTGCCATGTTAATTTTTTTTGACAAAAGTTACATGTTACGACTTTTTTCGCTTTACAAAGCGCAGGCTGTTTTCATTATTGTGATCAATTTGCGCCGTCAATCCCGGTGCATGCGCGCTTCATTTGCAGTCTGGACGCTGAGGGTAAACATCCTGCAGCTCTGACTGCAGCGCTGAGAGGGACTCCTGCGGGAGAACAGGGTTAGTATGGGGTTGAACGGGGTTGGTATGGGGGAGGCGCCCCACGGCAGAGTAGGAACGATACATGCTTTCACGTAAGAGTCTCCAAAAGCCGCCAGTGACACCGTAAAAAGTCGCCAGATTTGTCGCTAGTCGCTTTTTTTAAAAATAGTCGCTGGAGGGGTCTGAAAAGTCGCTGAGTTGGCAACACTGCACCTGCAGCGCTGGCTCGCTCTGCCGTATTTTTTTTTTCTTCCCCGTTTCAGTTAAGTGGATGTGATGACGGCGGCGGCGGATGACGCATTAATCGCGCGACACAACTAATCGATGATGAAATTCGTTGCCAACGCTTTTAAAAGTCAATTTTTATCGATTTTATCGATTCGTTGTTGCAGCCCTACAACATTGTTTTTCCAGTTTTTAATGTTTGATTCAAACAGTGTTTGGGTGAAAAACAATGATGTTACCAGAGACATCCTTCATATCAGTTTGTAAATTCCAGGGCCTGGCTTTGTTTCTGCTGTCTTCTCAGTTGGCGTCTGCTGGCAGGGTGCTTTCTCTGAGCAGTGCACAGGTCAGTGACACTGGTAGATACACCTGTGTGGCTGTGAATGCTGGAGGAGAACAACAAAGGGAGTACGATCTGAGGGTGTATGGTAAGAAAATGAATTCACTCAGTGCATCAACATATCTATAGATTATAAAAGCAGTCTGGGCTTTACTGTACTGTATGTAGTTCTTTAATTTAATCTGAATCTGTTTCTAGTAAATTAATAAATGTTCAAATAAATCTTGTGATTAATTAAAAAAACAAATGAAATGTTATTTTTGGTAAAATTAGATTTAAAAAAATTATTTATAATCTTATATAAAAACACACAAAACTCATAAAAAATGAATACAGAAATGAATAAAAATATTTAATGTTATGAAAATGAAACTTTGTGGCATAAAGCAAACTGTAGTTGTTGTGGTTGGGTAATTCTACTGGCCTATAGGCTTCAGTAGTATGATCATTAACGCAGTTACTGGTGTTTTACTGGCAGAATGCTGGTGCCAAGGTCGTTCCAAGGAAAAAATAAAATCAGCAATTTATTAGAGAAGTGTATGTAAATGGTTGTGCCTACTGATATCCTTCCACTTAACTCTCCATTATGCAATGATCAATGTAGAATGAAGTATCTTTCAGTGCTAAGCTTTTTGTGACTAAAATTCTACTTATGGTGATTGTTGCTAACTTAGTAAAAGTAAAAATACGCTAACAGAACATTTATTATGAATAAGTGAAAGTCACTGATAAAAGCAATCAAGTAAAAGCAAGAACATTTTTCCACATAAATTGGGAAATTCAATTCAATTCTGTTTTTTTATATAGCGCTAATTCACAACATGTAATCTGGAGGCACTTTACAATTCAGCCAGATCATCCAGTCAAATTGATTCAGTTTTCTATCTGAGGATAACCAGTTGATTGCATCGACTCATTTACTCGAAGACAATCCCTCACACTTAGCATGCTTGTAGCTACAGTGGAGAGGAAAAACTCCCTTTTAACAGGAAGACAGGAATGCAAAATGTAACGGGTCCCAAGCTGGGCCAGGTACCACGTCACAATATTGAAAAAAAAAAGAAAAAGAGATGAGTCTTCAGTGTCTCGCTGGCTTTGGGTTCTGAAAAACAGAGTGAATGATCACAGGATCAAGAACAACGAACCATTCTCTTTCGTTCCCAAAACTCCTCTGATTTATTCACAATTATATAACAAAACAATCAATCAAACAACCAATAAAATATTCCCAAAATCTGCAATAGTGTCTCTTTCAGTGTCTTCTTCCAGGTACAATGTGCATACGAACGTGTATACAGTTCTTATTCCCTTTTTTTCAGGTAGTGTATGTTTCAGGTAAGTAGGTGAGTGTGTGTTACTGTCAGGTAAGTATGATATGTGTGAATGTAAGTGAATGTGCAGTGTCCAGTGTCCATTAAACAGGTAAGTATGTAATGTTGTTTGTTCTGTTCCCATCGAACACAAACATACAGTATAACCATAAAGCTATTTTTATATTAAACATAACCATATAACCATATAACTAGTTTCTCTCACACTCAGTATCACGCTTTGACTTCAATAAACACCTAAACCCCTCATCATTTCACATTGAAATATATCCACGGGCACTCTCTGTATAGGTACTAGTCCCATATAGCTGCCATTAAATAGAACAAATAATACTGTTAGCCAGTGCAGTTTTTATAGTGCTGCTAATCACAGCTATAGTGCAATATGAATTCACTTTCATTTTCTTTAGCTTAAAGCTGTTCAGAATACTCAATATGTCTTTTCAAAACTTATTGACATCATTGCAAATGGGAAATAAAAATGGAAAATAACAAATATGTTCAAACCATTCCAACAACAATAAGTGCACTAAAGGCTCACTTATCTTCATAAATCAAAAAGTGTACAGTAAACCCTTAAACACAAATATTTGGAAATGTAAAGAGAAGAAATATTAAAGTATTGTAATAAATGTAAAGATAACAAAACCCTTCACCTAATAAATTACACTTGTCAAGTAATCAGGTAACCAACAGTAGTATTATCGTGGATGAATATAAACAACCACCTTCAGTGTCACAAGGCTGCCCGTTGCCACGGCAACAACTGCAGCACAACCGGCGAAAATCGCGGACTTTTTATAGTGTCTAAAACTCGATCTAAAGCACTCAAAAATGTCATAAACGGTCTCCCAGTAACTTCACATAAACTATTGAATCTTAAGGGATAAGTTGAGGTTGTTTTCACGTTGTACTAACCTGAAAAAAACAGAGTGAATGATCACAGGATCAAGAACAACGAACCATTCTCTTTCGTTCCCAAATCTTCTCTGGGGGGAGGGAGCACCTGGAAACACGGGCTATGACAGAAAGGTTCCGTTTCTCATCCTAGCGATCTACAGCGGATTTCTACTGATATTTACTGATTATTTGGCTGAATAACCATTACAGTACATTAAAATACTTTTAACTTGCATTTCACTCTTTGTGAGGGTCTCACAAAAAGGCACCTGTCAACTAGCTCCACAGGCAGCCCGATCCAGGAAACACACAGCCAGGCAGACGAGTTCTGAACCAGCTCCCATGTCAGAGAATGAAAGCGAGCACATGTAGTTAGTCATAGTCAGAGAAACAGGACAACACTAAAAAACAGGCCAAGCTCCAAGCTTGGCCAAGCTTTATTGATTGATTGACTTTATTAATCTCACAGTGGAGAGATGTACTTGTTACTTTAGCTCAATAGTCAAAGGGAAGAAGAAGGTGCCAAAAGTAGGAAATGCATGGGGGTACTATACAGTATGCATCCACATATATATATGTATAACAGCTGAACCTGCAGGAAAAAGGTTTCAATAAAAATTATGTCATATTAGACACCTTTATAAGAGGATCTTTGTTTGATGCTCCTCATCTGGCATTTATCTTTTTTCAGAAGTCGGATTTTATCTTGCCGACTTTCATTTTTATATCTTTAGGCATTGACATGGAAAGTGTTTTACATTGTCTGGGTAATTTTGTGATTTTTTGCACGGTTGAGCCTTGTCACAGGAGCAAAGGCTTTCTCACTTTTTTTTGCCAAAGTTTAGTTCTATGAACAGGTCTTGAATTTATTCTAGGGATGCACGATATGCCGATATTTTAAAACTCATGTAGCCGATAACCGATATCGATACTGATGTTAAAGCTGGACAAAAATAAGTAGTCATTGAAAATAGCAGTTTTGTTATCCATTTCTGACACTTTGAAAAATAATATACTCAAATATATTTTCATATGCTGATATCAAATTGATTTTTAAAAACGCGGTATCGATCTATTTTACTTTTAAAATCTCGTGAAATTTCATCGTTCTGTTACAAACTCTCGTGATATTTTGCAAATTCTTGTGAGATTTTGTTAGTAAAATAGATCGATACCGCGTCAATATATCAACATATAAAAATATGGCAAAATCTTGTGAATTTTCAGGGGATTTCGTAGCATAATGATGACATATAGCAATATTTCATTAGTAAAAGAGATTGATATGGTCTTTTTAAATGGCAATATATCAGCATATTGTGATATTTTAATGTATCAATATTTTTTCCCTCGTCTTTAGAAGTTTTTAAATCTGTAAAAAGAAGTTTTTGAGGAAGAAGTAGAAGTAGTATTTTTTTAGACTTTAGAAACTCAGAAGCTGATCAAATATCGGGTTAAATATCAGTTGGGTGGCCGATGTCCAGCGGCGTAGGAAGCGGGGGGGACGGGGGGACATGTCCCCCCCAATATTAAAGCCAGGTGGATATGTCCCCCCCAAAAATTGTACCGCAAAATATTAGATTTTGACAATTTTTTAACTATCGTGCTTTTATTTTGAAGGCGCAACATAGCGTTACGTCACTGTACTCCCCCTCCCCTCTGTGAACTGTTGAGTGAGCACTCAGAGGGAAACAGCGATACAGAAAGTCAGAAACTTGTGAATGAGGTAAAATGGTCTGTCGGGAATGCTGCTATGAATAGTGCTTACTTATAACGTCTTGTTGTCAGTTCACTTTCATGTATAGAAACTGAATCTTTTTGGTTTAGGCATCTTAGTCTTGTAGGAAGAGGATTAGGGCCACTGAAAAAAGTTAACTGATTTTTACAATTTTTTTTAGTTTAACATGGGGGGAAAAGTCAGAATTCTGACTTTTCTCAGAATTCTGACTTTTTTCTTCTGACTTTTTTCTCAGATTTCTGACTTTAATCTGAGAATTCTGACTTTATTCTCAGATATCTGACAGATCATTAATATTTCTAATCAATTTACAGTTTTTTTTTTTTTGGTGGTTGGGGGGGCGGGGGGTACTATACAGATATATAAAAACAAGAAGGTCTAACTAAAAAATAACCAGAATATATGTTTAGAGTAAAGATTGACTACTTGTGTTTACACAAGCACACAATTTCAAATCTGCTGAGCTTGCTGTGCAAGAAAATGTAAAATATACGTATAAAAAAATATAACAGGAAGTACTGCTAAAACATAAACTAAATGTTAAATAATGTAGATATTGGTTTAAAAAATTCTTCAGATTTGGAAATTTGGAAGGAATACATAATTCTGAAATTAATCAACAAATCTGGTAAAAATAAATAAAAAATAAAAGTTGCACTTTTTTACTTGAGGAATTTGTTGAATAACTTCATAATTATGAGTTTAACTAGTTGGAGGTAATGCTACACTTCTCTGCTTCCTGTCCTGCTCATAAAAGGTAAACATTATAAACCCACATTTAATTTTCTACACTATTTGGAAAACACAACACAAATGTAATATAACAAAAGTATGTTTAACAACAAACATGTTAACATCAAGCCATAGCCATGTCTCTTTTAGAGACTAGCTCTCTTGTTTTAATGACCTTCTGCTCCTCCATTAATGAGGGGACCCCTCGGGCACGTAAAAAGTTGCCTAATTCTGTCATTTTCCACCAATGTGTCACTGGCTCTCTCAAACAACTCACATCTTTGTCAGTGAAGCTGAGTGCTCCACAGCTCTGCCTTCATGGTGCCCATCTACATTAAGATCCAAAATTCTGAGAAAAAAAGTCAGAATTCTGAGATTAAAGTCAGAATTCTGAGAAAAAAAAGTCTTAATTCTGAAAATAAAAGTCAGAATTCTGACTTTTTCCCCGTATTAAACTGAAATAAAATGTAAAAATCACTTAACTTTTTTTTTTTTTTCAGTGGCCCTAATCCTCTTCCGTAGTCTTGGGCTGATCACTCATCCAATATTTAACTGCTAACTTTCTCTAGACGTTTGCCACGCTAGCCAAAATGTTTTTTTTATATATATTTTTTTTATATCTCATTTCAGTACAATGCCACCACCAACTAAAAGGCTGAAACAGCAGCAGGACTTACTCAGATTTTTTTAAGAGAAACGTCAGTGTGAGTAACAGTCACCTAACACAACTTGTGTTGAAATTAGCCCGGTCTGGGCGTGCGTTTTACGAGGATTTTTTATTTTTTGCATGGTTTTGATTCGCCGAAATGGACAGATGTTATACCTGCCGCGCTCCTGATCGTTAGTTAACCACAGGGAGAATTAATTCTAATTCTTAGCAGCGGCGGCCGCATTGGTCGTGCAGCGGACTGCTGCACAACCACTAATTAACCAACTAATTAACTTCTGCATCTTTATTTCCTCAAATAAACTGCTGGCTCCTCTTTTTACACTATAAACAGATTAACACAACATTGACAACTCTGTAGTTTTCTCTGTTCTGTACTGCAAATTGGAATTAAAGGCGCCATTTTTACCAAAGGTCTGGACAGACTGGCCACCTGTCTAGGGTGGACCCCGCACCAGCACCTCCCGACCCCACTAAGGGACAGGGTGTACAGAAAATGGAAGGATGGATGGATTTCTACCAAAGGTTGATAATGCGTTTTTGAACCAGATGCTTCAAAGCGCCCTGTCCATAATTCTTCAACACACTGTCAGCTCCCTCTGTCAGTCAACCTATATAAATTCATTTTTGACCATTATTGCAAGTTTGACAAAATAAAACATATCAAACTTTGCACTTGTGTGGCCTACTGAATTGTTTTGATTTTCTAGTGCGTATGCGGACACTAAATATGCCAAGGGCTGAAGCCCTTGAAAGACATCTCCCTTTGCTTAATAAAAGACTCCAGTCATTTTGTTTGGTGATATGCTCACATCTTATGAACAAATGCATTATGTTAATTTTAAATGCATTATTTTTGCAAACACATTTATAAAGGAATAAAGTAAAAGATTAAATAGCCTTTTTTTTAAGTAGCGTACTTAAGATATGTTTCTGTTGAATATTTACGAATCTCAGATTTCCGACATGTGTCCCCCCCAATTGTAAACATATTCCTACGCCCTTGCCGATGTCCGATATTCAGTTTTAAGGCCGATACCGATAGGGGGCCGGTTATATCGTGCATCCCTAATTTATTCCACAGTGTTTTTACAAGAGGCAACAATCAGGGAGGAGAAACTGTCCCAGTGTTACTGAATTTTTCACAGCTGGCCCTGGCTGGTACAGTAGCACTGTTACCTTGCAGCAAGAAGGTATAGGTTTTTTTTTAATTAACATATTTATTTACATATGACTATTTTTTGTAGTGTTGCGCTGATGCCATTTTTTAGCCCCAATACTGGTACCTGATACCAGGCTGTGCAGTATTGGCCGATACCGATACCATCTGTTTGAACTTGATGTGTGTGTTTAGAACTGCATACTACTTGGATGTAAAATAATTTGTGAAGCAGGAAAAAGACTTAAACAAAGTGAATCCAGTAGAACTTTTTATTGTCTATCTGGAATGGTTGACAATAGTTGAATAAACTTTTGGCTCTCAAAATGGCATCGGTGCCCTATTAGTTGGTACCGATACCACCATTTTAGTGCTGGATTGGGGCCCCACCTGATACTGGTATCGGTACAACACTAGTTTTTTGTGTTTGGTTTTTTATCCCAAATGTCTCTGTTATGAACTTGTGACCCTTGCACTGTGTACCCTGCCTTTTGCCCTCTGACAAAACTCCACAAGGACAACTAATCAAAGAGTCTCAGATGATCAAAATAACAACAACTCAGCACCTTAGGAAGCCATACATTTTTATATTGCTAACGCTTCTCATACTATTGTGAATATCGTGAGAAAAAATGAAAATATCCTGTTATAATAAGAGCTTTTATTTTTTTTTATCAAGGAAGCATTTTCTCTGGAATGGAAAAAGTTTATTCAGTAACATTTGTTCATGTCTCTTTCAGTTCCACCAAACATCAAAGGGGAGGAGGTGAATTCAACCGTGATGCTCGGTGGTCCAGTAAAGCTGCACTGCCACAGCAACGCAGTTCCTCCCCCAACCCTGTCCTGGAGAAAAGATGGCCGTCCTATTTTAAACAAACCTGGTCTGATCGTCTCTGCAGACGGAAGTTTTTTAAAGGTACTAAATGTTTTTGTTTGAGTGGATTTCAATAGCCTTGATCCCCTTTGAACATTTTATCACCATAACATCATATACTTAAAAGTTGGAAAGTAAATGATCAGTGTTTTTTTAACTGATATTAAACTTTTAATAGTAGGGTGTGTTTTTCTGTTCAGCCAGCTTTACTCTGATATCCCCCAAGCTGTGGTGTCTGATCACACTTGTTATGAAGATGGACTTACACTGCAAAAACGATCCTGAAATAAGTCAAAATTTCTTAAATTAAGTGTATTTACCCTTGATTTGATTAGGTAAATAAGATGATTTGCCAATGGAATGGGGATTTTTAACTCTTAAAGTGGAGTCTAGGCGGATGTTCAACTGAAGAAGCTGATTGTTCTCCTTCATCCACCTGCGACACAGCCAATCAGCATTGAACCACACCTCCACGAAAGCCAATCGGCATCCAAAATTCATCTTAAAAGGCCTCCGATCTGCAACTCGTCTGCTACCTAGTGCGCAGGCGGCAGATGCTCTGTGACTTCATTCAGATGACCCCCTTTCAACCCACCTCCCGCCCCTCCTTCACCTTCGTAGCTAAAACTTAATCAGTTTTATTCCTCCCGGACTCTTATTGCATTCCGCTTCTCATTTCAACCAGTCCAACAGAAGACCGCCATGTTGAGCCTGGTTCTGCCAGACGTTTCTTCCCAACGGGGAGTTTTTCCTCTCCACTGTCGCTTCATGCTTGCTCATCATGGACGGGTTCTCTCAACCTGTGTTATCCAACTGGACTTCCATCTTCCAGGTCCCTGAGTGAAGCTCTAGTATCAGCTCACGCAGTCCACTGGATCTCCCCATAAAGTTCAGCAGACCGTTTCACTGACCAGCAGTCTACAGACTGACCAACTTCCTCTATCTCCGCTCCACCACCAGTTTCAGGCCTGGGGGGGAAACAGCCCTATTCTTTGCTCCTGTTCATTCATATCTATGAAAATGAAGCGCTATGTTTCCTGCCAAGGTCTGAGCGCCAAAGACAAAGTAATTGTATCAATAGATTTCTTCTAATTGTCTTTTCTCTTCATGTGAGTTTTTCAGATTAAAAAGGTAATTAGATAATATACACTTGAAATAAGACAAGGAAATTGTATTTTTTCATATCTTGAAGGTAAATTGTCTTGTTCCATTGGCAAAGTTCTCAGTTACCTCCTCAATAAAAAAAAAAACTCACTTTTTGTAAGAAAAAATGGCTTATCTAGATTTTGATTTTTTCCAGTGTAGTGTGCTGTACTAATGCAGCGCACTGAAGGAAAAAAAAAAAACCTGTAAGAGGTTGTGAATGAGTTCATACTGAAATGTAGCCTCGTGAGGCCATCCTGATCTCACAAGCTTTCAAGATTTCACTCGCTAATCAGTCTGGCTACTTTCCATTAAAGAAAATTTGGAGCCGTTCACCAAACGAACGTCCAATCAGCGTTGACTTTAAGGCGGGTTGAGGTGTGACGCAACGAGAAGCGCGACAGTTCAGTCTAAAGAACATGGCGGCTTCAGCCGATGAAACTAGCGTTAGCGTGGCTATCGAGCAAGTTTTATTGGAATTAGAGAGTATTTCTTCACTCAAAGAAGAGCAAAACACTGCTCTGGAGGCTTTTCTCAGAGGAAAAGATGTTTTTGCTCTTCTCCCGACTGGTTTCGGCAAGAGTTAGCCTGGCTTGTGGTTGTGTTTTCGTCATCGCTCTGTTAGTACGTCATATGCTTCGTTGATCTGATTGGTTTATTTGGCCCGTCTATCACCAACATAGGCCAATCAGCTAACCAGTAGTGATGCACGATATAATCGGCCCCCTATCGGTATCGGCCTTAAAACTGAATATCGGACATCGGCCACCCCATCGATATTTAACCCGATATTTGATCAGCTTCTGAGTTTCTAAAGTCTAAGAAAAAAAACTAATTCTTCTTCTTTCTCAAAAACTTCTTTTTTACAGACTTAAAAAAAATATACATAGGGAAAAAATATTGATGCATTAAAATATCACAATATCTTCATATGCTGATATATTGCCATTTAAAAACACCATATCAATCTCTTTTACTAATGAAATATTGCTATATGTCATCGTTACGCTACGAAATCCCCCAAAAATCTACAAAATGTTGCCATATTTTTATATGTTGATATATTGACGCGGTATCGATCTATTTTACTAACAAAATCTCACAAGAATTTGCAAAATATCACGAGAGTTTGTAACAGAACGATGAAATTTCATGAGATTTTGAAAGTAAAATAGATCGATACCGCGTTTTTAAAAATCTATTTGATATCAGCATATGAAAATATATTTGAGTATATTATTTTTCAAAGTGTCAGAAATGGATAACAAAACTGCTATTTTGAATATTTTTGTCCAGCTTAAACATCGGTATCGATATCGGTTATCGGCTACATGAGTTTTAAATTATTGGCATATCGGACAAAATCCCAATATCGTGCATCCCTACTAACCTGTATTTTCAACTCTTCCCAAAATTACTTCAACGGAAGGTTTCCAGATGGATATGCAGAGCAAATCCCTCTGGCGGAGTCAGTTTATCATATTTAGTTACTTTAACACAATTGTTTTATGCCTTAACCTGCTAACATGAAACAATTGTGTTAAAGTAACTAAATATGATTAAGTAAATGCCAAAAATGTGACGCAACGAGAAGCGCGACAATTCAGTCTAAAGAACATGGCGGCTTCAGCTGATGAAACTAGCGTTAGCGTGGCTATCGAGCAAGTTTTATTGGAATTACAGAGTATTTCTTCACTGAAAGAAGAGCAAAACACTGCTCTGGAGGCTTTTCTCAGAGGAAAAGATGTTTTTGCTCTTCTCCCGACTGGTTTCGGCAAGAGTGTGATCTATCAATTGGCTCCTCTTCGTCGTCGCTCTGTTAGCACGTCATATGCTTCGTTGATCTGATTGGTTTATTTGGCCCGTCTATCAGCAACATAGGCCAATCAGCTAACCAGTATTTTCGCCCCTTCCCAAAATTACTTCTACGGAAGGTTTCGCATATCCATCTGGCGGAGTCAGGTTAACTGAAATAACCATATATCTTAGAAAAAAATAAACAACCTTCCGTGATTCAGAAGCCTCTTAATCACCCATCACCCAGTCAGTCATTTGGCAACAGGAAACCACGCAATTCTTAAAACTCTGAAAAAAAGGGAAATTTCCGAGAAAAAAAATAAATATATAATATAAAATTTACAAAGAATTGAGAAAGTAAAAATTTGAAAAGAAAAATCAATTTAAAAAGATAAATGATAGAAAATTTATTTGGAAATAAAACAGAAAACAGTAAAGCTACTCTCAAAACCTTTTTTGGTAAAAGTGTTTTTTAAGGAACTTTTTTTTTAATTTTCATTTACAAAATCTGTTGTTTGGTTGCAAAAATAATGGAACACAATTAATTCTGCATAAAACAACCCAACTTTAGCTGCAATTGTAGAAAAATGTGGCGATTACACTAAAGTGTCTTAATGGCCAAGTGTAGAAATCAGGGTCACTCCTTTTTGGGGATTGTTTAGTTGGAAACTTGAAATGTCATTTTCTTTCCACTTCTCAAATTCACACTTATGTCAATCAATCACATACCATCAGGAAGTGAAATCCTAAATAAACTTAAGGGATCTTGCATTAGAAATGATGTTCCAAATTGTCTGATATGTTTGTAAAACATTTTTTAGATTGATGGCGCTCAGCTGCAGGATTCAGGAAGGTACACATGTGAAGCTACTAATGTTGCTGGAAAAACTGAGAAGAACTATAACTTGATTGTTTGGGGTAAGTCTAACTTTGTGATCGTTTATACTTTTCCTGCTATTAGAACAAATGCTAAAAATGTCTAAATTGTATAAACAAAGTTGATTTCATGTTTTAGAAGCAGAGATTTCTTGTATTTAAACTGATAATTCTTTTTTAATAAAGTTTTTAATATTAATCGTGATATATGTTTGATTTTTAATTGAAGCGATATTTATAGCATTAATACATAGTCGGTCAATTCCTTTGTTATCAGGTGCTTAAAGCAATTTGAGTGCCTCCTTAAGTTGTCTTGTTGTTGCAGTTACTCCCAGTATCCGTGGCTCTCAGGAGGTAACGCCTATGACTGTAATTGAAGGAAGTTTTCTCACTCTTTTGTGTGAGTCCAGTGGCATTCCACCTCCCAGCCTAAAGTGGATGAAAGACGGTGGGTCTTATTATGCAAGCATGAGACAGCAACTCACATGAAGAGAGTGTGGCATTTGATTGCATGTTTTAATGGCTTAACTAGCCTATACTTTCTGCATATTTTAGGTTATGCCCTAAACCCAGACCAGCGGCTCAGGGTTTTGTCTGGAGGGCGTCAGCTGCAGATCTCAAGGGCTGAGAGAGTAGATGTTGGTTCTTACACCTGCACAGCTTCCAGTGCTGCTGGCAGCATCTCAAAGGAATACAGCCTGCAGGTTTATGGTACATATTCAGAGACATCAAACCCTGCTCTGATCTGTTCTTAAAGTCTCTCACATTTTCACTCTTTCTCCTTTCTCTTATCCGTTGAAAAATGCCTCTTTTGTAAGTTGTGGTATAACTTATATATCATCCATCCATCCATCCATCCATCCATCCATCCATCCATCCATCCATCCATCCATCCATCCATCCATCCATCCATCCATCCATCCATCCATCCATCCATCCATCCATCCATCCATCCATCCATCCATTTTTTTATCATGCTTATCCCTGCTGGAGTCACAAGGGGTGCTGGTGCCTATCTCTACACTGGAAAAAATCAAAGTCTAAATAAGTAATTTTTTCTTAAAATAAGTATTTGTTCTTGGATTGAGGAGGTAAAAGACGCATTTTGCCAATGGAACAAGAGAATTTACATTTAAAATAAGAAAACACAATTGCATTGTCTTATTTTAAGTGCATTTTATCTAATTGTCTTATTCTAAGAGTAAAAATACTCTTTACATTGGCAAACTATCTCATTTACCTACTCAAATTAAGGGTAAATACATTTAATTTAAGACATTTTTACTTATTTGTAGATCGTTTTTCTAGTGTAGATTTTAATGGCCGAGGGGAGGGGTACACCCTGGACAGGTCGCAATGGACTGGCGACTATAATCTAAAAGTTAATTCAGTTCAAAATGTCACGCTTTGGTGTTTAAAGGATTGATTCCACACAAAGATACGTATGTATGTAGATTTTTATTTATTTTTTCTTCATGACCACTGAATTGAGATAATAAAACCCAAAATTCAGAACCACACCTGCATGTACTATAAGATCAAAGTTCCTTCTGCATAAATTACTGCATAAATGTGCTGTGGCCGTCCTGCTTTGGTTTCTATTTGGTAATAAATTACTGAACTCTGATTTAAAGCAAATTGATGTCAGTTAGCCACTTTGTTAACAGTCTTTTCCTTCTGCAGTTCGTCCTTCCATCAGACGCAGTGAAGACCACAGTAATGATGTCACAGTGACAAAAGGAGGCGATGTGACGTTACATTGTGCTGCAGAAGGCATCCCACGACCCACGGTGACTTGGCTGAAGGATGGACGGCCCATAGAGGACCAGCATGGTGCAAAGGTCCTAAATGAGGGCAGGTTGTTGCAGATTAACGATACTAAGGTGTCAGACACTGGACGTTACACCTGCATTGCTGTTAATGTAGCAGGACAGGCGGACAGCAAGCATGACATCACTGTGAATGGTATGATTTGGTTTTGGTGTGTTTTTTAATTTGCAGATTTTAGTTGGATGTAGTCGTTTTCTCACTGATAATTTTATCCTGTTATTTTCAGTCCCACCTGCTATAACTGGTCAGGGGCCGTTCCCAGAAAATGTGAGCGTTGTCATAAAAAACCCAGCCTCTCTAAACTGTGAGGCTTCTGGTATTCCATTACCCTCCATCTCCTGGCTGAAGGAGGGTCTGCCAGTCAAGGCAACTAATTTGGTGCGCATCGTCTCAGGTTAGTTTTGGTTGTACTGTCTGTAAATTCGTCTTATTTGGATTTAATCTATCAGCAGCTCTACAATAGTATGCATTTGTTTAAATATCTTATGCTGAACTCTTTGCATGGTTTCTATGGTTTATTATTTCAGTGTGCTTTGCAACAGCTATTTTCAACCATTGTAGCAATGAGTTTTGTGTTTCACCATTTGTTAAAGCAATACGTTACATTTGGATTTAATTAAGACCATTGACCCTCCCTTGTGTCAGAGAGCAGCAGCCGCCACTGTAAACAGTGCAATGCTGTTGCAATGCAATGTCCTGATCATTCAGACCGAATTCTGTTTACAATCACATTTAATAAGCAGGATGTATGAAAACATAAAAAAGATTAGATTTTAGAGAAAAAAAAATGCCACCCACTTGAAACCTTTTCCGAATAAGCTTATTAGCCTGAAGAGGCTTCGTTAATATTACTAGCCACAACTGGGGAAAAAAAAAAGTATTGTTTCCAAAAGTGGGATCTCCTGACTCCAGTAGCCAGTCACACACTGCAAAAATGATGTAAAAATTAGTAAAAATGTCTTAAATTAAGTGTATTTACCCTTAATTTGAGCTGGTAAATAACATGATTTGCCAATAAATGAGTATATTTACTCTTAAAATAAGATAATTAGATATGATGCACTTGAAATAAGACAACACAAATGTTTTTCTTATTTTAAATGTAAACTGATTTGTTCCATCGGCACAGTGTCTTACTTACCTGCTTAATTTAAGAAAAAAAATGCACTAATTTTAAGAAAAAAATGACTTATTTAGATTAGAATTTTTTACAGTGCAGGCAGTTTATTTTCTTTGGTTGTTTTCCTCTCAAAAAGAAAAAAATTAAATTTTCAAACAGCAGTAGGAGAGAATCTACTTGTGCATAAAAAGAGAGCCAATAGCGTAAAGATGCGAATGAACTCATGCTTCTGATAGTTTGGTGCCTCATGGTATTTTAATGTATGTGTTAGCTTTAAATAAAACAGCATGTATGTGTAATTATTATGCATGTGCCCTTTTGGCAGAATTCTAATTTCAAACACATGATTGCATTATTTGCACATGATGTGTTCAACTTTTAGGGGGTCGTAGTCTACGTCTGTTGCACACAGCAGTGGAGGATGCTGGGATGTATACTTGCGTTGCCTCTAACAGCGCTGGAGAAGAGCGGAAGAACTTCGACCTTGATGTTTTAGGTAAAGAAAGGACATTTCTTAAGAATTTTCAGATAAAAGTCACATTACAAACATCACAGTTTTCAAATATGACATGAATGAGTTTCATTTCAACGGAAAATATGAACCAGTTGAATGTTTCGTTGGCAGTTCCACCAAGTATTTCAAACGCCGGAACAGTTATGGATGCTAAAGTAAAGGAGAAACAAAACATCACTCTCACCTGTGAAGCATCAGGTAAATTACCAACAGGTTGTCATTAGTGTAAGCTACATAAAAAAGACGTAACGTTTCAGCTCTGTAATTACTCAAATGCATTGCCAGGTAACCCTCCACCAGAGATTAAATGGCTGAAGGATGGACAACCGTTGGTCCCTGACCGACGACAGCAGATCCTGTCATATGGACGTTTCCTCCAAATCTTTGAGGCCCAGGTTGCAGACACTGGAAGATACAGTTGTGTTGCATCAAACAGTGCAGGGGAACAGAGACAGCATTTCAACCTCAATGTTCTGGGTATGTTAGCGCTGTAGCTAAGAAGTAAATGATTCAGATAGGAATAAAGCACCCTGTGATGAAATATATGCAGACGGTTGGCACCCCTCCAACCACCTGTAAAACGAAATTTCGTTTTGTATAGCTGATGACATTTCTTAAAGTGCAGCAGTGATCAAATGTAAACGGTGTGAGAGAAAAAAAGATTGCGCAAAAAAATTCAACTTTCAACTTCAATTCAACTCAACTTTATTGTCAAATGTGCTACATGATAAACATACAACACAGATGAAATTTCAGTCCTCTCAACCCCACGGTGCATAATAAAATAATATAATGAACCATGGCATAAAATAAAAATAGAAATAAAAACCTAAGATATAAAAATAAATATTTAAATATGCAAACAGTATGCATTTATATGGAAGTTCAGAACATTAAATATATATAGTGGAATTATGCAGTGTTTTGGTTTGGGGTGAAATGTGTGATGCAGAGTCTGATATGATTTAGAGTTTTTTAACAGTTCAGGTGTGATGGCGGTGGGGAAGAAGCTGTTTCAGAATCATAAGTAGGCATAAGGAGGGTTTAAAGCTGCAATCATATCAGATTGTTCTTTTATTCCTGAGACCAAGACCAATTTGAAACATGATCAACAATCCTTTACAATTTAATCCAGATTTCTGTAAAAACTACAGGATATTAAACAACCAGAGCTGAATAAATAGTTTCTCTATTTTAATTCTCATTATTGAAAACTTTACTTTTATTGTTTTGGTGAAATATTGATTAAAACATTCCTAAAAATGTCCATTTTTAAATGACTACTTTTGCTTCCCTTGCCAAAGCACATAATGAAAGTCAGCTGCAGAATATTTCAAAAAGCTAAATTAAAATAAAATCATTAGGACTAAAATTATTATTAACAGTCTCAGCTTATATTGTAAAAAAGTTGCGTTTATATTAGTTATTTGTCTTGTTAGGAAAGCTTCTGTGAGTTACATTACTAATACTGCAACATACTGTAAAGTAATATATTTAATTCCCTAAAAATGTTAATGGCGATATTGATAATTTTTATTGTTTATTACTTCATAAGTATCTGTAAGTGTAAGACAATTTTCTTCAACAATTAATTCTGAAGAAGTGACATTTTTGCCACAAAAAAAATCAAAATGGTTTATTGTGAAAATGGTTTTATGATTTTTTTTTATTTTATTTTTACCATTGACACCAACAAATGAATCAGTCACATTTTGGTTGTGGTTTAGAGCTGCCGTCCCCAACCACCTGGCCGCGGACCGGTACCGGTCCGTCGGTCATTTAGTACCAGGCCGCACAGAAAAAAGTATGTATATATATATATATATATATATATATATATATATATATATATATATATATATATATATATATATATATATATATATATATATATATATATAATTTATGGACGATCAGAGTCTGAGTGATGTTTTATTTTGAAAAATATAAAAAATTGCGGTATTCTCTCTCAATTACATCAGTCGGTGCATCTGTGCCTCTTGACACAGGTTAATTCAGTTCAAGACTCATCCTATCTATAACATTCTTTCTTTGTGAAGCGGGATTTTCTGCGTTTACAGCGACCAAAACAAAGCTACGGAGCAGACTGGACATCAGGAGCACACTTCGTCTGTCATTGTCTCCGATTACGCCTCGATGGGACCGGCTTGTTGTTTTATTTTTATGCTGTTTGTATTTGATTTTATGCCAGTCGTATCATTTTACTTGATCTTATTTAACCCCCCCGGCCGGTCCGTGAAAATATTGTCTGACATATAGCGGTGCGTGGTGCAAAAGAGGTTGGGGATCGCTGGTTTAGAGGACACAAATGCAGAGGCAGAGAGGCTGAGGTGATTTCTTGTAGTTTTAATGCAAACACTAGTAGCAGAGGCAAAATCCAGACCAGACTAGAACCATGGAGACATCAGGGGAAAACACGCACAAGGAGTTAGGGAGAGACGAGGTGAGCAGAGAACAGCAACGACAAGGAACGAACAAGGAGTGACTGCAGAGGGAGAGTATATGTAGCTGACTGGGACAATGGCAGGGCTAAAGAGCTGACAAGGAGCAGGTGTGAGGAGACAACGAGGGAGCCAAGGGGAAAGGAACACACACAAGAGGGCAACAGAGGAACACCACAGAAAAACCTGAGAACTAACATAAATCTAGAAACTACAACAAAATAGGAATTAAACCAATAAAACTAGGAAACATGGAGCAAAGTAAAGGATAAACGAAACCAAAACCATGACAGAATCTATGTATTTTAACCCTATTGTCTGGTATTTTTGCCCTTCTCTTTGACAGTTTCTCCGACCATTGCTGGTTCAGGTCCTAACATTTCTGCAGAGGTAGTAACAGTGACCCTGAGCAGCCCCACCTCACTTCTTTGTGAGGTGCAGTCCTACCCCCCCGCTTTGATCACCTGGCTTAAAGATGGGGCTCCGTTTGAATCCGCTCGCAATATTCGAGTTCTTCCAGGTTTGTGCAGGATCTCAAAAATCCAGCTTAACATTTAAACATTGTGATATGTAATTTATCCTGCCTTTAACAGGCGGGCGAACACTGCAGATTCTTAATGCTAAGAAGGAGGATGCGGGCAGGTACACCTGCGTAGCTACTAATGAAGCTGGGGAGACTTTGAAGCACTATGAGGTCAAAGTGTATGGTAAGAGTCCTGCATAAATTTAACAACTCAATGATGACACAAGATTCATCCAACCCTTTTTCCCCCATTGAAGTTCCTCCACTGATTGATAAGAATGATATCCCCGGGGAGGGACGTACCCCTAAAGAAATAAAGATAAAAATGAACAGCACACTGACTCTGGAGTGTTTCGCTCAGGCGTTTCCTACTCCAGCACTGCAGTGGTACAAAGATGGACAGGTAGGAATGCAGAATACTGTCCTTATTTGCATCTGTAAGACATTTTTTTTCCTTTTAAACAATGAAGTGAAAGTATTTTTTTGTAGATCCTGTTGGTAGACAACCATGTTTCCATCATGGCCAATGGTCGCATTGTTCAGATCAAACACGCCCAAGTGTCGGACACTGGCCGCTATACCTGTATTGCCACCAACATAGCTGGAGAGGACGAGAAGGACTTTGATGTAAATATTCAAGGTGAACTGGTTGGACTGGTGCTCATTTTTGTGTTCATAAGGGTCAATGTAATAGAGATTTATTCATCAAATGATCCATTTTCTATCGTCAGAAATAAATACCAAAACTTAATTTTTTTTTTGTAGTTCCACCCAGTTTCAACAGAGCCGGTGCTTCACCAGTCCCAGGCTCTGGAGGGGATCTTCATGATGTGATACTGAGCAATCCGATCTCTCTGTACTGTGAGACAAATGCTGTGCCCCCTCCAACCCTTACGTGGTACAAAGATGGACACCTGCTTACCTCTAATGATAAAGTTTTAATTTTACCCGGTGGGTCTAATTGACAGTAAAAGAAGAAACAGGGGGAAAAAAATAACTTCTTCTTGTAAAGCTCCTGTTTTTGGTTCTCAGGTGGGAGAGTGTTACAAATCCCCAGGGTACAACTTAAAGACTCTGGCAGGTACACTTGTGTGGCCATCAATGATGCAGGAGAAGACTCTATCCAGTACAATGTTCGAGTCCTAGGTGAGGTTTTTCCTTTTTATGGGAGAAATCTATTTTATGAGGATAAATACATTTGAAGTCGGTATGATATATAACAACTAATAGAGGTTTTAAATAGTGATAGCAATTCATAACCTTTTAATTCAATTATGAATAAATACGGGAAACCCACATTTGTAAAATGTAAAGTGAGAAAGTGAGAACAAAACATAGAAAACTTCTGTGCTGTGTTAAATGAGGAAGTTATGTCCCTTTAAAAAAGGTTGTTGCGCCTTGGGGGCTTCCTCACGGAGCAAGTTATTTACTACTCTTAACTCAAACTGGGTAAAACCATATAAAAAAAGGACTATAAAACAGGAGTAAAAAAGTAAGAGTTTATTCCAGATCAGGTCGTTACAGGACAGAAAAAATGCTTGGAGCTTGCACAGCTGTGGGCTCAAAAAATCACGCCCGCGAGCGTCCGGCAAAGATTGAGCCCTGAACAAGGTCATCTTCTCCTTCTTATAGCTCATGAGTCTATGTGTTGCATCATGTGGATGCTTAGCTGTCCGTATCAGAAACTGACACGCCATCAATGCCCTGACCCATATGCAGCTTGTCTCTATGCCTCAGGGTTACAGATAGCTCTCCTCTATCAGTCCGGCTGCAAGATGTGCCCATATCCTGTTTTTTTTTTAAAGACACGAAGGCTGTCCTGATTAGATGACCTCCATACACACAGTGACATCCACAATGTGAAGGAAGGCCTTCTACTCTGTCTAATCTGGCTAACAGAATAACAATGCACATGATGTGTAAATAATAAACCTAACACTGTGATCAAGGGATTGTATGGGAGCTGAAATCTCCCACAGCTCACTGTTAGAGAAATCAAGCATAGAAGGACCCAAAGTTTATGTTTAAACCAATTAGTTTAAGGTTACTTTTCACATTTAGGCATGAATGACTTAGTATTTATGTGAAGTATTTCTAATGCTTAAATCTAATCTTTATGGTGTCTGACTTTACTTTTAGTACCTCCAAGCATTAGAGGTTCAGACAGGGACGCTCCCAGTGAAGTTATCGTCTTGGTCAACAAAACCGCCCAACTGGACTGTTACGTGGATGGAAACCCTACCCCCAACATCACGTGGTTTAAGGATGGTCAGCTGACGAGCTCAGAGGGACCACACAGTGTTTTGTTCAATGGACGAACCCTTCAGGTAACCTGGAAACCTGGTGGAGATTTTAGGCCACCTTAGGCAGACAATCTGTTGTTGTTTGTTCTGCTAAGATTTCACCATACAAAAACAAATTAATCTTAGTTCCACAATCTGAATGTTGTTAGTTTAAAGGTCTAGCTTAAAGTAGAACTTAATGACTTATTGGCACTTATGATGGTTAACTTAACTATTCTGTAATTGTTGATTTTTTTTTCTCATTCCATTGAATGAGCGGCGCAAGTGCATGATTTCACAGCAAATTTAAATAGTCCTGCACAAAAGGCATAAAACACTAACAAAAAACACACATGCAAAGACAAAAATGCTGCTGAGGAGAAAAGCTGCATTCACAGAACATAGAGAGCAGCAATGTGAACATGCCTTGTAAACACGACACCTGTTAGAAATATAGAAATGATGCTAAAGCACAAAACACACGCAAAGGAAAAAAGCTGCAAGAACCAAAAGAAGCTGCAAGTGAAGAAAGGCTGGAAAATAGCGTCGGATAAAGGATTTGCTCCAGAACACAATGGAGCAGAGATGGGAAGTAACGAAGTACAAATACTTCGTTACTGTACTCAAGTAGATTTTTCTGATGTTTTTACTTTACTACTTATTTTTATGGCGACTTTTTACTTCTACTCCTTGCATTTTTACACAAATATCTGTACTTTCTACTCCTTACATTTGAAAAAAATTGGCTCGTTACTTTAGTTTTGAATCATTTCAATGGAGTTACCGTTATTATTTTTCACGTCATTAATACCAAATTCAATCTAATTGGATGGGAATCTACGTTGCATTTGACGCATCACTACAAGATGAATCGACAGATTCGGCGGTATTCATTGGCGGCAAATCATTGCAGCTTGGTGGCGGTGGCGTTAGCATAGTAGCATGGACGACGAGATGATTGAAAATGAACACAACGGAGATCTAGTCCTATTGGCAGACATCCATTTAAAATGTAGGCAACGGCATGAAAACATTGGTTTCTACTTTTACTTTTATACTTTAAGTAAATTTACAAGCGTGTACTTTGTTACTTTTACTTGAGTAAAGAGGTTTAATCAGTACTTCCACTTTCACCAGAGTATTTTTTAACACAAGTATCTGTACTTTTACTCAAGTACGGAAAGTGAGTACTTTTGCCATCTCTGCAATGGAGACACACCTGTGAGCAGAACATACACTTTACTACGAATTCATGTCTAAAGGCAAGATCTGTTGCAAAAATATAAATGGGATATCCAGGTTACATTTGGTAAGAATAAATAAAAGGCAGGTTTTCCTTTTAATCTTTTTTTAACCTTCTCTCTGAAAACATCCCGTTTCTGTCTCTACTAAGGGTCTGATGATCGTATGCATGGTTTGGAGAAGCTCCAATGTATTAAGCTCGTTTGCTGCCTTTATTAACTTAGAGTTCACGTCATTTATGTGTTTGCAGCGGGTTTTGTTTTTGCAAGGCGTGTCAACTTTGCTGCTCTCTCAATTTTTTCTTGTAAAGTCAATGACTCTATGCATTCAGCTGGGTTTCCTAGATAGAAACCGTTCAACCAATCTCACTACATGACTCAGTTGAATTGTCTAGACATGAGAAGAATTTAACTGAAATATATTCCATTTGTCTGTGTTTTTGTTTGTTTATTTTGTTTGTTTGTATTGTTTATTGGTTGTATCTTTGTAGTTGCAGAGATTCTTTAATTTTCTGGTTGGTACGTGCACACTCCTTTGCTGACATTGTTTTTAATTGATATTCAACATAAAAAACCATTATGATTTTAACATATTTCATTTCATAACTGAGCCTTACTCTCATTTGCATGTTTTATTTGTCAGGTAATATAGGTAATAAAAACAACTTTTAATTGTTTTTTGTGTGGAGTCAGCATTTTGGATCTCTTTCTAAGAATTATAGGATGTTATATACTGTATCTCTAAATATTTTATGTTTGTTGAATATATATTCACGTCATTTGCAATTTCTTTTATTATTCTGCAAGCAAAATTGTCTTGTGTGCTTCCTGTTGAAGTATATTTTTAAACTGACTAAAACATGTTCATTCAATTATGGGAGATTGTTTATTATTGTTAAATTAGTTAATAAAAATTAATAACAGTTTTTCCCCCCATTTTGCTGTGAACCTAAAATTCCTGTTCTTCTGGTATTAAACTGATATTTGATCTTGATTTAGTTTTGCTCTCTTCAGGTTTTGAATGCTCAGGTTTCTGATACAGGACAGTACGTGTGTGTGGCGGAAAACGCTGCTGGAAGTGCAGAGAAACACTTTAATCTGAACGTTCACGGTGAGTTACTGGATAATCTTTTAAATTTCATTTTTATGTGCCTTTCAAATCAGATGTAGTTTTAATTTAAAGAATCTATGTTGACTGAGTCTGTTTTTTATGCCTTTAACCTTGTGTTAAGCATTGCATGTGTGTGTTTTGGCCACGCAGTACCTCCTACAATTGTTGGTGTGAATCCAGAGAATGTGACAGTGGTGGTGAACAACCTGGTGTCCCTCACCTGTGAAGCCAGTGGCTTCCCGCCTCCCACACTGAGCTGGCTTAATGACAAGGAGCCCATACAGGCTAAAAGCAATGCTCTCGTCATGCCAGGTACTGAAATAATTATTAGATGTATTTAAAAAGAAGAAAAATGATGCAAGATTCTGAACAGGTTTGTTTTCCTTTGCGTCTTCAGGAGGACGGACGTTACAGATCCTTAAAGCAAAGGTGTCTGATGCTGGAAAGTACAGCTGTGTGGCTATAAATACAGCAGGACAAGCTTACAAACACATCTATCTCACCGTCTACGGTCAGGCAACCACCAAACTTTTTTCTTCATGAGATTTCTCTCAATTCTTTCCAGTTTGTAGGTTTACTTTATATACTTCACATTGTTTTTCTTTTTCCTTGAATATTTAGTTCCTCCAAGTATCAGGGGAAGTATTGGAGACCTTCCTGTCGAGGTTAATATTGTGGTTGGAAAATCTGTAACCTTAGAGTGTGAGTCCAACGCCGTCCCCCCTCCTGTGATCACCTGGTATAAGAATGGCCGAATGGTGACAGAAACGTCAGATTTACAAATTCTGTCAGGGGGACAAATGCTTCAGATGAAACGCTCTGAGGTAACCGAAAACATGTTAGCTTCTTTCCGTTATAGAGTCATAGTAAACATCTCTACAGTTCCTTGCTGTAGTGTTTTCACCTGTTGAATTGTTCACTGTTTTGTTTTGTTACAACATTAAACTTTACTCGATGCAACAGACTTGCAAAAAGTAGTGAATATATGTGAAGTGGAAGGAAAAGGAAAAGATGTTTTAAAAAAAATACTTGAACCACCTTTTGTATATTTCGACCAGAATTTCTCCATTGTGGGACAATAAAAGGATTTTCTAATCTATTCTATACAGTGGGAAAATCTAGAGAAAATTCTGCCCATTTTCTTTGTAGGACATCTTTTGTCAATGAAGACATTAAGTCTGAAGAAATATAGTTTCAAATCTGCCTTAGACTCAATAGCATTCGCAGCTGGGCTGTTTGGTTGCAAAAATTAGTCTTAAAACATGAACACAGGTCTTGCAATCAGTGCTTTTCCTGATCTGAGTATTTCGGCACCTACAAAAAGATGACTAAATATATGGTACTTGGAATAAGATTATTATTACATATATGTTTTTTCCCCTATTTTAGGTGCAAAACTGTTATTTTATTGGCAGACCATTTTACTTACCATAAGTGCAAATAGACTTATTTCGAGAAAATCTTAATTTTAGTTCAGTTTTTGGAGTGTAGCCAGCAAATATCCATCCAATGTATTTCAACCGATATTCTTGGCTTTGTGGTCCTTTTAAATGGTGGACCTCAGCTCCGTTTTCTTTAATACTTTAGATTTTCATTCACCAACTGACATACTTTCCCGTAACTCCTGTCACCTGCATAAATTGTGCATTTACCCACATTTTAAGACTTTATTACATAAAAAATTTCCAATTACTTTTTTTATTGTTTTCAAATTTAATATTGTCCTCTTAAATAAAGTATACATGTTGCATAAGCTTATTTATATGAAATAGATAATCATAATTTTGTTGTATTTAGAATTAATACAGCATACTTACAATTAATAGTGAGTGTATTTATTTAAAAAAATACACTCATATTGCATAATAATCATGATTATGTGTATATATGTCTAAATATAGAGAAATTTCTTTGTTGCTTTTAAGTTTTGTTGCACTTGTTTCCACATTTAGATGAATAAATATCTATGAGAAGTCAAGAAATGGCTACAAATACTCTAATCCTGCTTCCTCTAACCTTTCTGTCTTAGCTATCTGCTGTTTTCTTCATGGTGTTTTTTGTTCTCTAATGATCTCCTGCAACCCTCTGAACCTTTCAGGAAACAGAACAAAATTGTACTAGCATTTAATTAGACACAGGTGGATTCTATATTAAGAAGAGCTGTGTACAGACCTTTCCAATTTCCAATGTTAATCTTGAAACCCAAGTATCCCATTTTTCACTTCACAATATTTTTATCTATCTATATATATATATATATAGATATATATACACAATGTTTGAGTTTAAAGGGCTTTAATACTTATTTAAAGGGTTATGTGTGAAGCCCCTGATAAATGTGGTGTTAAATTTGTAATATTTTGTGTCTGTTGTTTTTCTTCAGCTGTCTGATACAGGCCAGTATGTTTGCATGGCTTCAAATATTGCTGGACACGTGAACAAGAACTTCCACTTGAATATCCATGGTAGAGTCTTATATAATGCATATCTATGTTTAGATTTAAAATAACTGGCAAGTGTTTGAATGTGTTTTAGATTTACAGTAAGATAACAAATTATATTTTTTCTACAGTTCCTCCACGAATTGACGGCTCAGCAGAGGAGAGTATTGTGGAAACTATCAGTAACCCAGTTACTTTCACATGTGACGCTACTGGAATCCCTCCACCCAGTCTCACATGGCTTAAAAATGGACACCCTATAGGTACTGTGACTGTGTTGTTTAGGGATGCTCGTACAAATGGTCAACAACTGCAAATAAACAAAACTATTTAGAAATTATTTAAAGGTGAATATTGAAACAGAATTTTATACAGACTGAATTAGAAATTTATGTTCCACATTTAGTTACAGCATTTAATTAAACAGAAAAAATGTCACAGTGATAACAAATGTTCTACAAGTCTCAATTTAGACTAAAAGAAAATTGTGTTAAAAAACAAAACTAGACAATTATAATGGGTAGCAAATGGAGGGAGTGGAAATGCATGCACTTCACATGATCTCAAAGCTTGGCTGCTGAATGCACTGATAAATTGGCACATACTGTATCGCCTCATGCATATATAAGAAAAATATTGGGGAGCCGTTGTATCGGTCTATCTCTATGGACCGTAATCATGATGGTGGAAACTTCTTATTTCCCTCAGAGAACTCAGAATCCCTGGAGGTGAATATCTTCTCAGGAGGCAACAAATTACAGATAGCACGGCTGCAGCTCCCTGACAGTGGAACCTATACATGTGTGGCCTCTAATGTTGAGGGTAAAGCACAGAAGAGTTATCACCTCACCATACAAGGTATATTAACATCATTACTTGTTAAATAGATCGCTTTTTTGGATTGTATAACAAATGTATATCTGTCAGCTGTTTTTCAGCTAACCCAATAATGTCCTCTTAGTTCCACCCAGTATCTCTGGATCAGAAATGCCCAGCGAGATCGGAGTCCTGGTAAACCAAAGCATTGATCTGGTTTGTGAAGCTCAGGGAACCCCAACTCCAACAGTCCACTGGCTGAAAGATGGAGAAGCCATCAACAGTACAGCAAACAAAAGTCTCAGGTATTTAAATCTTAGCCTCTCTGACTGTTGAACTGTCATATAAGCAACAACCTCTCAGCCGATGGCCGCTCACACTGAGCCTGGTTCTGCTGGAGGTTTCTTCCTGTTAAAAGGGAGTTTTTCCTCTCAACTGTCGCCACAAGTATTCTTAGTGTGAGGGAATGCATTTGAGTCAATGAGTAGATGCAATCAACTAGTTTTCCTTAGATAGAAATCTTTGAATCAATTTGACTGGATTATCTTATTTGGAAGCTTTAAAAAAAAAAAAAAAGCATTTGAGATTCCTAATCTTGCTAGAAAAAACATTACATATTTCTGCCTGAAAGGTGTTAAAGATGTGGGACATTCTCTGTTTTTCACTTCTAGGGTTAGCCCTGATGGTAAAACTCTAATTGTGACCCAAGCAGACCCTGCTATCAGTGGGAAGTACACTTGTGTCGCCACCAATGCTGCTGGAGAGGAGGGCAGGATATTTAATCTGCATGTATATGGTGGGTATAATGTTTTATTTTAAGCTTGAAAATTTGTCTTCTCTGCTTTCTTTTTTCTATATCTAAGACAGCATGTCCCTTCACAGAGCGCCCAGCTATACTCAGCAGCAGTGATGCCGTTGAGATTCTGACCACGGTTCTGGACAGTTCTGTCAGTATTGAGTGTGTTGCTACTGGGTCGCCTCAACCACAGCTAAACTGGCTGAGAAATGGGCTGCCTCTCCCAGTCTCTTCCAACATAAGGCTCCTCTCTGCTGGACAAGTTCTCCGGTAGGTCAATGTTCAGCAAACATGAAGAAGTCAGTCGGGTTTATACGTTTCTTGTTGCTTTTTTTACCTATAAAATTGTCAAACACCTTTACAAAGACAACCTATACATTTTAATCAATTAATCTAATATCTTTGCACAACCAGACAGAAAACTGTTCTAATCTCATACTCCTCGCCTCTGTCTTAATCTGGGACTGGGTCACAGGGACAGCAGGCTCATGCAGATACTCCCAGACTTCCCTCTCCATAGAAAACTCCTCCAGCTCTTCTGGAAGATGCCTGAGGCGCTCCCAGAGCACCCCCTTCCAGACCAGCTGATAGACATGGTTCCTCCATGGTGTCCTGGGTCGTCCCCTGGGCCTCCTCCCACTGGGATCTATCTCGGTTGTGTTTTGGTCATGATTCTGAATTCATGACCATACACTCACCGGCCACTTTATTAGGTACCCCATGCTAGTAACAGGTTGGACCCTGTTTTGCCTTCAGAACTGCCTCAATTCTTGGTGGCATAGATTCAACAAGGTGCTGGAAGCATTCCTCAGGGAGTTTGGTCCATATTGACATGATGGCATCACACAGTTGCCGCAGATTTGTCGGCTGCACATCCATGATGCGAATCTCCCGTTCCACCACATCCCAAAGATGCTCTATTGGATTGAGATCTGGTGACTGTGGAGGCCATTTGAGTACAGTGAACTCATTGTCATGTTCAAGAAACCAGTTTGAGATGATTCCAGCTTTATGACATGGCGCATTATCCTGCTGAAAGTAGCCATCAGAAGTTGGGTACATTGTGGTCATAAAGGGATGGACATGGTCAGCAACAATACTCAGGTAGGTTGTGGCGTTGCAACAATGCTCAATTGGTACCAAGGGGCCCAAAGAGTGCCAAGAAAATATTCCCCACACCATGACACCACCACCACCAGCCTGAACCGTTGATACAAGGCAGGATGGATCCATGCTTTCATGTTGTAGACACCAAATTCTGACCCTACCATCCGAATGTCGCAGCAGAAATCGAGACTCATCAGACCAGGCAACGCTTTTCCAATCTTCTATTGTCCAATTTCGATGAGTTTGTGCAAATTGTAGCCTCACTTTCCTGTTCTTAGCTGAAAGGAGTGGGACCCGGTGTGGTCTTCTGCTGCTGTAGCCCATCTGCCTCAAAGTTCGACGTACTGTGCGTTCAGAGATGCTCTTCTGCCCACCTTGGTTGTAACGGGTGGTTATTTGAGTCACTGTTGCCCTTCTATCAGCTCGAACCAGTCTGGCCTTTCTCCTCTGACCTCTGGCATCAACAAGGCATTTCCGCACATAGAACTGCCGCTCACTGGATGTTTTTTTTTTTCCGGACCATTCTCTGTAAACCCTAGAGATGGTTGTGCGTGAAAATCCCAGTAGATCAGCAGTTTCTGAAATACTCAGACCAGCCCTTCTGGCACCAACAATCATGCCACGTTCAAAGTCACTCAAATCACCTTTCTTCCCCATACTGATGCTCGGTTTGAACTGCAGGAGATTGTCTTGACCATGTCTACATGCCTAAATGCACTGAGTTGCCGCCATGTGATTGGCTGCTTAGAAATTAAGTGTTAACGAGCCGTTGGACAGTTGTACCTAATAAAGTGGCCGGTGAGTGTAGGTGAGGGTAGGAATGTAGAAAAGCTTTGCAATATGGAAAACATGGAAAACTTTGCCATATTGTTTAGCGCTCTCTTTAGCACAACAGACCAGTGCAGCGTCCGCATTATAGCAGCAGCCGCTCCGATCCGTCTATCGACACCAACGGAACACCAAGATGACATTCAACGTCTCCAGATTAAGTCTAAGTGCCACTGACTGCCGCCCAATGCTCTTCGCACTGGACACCAGACACTCGCCAACTAACCCCAACCCCAGGCCTGGCTCCTGGGTGGGGTTGCAGCTCTGCCGTACCGGGCAACGTCATGTGCCTCGATTTTTTTTTTCTGACGTCATGGGTGATTTGTGAGCCTCTCTTTGTTTGACCTTTCACCAAGACACTGTTTGCCTTAGATGACCCTACCAGGAACATTTAAGCCCCTGACATCATAGCCTCTGGGAATCATCCAGGCACTGAAACCAGCACGATAAGGTGGCGGCTCGAGGAGGGGAACCTCACAGAAATCATTTCTGATTTCACTGAGCATCTCTGAACTTAGAGTTTTAGGTCTTATCATTAACTTCAGGTTTAAATTGAGGTCCGGGCTTTGACTTGGTCATTTAAAAAAAATAATGTGCTTTTATTCACTCAATTTCTTTGTGTTAATGTCCTTTTCAAGGAAAAAACCTTTTTACAGTCACTGATCTTACTTAGGTTTTCTTGCATTTTTGCCTTATTTAGCTAAAACAACATTTCCAATTTTTAAATATATCATACTCAAAATCAAATCCACCATCATGTTTCTCCATGAATTCATTCAACCAGAGAGAATAAAGTATTTTAGTTGTGTTCCTCTACCTAAGCAGCAGCACTTCACAGTTTTCTCCAAACCCATTTTTCAATTTCAGCTAATCAATTGCAGATTGGTCCATTAGAAATTCAGAGCTTTGTTTATTATTAGTAGTTGTAAACCAGGTGTGCTTTAATTTCTCCCCTGAAATTGTACAATTTTTTAGTCAAACTAACTTTAAGGATTTTCACAAAACAGCAGAATTTATATTGAGTCTTGAAGATTTTATTTGAATTAACAGAATATTTTCTGATAGAAAATTTTTATCTTTCCATTGAAGTGAAATGTTTTGTTTTTTTATGGAAGTAAATCTGTGTCGCTGGGATTTGAATAAAAAATGCCACTGAAATTTAAATTTTGTATGTTTGTACTTACTGTTTCAGAACACATTTTTGACCTAAAAAAATCATTGCCATTATTTCTACACACTTGAAATTTCATTTTTTATTTTCTCTTCAGGCTAAAAATTCACATTACTATTTCAAAGTGATTACATTTTCAATACTTATTTTTCAGTTTAATTTTTCAGTGTTAAAAAAAATCTGTATATAAAAAAATTCAACAATTTAAATTTCAGTAGCATTTTTAATTCAAATCCCAGTGACAGATTTACTTCCATAGATTTTGTTGTTTGTTTAAAGCAACTTCATTTTTGATTGAAAGATAAAGACACAAACGTCCTACCCATTATATGGTCCAATCAAAAAACAATGTTAACCCAATTAAAGAAGTTGCTTTAAACAGAAAAAAAAACTTGGCTTCTATCAAATAAAACAAATTCAATCAAAGAAAAGCAAGGCAAGGCAAATTTATTTGTATAGCACAAACAGTACAAAGACAATGCAAAGTGCTTTACATGAAGCCAGTGCTTACAATTTTACAAGCAGTGTTCAAATGTATTTTTCTGAGTCTTAATTATATTTTTGCATTCAAATATTTGTTTTTCTTTGATTGAAAACTTTTGATTTCATTGAGGTAAAGGTGTTTTTCATTGAAAATATATTTTTTGATTGACACAAATCTACCTTTATACCCTTTACTTACTTATAACCTGAGTATTGAAGGTTGCACTGCTTGTTTCTGTTCTAACTATGTTGTGTTACTTTTTGTTTTGTTATCACATAAAAACTCAGTTTCACAAAATTCTACCTTTAGAGTCCATTTAAATTACTGTAAACATTTCTGAACTAGTTAATAAAAGTGTTTATGATCCGATTAATATTGTTTAATCACCATAGGTTTTGATTCCGACACACATGGATATGTACGATCGAGCATTTTGCCCTTTTGTGTAACAGGATTACCCGAGTCCAGGTGTCTGATGGTGGAAGCTATACATGTGTGGCATCTAACCGAGCAGGAGTCGACAACAGACAGTATAAATTGCAGGTTCACGGTGAGTGTTTGTGTTCATAGATTTAGGAGTTTTTAAAGAAGAAAAGAGCAGCTGGAGGTTAATGAGTTTCTAAAATCCCATCTTTAGTTCCTCCGGGTTTGGAAGGAGCAGGAACCATAGAGGACGTGACTGTAATTAAAGGAAGTGTGGCGTCTTTGGCGTGTATCGCTGATGGCAGCCCAACTCCTGCCATTTCCTGGCTCAGAGATGGAGTGATTTTACCAGCTGACCACGGCCTCAGTCTCCTCAGACTGAACACAACCTTACAGCTCAACAGTGTCCAAGTTAATCACACCGGACGCTACAGCTGCTTGGCTAATAACAACGCTGGTCAAGCAAGCCGCCACTTTAACCTGAAGGTTCTGGGTAAGTAAAAAAAAATAATTGCCGTATTGTTTATAGTTTCCTGGTTTCTTTCTACTTTCAGCTTTTGTTTTATTTTCCCTTTGCTCACTGTCTTCTTCAGACCCTCCACACATCAGGAGCTCTGATCAACCAGTAGAAGTTTCTGTAGTGGTTAATAATGTCCTGGAGCTACTCTGTGAGGCCACAGGCATCCCAACTCCCACCCTGACCTGGCTGAAGGACGAACGGCCGCTCCCACGGACAGAAAGTCTGCGTCTCCTCCGTGGAGGAGAGATACTCCGTGTGACCTCAGCACAGGTTGGTCTCAGCAAATTTAAACCGGTAAATCTTTCATCTTTTTGTCAGAGCATAAAAATGGTATCATTCATTAACATTATACTTTTTCCTTATCTTTACAGCTGGAGGACACTGGCAGATACAGCTGCTTAGCCAGTAGCCCAGCAGGAGACGATGACAAGGAGTTTTTGGTTCGAGTTCACAGTGAGTGACATGAGGTCTAAGGTCTTTTAGTTTTCAAGAATGTTAGAAATCTGAGACAAAAGCCACATAATTAAGATAATAACTGGTTAAAAACAACACTGATTTGATTCCAAAATGTTTGAAATCAATCAAACTATGAAGATTCCTTCTGGATATCATCACGTTGGCAGGTGTTTGTTGTCAGCAGCAAATTGCTACAGTAGTGGTAGTTGAAAAATGTGTTTAAGGATTGTACGATCTATGAAGCTTGATGTGGATTCTGTATTAGTATTAATTTTTTAAAACAGTTATTCAGCATTTTTTTACTTTATAAAGTTATATGGTTGAAACCGATAATGAAGCCAAAAAATATAAAAACAGGTGGGAAGTTCTCAAATGTTTGTTTTTGAAAAATGTAATTTGTGGACGAAGGAATTCATTCAAGGTGGATGAATGAATGTGAATGAGTGTTAGGGGGTGGGGGGTGGGGGGGCTTTTGGGTCGGTATATTATCTTTGTGAATGTATCCTGTGCTGTCATTTATGTTTATTTAATAATCATTTTTAAAAAAGAGAAGAAAAAAAAGTGCTACAGTAGCATTAGTCCTTCTAGTTAGAAGAAAAAGAGCAGCGAGGATGAGGAGGGTCCATCTACAGAACCCTAAGGTCCAGAGAGCAGATTGAGGAGTTCCAGCTTGTGACCTCTGTTTCCATAGCAACAGAAATAACAGATTTCAGGGATGAAACCCAAACTGTATTATCTTTTTCCTTAAAGATGTTTCTTACTAGATCGGCCAGTTTCTGTTAACCACACGTGTATGTATTTGTAGGGATGCTTTTATTGTGAATAGAAAATAATAGATGTGTTTCAATGGCAAGTAAGATATGAAAGTATGTTTAATAAAAACAGATTAAAATACTTGTTTTTATTTAGCAGAACATCAAAAATGTATAAATAAAATGCTCAGTGTCATGCGAACACTTATCTCACAACTTAGTTAACTTTGATAAACCTGAATGTATTCTCCAAACATTGATATTTTTACTTTAACATCTTAGCTGAAAATAGGATTAATTCATACAGCTAAATCAGAGAAAGCTGCCTTTTAGTTTGGGGTTTTTACATTCTAATTTTATTTAATATTTTACAGACTGAAAAGTTTTTTTTTTAATTTCAAGTCTCGATTTACATTTAATTACATTGAGAATGTTGTGGTTATTACTTAACGTTAGATAACATATAGGTTCGTATCGTATCGTTAACTTATGCCTGAATGAGATCTAGATTTAGAATCAATGTGTTCAGTACCCCCAACCTTGATCAATAAATGTATGTTATCTATCAAAAGAATAAAGATTAAAAAGTACTATATATTTAATAGATTGTTTTTCTTATTTTATTTTTTATGAAACTCTTAATATCAATATTTAAAGAATTATTCTGTTTTTTTTATTTTTTTATTTAAATCTCTACGTTTTTCTGGTGTTATTTCTCTCAGTTCCTCCTAACATTTCTGGTGAAAGTGCACCTCAGCATCTGTCAGTGCTGCAGAACGGCCAGGTGACTTTGGAATGCAAGTCAGAGGCTGTTCCACCTCCAACTCTCACCTGGCTGAAAGATGGCACACCATTACAGGTCAGTTTCTAAAAGCATTACTTGAGCAATAAAATAGAATAGAATAGAATAGAATAGAATAGAAAAGCATAGCATAGAATAGCATAGCATAGCAGAATAGAATAGCATAGCAGAATAGAATAGCATAGCAGAATAGAATAGCATAGCATGGCATAGCAAAGCGGAATAGAATACAATAGAATAGAATGGCATAGCAGAATAGAATACAATAGAATAGAATAGCAAAGCAGAATAAAATAGAATAGCATAGCAGAATAGAATAGCATAGCAGAATAGAATAGCATAGCAAAGCGGAATAGAATAGCATAGCAGAATAGAATAGCAAAGCAGAATAGAATAGCATAGCAGAATAGAATAGCATAGCAGAATAGAATAGAATAGAATAGAATAGCAAAGCAGAATAGAATAGAATAGCAAAGCAGAATAGAATAGCATAGCAGAATAGAATAGCATAGCATGGCATAGCAAAGCGGAATAGAATACAATAGAATAGAATGGCATAGCAGAATAGAATACAATAGAATAGAATAGCAAAGCAGAATAAAATAGAATAGCATAGCAGAATAGAATAGCATAGCATAGCAGAATAGAATAGCATAGCATAGCAAAGCGGAATAGAATAGCATAGCAGAATAGAATAGCAAAGCAGAATAGAATAGCATAGCAGAATAGAATAGCATAGCAGAATAGAATAGAATAGAATAGAATAGCATAGCAGAATAGAATAGCATAGCAGAATAGAATAGAATAGCAAAGCAGAATAGAATAGCAAAGCAGAATAGAATAGCATAGCAGAATAGAATAGCGTAGCAGAATAGAATAGCAAAGCAGAATAGCATAGCATAGCGGAATAGAATAGAATAGAATAGAATAGAATAGAAAAGCATAGCAGAATTGAATACAATAGAATAGAATAGAATAGCAAAGCAGAATAGAATAGAATAGCATAGCAGAATAGAATAGCATAGCAGAATAGAATAGCAAAGCAGAATAGAATAGCATAGCAAAGCGGAATAGAATAGCATAGCAGAATAGAATAGAATAGAATAGCAAAGCAGAATAGAATAGAATAGCATAGCAGAATAGAATAGCATAGCATAGCAGAATAGAATAGCATAGCAAAGCGGAATAGAATAGCATAGCAAAGCGGAATAGAATAGCATAGCAGAATAGAATAGAATAGAAAAGCAGAATAGAATAAAATAGAATAGCATAGCAGAATAGAATAGAATAGCATAGCATAGCAGAATAGCATAGCATAGCAGAATAGCATAATATAGCAGAATAGAATAGCATAGCATAGCGGAATAGAATAGCAAAGCAGAATAGAATAGAATAGCATCGCATAATAGAATAGAATAGTATAGCATTGCATAATAGAATAGAATAGAATAGCATTGCATAATAGACTAGAATAGAATAGCATCGCATAACAGAAAAGAAAAACTTTTGTTGGTATCTTACAAAGAAAAAACTTTTATCAATAGTAAGTGATATGCAAGTGGAAATAATATTGATGCAAAAGAACTGGTAATACTAATAAAATAGAAATTATTTACTTGTGTCAAATAAATTCAAATAAAAGAGATACAATTATTTTAAAATCAACTATGACTCACACTTTTCTATGTTTGTGCCTGTGTAGATCTCACCACGACTGCGGATTCTGTCTGGTGGACGCTATTTACAGATCAACATGGCGGTGCTCTCTGACGCGGCTCAGTATACCTGTGTGGCAAGAAACATCGCTGGAAAGACCACTCGACTGTTTAATCTAACTGTCAATGGTGAATAGAAAAACTTAAAACATTAAGAAATAACAAAACATTCCATGATAGGTTTGTTAATAGGAATATCTGTCCAATCAGTGCCTCCAACTATCAAGGATGGATCTCAGATGGTGTCAGCACACGTCAGCAAGCCAGTGGCTCTCGAATGTGAAGTCAGCGGAGTCCCGCCGCCTCGAGTCACATGGAGGAAAAATGGAGCAATAATAGCAGAAAACAATCCGAGGTAAAACCTGTTATTGTTGTTTTGTACTCATTCTAAACTTTGTTGCTCTGAATGTCATGACTAATTTCAATATATTTCTGCAGATATACATTTTCAGAGGAAGGATCTTTACACATCCACTCGGCTCAGGTGACGGACACAGGACGCTACCTGTGCATGGCTACAAATCAAGCTGGTACTCAGCGCAAGAGGTTGGATCTTCAGGTTTATGGTAGGTGGTAGATATATGTTTAGACTGGCCATTGCTTAACACAGCTGTAGTTACGATGTTACTCCAGTCCTTCTTTTATTTTTTTATCTCGTAGTTCCACCTTCGATCGCAAAAAGTCGCACCAATGTGACAGTAATGGTCAACATGCAGACCACCTTACCCTGTGAGGTCAGTGGCATTCCCAAACCTTCTGTCAGCTGGCACAAGAATGGTCGAACCCTCAGCACAGACCAGAATCAGAGCATGTACAGGTGTGTTTATTGTTACTCAAATTTCCCATTTATGAAGTCTAAATCTTATTTTCTATTTCAAATGTAATTCTTTCCTATGGGGATGCATGATATTATCAGCATATTCTCAATATTGGTTGATATTAGCTTTAAAACCAGCCATTCCAACATATAAGTTGTTTTCCTTATGATATAAAAGGGGCATTTTGTGATAAACATGTGAGGATTATTCCTGCTGTCATGATGTTACAAAGTTCAGATCCAAATGCAGAAAACCGAACAGAGAGAACAGGGAAAAGGTTTAACGGGTTTTATTGAAGAAGTTAATCAGAGTGAGAAATGTTGCTCTGAACACAGCTCAACTGGAACTGTAAAATGAGGGGAAGACACAGCGGTAAGTTCAGGCTCAGTGGGGAATTTGACTCGTGAACTTGGAGAAGAGGATTTTGTTGCCGACTCACATTTCGAGAGAAGTTGTTGAATCCTTGACTCCTGTCGGTGTGCTGTAGTTCCAGTGTTTGTCTGATTCGGTGGAGGGCAGAACAGGTTTTACCCAGAATGCGGTTGATAGTTGGTTAACGGAGAAACTGGCTGCCACTCAGATTTCCTGCGGTACTTGAACGGGTCGTAGTGGAGAATAATCCCTTTCTCAGTGTGAAGCTCAAACGATCTTTTGGGGAAAGTGGATCCAAACCTCCTGTTTGAACCCCAGCTCAGTTTGAAGCTCAGTTGATCCTTCCAGGGAGTGAAGGTCCGAGAGATCCAGTTTGCAGGATGACTTCCTGTTGAGAGGCAAAGACAAAAACAAAGTTAAACACAGGTTGACAAAAAGCTCAGCTTGACTCAGCAAACTCAGCTTAGCTAGAGTACCCTAAACTGGCAAACACTCTGGCATCGAAGTAGTGGCAGTCAGCAGCTTAAGAAGACTCCGTTTAACGAGGAAACCATCAGTAGGTGTGTGAGGAGGCGGACCAGAACCAGGCGCCTCCTGGTGGATGAAGGGAGACAAACACCGAAACACAAACACATAAACAGGAGTCCGACACCTGCAGCGTTAACGGGTCACATGTACATGCACCCTGCTGATACATGAGTCAGAGGAGAGTTGCTGAAGTATAAATGAGGTGTTGTGGATTTTTTTTGAAAGTTTCACAGTGTAATTTGCAATGACTGCAAAGGATTGGAGGGAAAAAAAGTGCATAAATGGTTATAGGGAGAAAAAAATATTCTATCCGTATCTGTTATTGGGCAGTTTATGTAAAATAGTTGTAAAATCTGCATATCAGACATTGGCTTAAATTCCAATGGAGTGCATATCTACCATTGTTATTGCTTATGGAGTAAAGTTTTGAGGGGATTTTTAGTTTTAGGACACATGGTTAAATTAAAGGTTGTTTCTGTGAAGGGAACTTCTCCATGGAGATGTGTTCCACTCTTTAGAAGAGAAACAATCTATAACGAGAAACCGCACAGCTATAAATTACAGAGAATCTCTCTTCTCTGAGATCATCAGCAAACACATTAACATGAACTCATCTGCCCCAGTCAGCAGGTTAATAAACCCTCATCTAACTGTAGCATGTAAACTCCACTCTACCAGAAATGTGTAATAAATCCCAGAAAACTGTAAAAACACCAAAGTCCTCAGTTGCTCTAAATTCATATTAAAACACACTTTTTTTTAGACTGGCCTTTGACTGTGCCATCTAAACATTAATAGTTAAGTTTCCTGTATATATTATGTTCCATTTTCTAAGTCAGTTTGTCTTTTGTTATTTTGAATTAATCATCATTTTATCTTTTTTAAATACATAATCCACTTATTTTAATGGCCTTATTTTAGTCTCTATAACTATATGTGTTGCTTCTATGCAGTGTGCTTTTCTTTTTCTCATGTACAGCCCTTTAAATCGTCTTGGCACTGAAACGTGCAATATATAAAAAAAAAACTTAAGTTCCTTTTAAACAAGTAAAACTTCTTTTCTTAAAATCATTTATCTCTGTTGATATTTTTCAGATTACTCTCATCGGGCTCCTTGGTGATTATGGCTCCAACAGTAGAGGACACCGCAGAGTATAAATGTGTGGCCTTTAATGAAGCAGGAGAGGAATTCCGATCCATTACTCTTTCTGTTAATGGTGAGAAAAACGGTTATTTACAGATCATGAATCTTGTCATTAGTTAGACTGACTTTGTTTTGCAATGAATCAAAAGACATTAAAGGTATTTTCTCTCCAAAATATAATATTTTTTACTGTATCTGTTGCTCTAGTTCCACCATCTATAGCAGATGAACCTACAGATCTAGTTGCTACCAGACTGTCCCCAGTGGTCATCGCTTGTACTGCAACCGGAGTGCCAGAACCTGCGATCCACTGGACCAAAGACGGCATGAAGCTACAAGATAAGGGGGAAGGATACAGCATTTTGCCAACAGGTCAAATCTTTATTTATGAAAACATTATTATCAATTTGAGTCTTTCTTAAATGACATTCCTCTAAATAATGTCATTTTAAAGCATAAATATGTTTTTTATGTTGATTTCTCTGCAATTTCTGTACGTTTATCTTTACTCAGGTCATGTAGAAATTCCTTCTGCTCAGCTCAGTCACGCTGGACGCTACACCTGCACGGCTAAAAATATTGCAGGCTCCACTCATCGACATGTGCAGCTTACTGTGCAGGGTAAAAATATGCAGACCATAACAAGCTATAACTTAATAAATTCTTTCAAGATTATTTTAAAGACATCAAAATAGAGCATATATATATTTCTTAGCAAGAAATATTAACATGATGCATTTGTTTGCTACATTTTCAAGTATGATAAGACTCTTACTTGAAATCTGGTTTATAAGCAATTAGCAAATATTTCACAATTATCTTATTTCTTAAAGTGTGTAAACATGTCAGATTTTTGTATAGGTGTTTTACTTTAAAGCTAGTATTCTGAAGCTGGAAACAAAACGATAATAATTACAACCCTTATGGCAACTTTAAAATCAAAAACTGTTTTTTAACTTAAGGTATTATAGCTGATGAACAGCACTATTATTCTTCTTTCTATATGTTCATCTCCTTAGAACTCCCAGTGATCCAGTTCAATCCCTCCACACTGGATGTGATATACAACACCCCCGTTACTTTGCCCTGCAGAGCCACAGGCTCACCCAGACCCACCATTACCTGGCAAAAGGAGGGCATCAACATTCCCACCTCTGGTAAACACTCAGTCAACCGTACTGCTACCTCCAGACCCTTTTTCCAGCTTGTCTCTGATCTTTTTTTCAGTTCTATTGAAAAAAATATTCAGAACAGCATGATTCTGTTAGAGTCCCTTCAGGTTTCACCTTGGGGATGTACAGTAGTGCTCATGGAGACGCGTGGCTTTATTTCTTCTTTAGACTGTGTCATGCTTAAAAAGGAAAGTCACAGTGTGTTTTTAAAGCATTAATCTGTTTAAGACAAACAACAAAACTCACAAACTTGGTAGAGAAAATAACAGGGGCTGTAGTTTATGTAGACAGAGGAAATACAGGTGCTGGTCATAAAATTAGAATATCATGAAAAAGTAGATTGATTTCAGTAATTCCATTTAAAAAGTGAAACTTGTATATTATATTCATACATTACATACAAACTCATATATTTCAGATGTTTATTTTGTTTAATTTTGATGATTACAAATGACAACAAATGAAAATCTCAAATTCATCATATCAGAAAATTAGAATATTACTGAAGACCAATAAAAACAAAGGATTTATAGAAATGTTGGCCAACTGAAAAGTATGAACATGAAAAGTATGAGCATGTACAGCACTCAGTATTTAGTTGGGCCTCCTTTGGCCTGTATTACTGCAGCAATGCGGCGTGGCATGGAGTCGATCAGTCTGTGGCACTGCTCAGGTGTTATGATAGCCCAGGTTGCTCTAATAGTGGCTTTTAGCTCTTCTGAATTGTTGGGTCTGGTGTATTGCATCTTCTTCTTCACAATACCCCATAGATTTTCTATGGGGTTAAGGTCAGGAGAGTTTGCTGGCCAATTAAGAACAGGGATACCATGGTCCTTCAACCAGGTACTGGTAGCTTTGGCACTGTGTGCAGGTGCCAAGTCCTGTTGGAAAATGAAATCTGCATCTCCAAAAAGTTGGTCAGCTGCAGGAAGCATGAAGTGCTCTAAAACTTCCTGGTATGTGGCTGCGTTGACCCTGGACCTCAGAAAACACAATGGACCAACACCAGCAGATGACATGGCACCCCAAACCATCACTGACTGTGGAAACTTTACACTGAACTTCAAGCAACGTGGATGAAGTGCCTCTCTTCTTTTCCTCCAGACTCTGGGACCTTGATTTCCAAAGGAAATGCAAAATTTACTTTCATCAGAGAACATGACTTTGGACCACTCACCAGCAGTCCAGTCCTGTTTCTCTTTAGCCCAGGCAAGACGCTTCTGACGCTGTCTGTGGTTCAAGAGTGGCTTGACACAAGGAATGCGACAGCAGAAACCCATGTCTTTCATACGTCTGTGTGTGGTGGTTCTTGAAGCACTCACTCCAGCTGCAGTCCACTCTTTGTGAATCTCCCCCACATTTTTGAATGGGTTTTGTTTCACAATCCTCTCCAGGGTGCGGTTATCTCTCTTGCTTGTACACTTTTTTCGACCACATCTTTTCCTTCCCTTCGCCTCTCTATTAATGTGCTTGGACACTGAGCTCTGTGAACAGCCAGCCTCTTTAGCGATGACCTTTTGTGTCTTGCCCTCCTTGTGCAAGGTGTCGATGGTCGTCTTTTGGACAACTGTCAAGTCAGCAGTCTTCCCCATGATTGTGTAGCCTATAGAACTAGACTGAAAGACCATTTAAAGGCTTTTGCAGGAGGTTTGAGTTAATTAGCTGATTAGAGTGTGGCACCAGGGGCCATCAATTTTGAACCTTTTCACAATATTCTAATTTTCTGATATGATGAATTTGAGATTTTCATTTGTTGTCATTTGTAATCATCAAAATTAAACAAAATAAACATCTGAAATATATGAGTTTGTATGTAATGTATGAATATAATATACAAGTTTCACTTTTTAAATGGAATTACTGAAATCAATCTACTTTTTCATGATATTCTAATTTTATGACCAGCACCTGTATATTTTGGTCTGATCTAACAAAAAAGTGCAAAATGTCCACGTTTCCTTGGCTTCCCATATGCATGCTTTCCTTTCTTTCTCTTTTTTTTGACGTTCTTGTTGAGGTTATTTGATTGTACAACTAATAATTGGTCAATCAGCTGTTACCTCCTTCTGAGCTGCGGGTTTCTACAGCTTCCCATAGTCCCCTTTGGTCACTTAGAGCAGGGGTCTTTAACGTTTTCCAGGCCAAGGACCCCCAAACTGATGGCGAGATGGAGTGGGGACCCCCTAATTACATATATTGTATGAAATTGTGTTATATCAAAGTGGTCCTATAGTCACTCTATTAAAGATGGAGTAATTTCATCCTGGGATTATTAAAGTATGTCTGATTTTGATTCCTGGTTGATGGGACAGGTGTTGTGAATGAGACAGTGTCCAGCTTGAAAGAGCTCCTGTGTGTCGCTGAATGTTTGCATTGATGACTGAAAGACATCTTCTGCCTCCATTTATCCGTTTACTACAGTGTGTTGAATTCATGTTAATGTGTATTTAAAGAAATTTCAATTAGTGGAAAAAATTGCAGGGGGGAATGTAAAAAAAAAGACTAATCAACCAAAAGTTTCACGACGCTCATGCAGTACCTCCATGGACCCCGTGGGGGTCGCGGACCCCCTGTTGAAGACCTCTGACTTAGAGTCTTCTTTCTTTGGTCGGTCTCAAACATTTGTGCATTTGTGAAACATTTTTGCATTTCTGGTTTGTAATGAAATGTTTTCCATAAGGGATGAAAAACTTTACCGCTACAAATCATTTACAAATTGGTAAAAAATGTCTTCAAATAAGAGTATTTACCCTTAATTCAACCAGGTGAATAAGATGATCTGCCAAGAGAATGAGAAGGTTTCCCTTGAAATAAAAAAAAAATTCTCACTTCTCGTGCAATATTTTTACACATTGTACTTACTTACAGCTCAAACTGCACTATGAAACTGAAGCTTATGAAAGTTCTCAGCTCATGATCTTTGTACTTACACTGTACGGCCCCATGCTCCGATGCAATCTGACAGCTCACAGTTTATGTCCAAAACCTACACGTCTGCCTCTGTAGTGTAGAGTGATGCTGCTGGTGGGACTCATCCATCCAGAAGTAAAGTAAGGGAAGAAGAACAATTGTTTGCACATGCGCAGTGTGCATAGTTAAGGTAAATCGGCTTGTAGACATTTGTAGCCCTGCTTCAACAGCAGGATATCCTCACGATTACCTCAGAGGGGCTGACTAAATTTCAAACATGTTTGATTTTGAGCTGACTTGATTTGTGAGTTGGTCCGGAGTAGCCTCGTGAGACCATCCTGATCTCGCGAGCTTTCAAGATTTCACTCGCTAATCAGTCTGGAGACTCTCCGTTAAAGAAAATTTGGAGCCGTTCATCAAACGAACGTCCAATCAGAGTTGGCTTTGAGGCGGGTTGAGGTGTGACGCAAGGAGAAGCGCGACAGTTCAGTCTAAAGAACATGGTGGCTTCAGCCGAGGAAACTAGCGTTAGCGTGGCTATCGAGCAAGTTTTATCGGAATTACAGAGTATTTCTTCACTGAAAGAAGAGCAAAACGCTGCTCTGGAGGCTTTTCTCAGAGGAAAAGATGTTTTTGCTCTTCTTCCGACTGGTTTCGGCAAGAGTAGCCTGGCTGTTAGTACGTCATATGCTTCGTTGATCTGATTGGTTTATTTGGCCCGTCTATCACCAACATAGGCCAATCAGCTAACCAGTATTTTCGCCCCTTCCCAAAATTACTTCAACCGAAGGTTTCCAGATCTGGTGGAGTCAGGTTAGGTCCGGAGAGGCTAATCTCCCCTTTTTACACCCTGGATAAAGCTGAAACTCAGCCTGATCTAAAAACATTCTCGCAAGACTGAAAAATCAGCCCAAAAGGGCAACAAAATCATACGGTGTATGACCACCCTTAGTCCTCATTTAGTTTATTTAGTAATGATTTCTTGCAAACCATCACAGAACTATTGGATTTGTTAATATTATGTGTTATACACTTGAATTCTGCTTTCTAATTAGATGTTTTATTTTATCTTGTGATACTGGGGTACACTGAAAATAATAGGATAGATTTTCATTTGTAAAAAAAATGCATCCTCTTTCAATTGGACATAAAATCCCTTCAAAAGACATAGTTTGTGTTTTAATGTGTTCACAAATGTTTCAAAAGGTATAAATACTTGAACACGGCACTCAAACTCATGCTTTGCATTAGGTGGAAGTTACACTATTCTTCCTGATGGAAGTCTCCAGATCTCCAAGGCATCTCTGTCAGACTCTGGAACCTTTATTTGTGTGGCACAAAACTCTGCAGGCACTGCATTGGGCAAGACCAAACTGAGAGTACAAGGTGCGTGACAGACTGGCCTAATCAAGATATTCAGTCAAGTCTGTTTAAAAAAAAAAAGTGCATAAAAATGATATCTACTCTCTGCATGGTGTGCTGCAGTTGCTCCAGTGATTCATCCAGACACCAGGGAGTACCTTGCACCTTTGGACTCCTCTGTGACCCTTCAATGCCAGGCTGCAGGCTCCCCTCCACCCTCCATCACATGGCATAAAGACGGGCAGCTGCTGATCAGCTCCATACGCCAGCGGGTGCTGAGCTCAGGATCCCTGCAGATTGCCTTCGTTCAACAGAGCGATGCTGGACAATACACTTGCACTGCTGCCAATCCTGCAGGAACCGACAGCTTGGATATAAGAGTCACTGTACAGAGTAGGTGTTAACTACTCAACCTTACGGTTGTTAAATGAAAACTCATTTTTCATACTTCTCAAATATACTATCATTAAAGGCATACTATGCAACATTTTTCAGTTAATTAATGTGTTCCATAACGTTTTGGATGATTAAATTAGTAATTTCAGGTCGAACAAAGGTTTTCTCGGCCGCCCTGGTGGTCTGTGGGGGAAATACCGTACTTGCAATGCAGGAGCCCTCGACCCGCACCCACAGGCTCAGAAGTCTTGTGCATTGTGAGAGTCAGTCTTGCTTTACAGCGAGAACTTGGCTAACTACAATCTTTGTTATTTAGACACATGCATAACAAATAATGTATGAAAACATGCTAAATTTTCAAACTCGAAAATTGGAACAAAATAGTCACTTACCGCAGTAGACATGGTGATTCGTTGCGTTCGCCTGTCTGCTAAGCTCACAACAACCGCGCCCGGCTTGACAGGGAGAAACCAGGAGAACAGCTGAGCATATTTACGACGGTGCACTTTTACTTTCGCCCTCTGGGGGGAGCCTCGCTGGAAAATCAACACAGAATGCATAGTATACCTTTAAAGGATGTTATTTACCATTTTCTATCTGAAAAAAAAAAATAGAAAACTTAGAAGTGCTGAAAACGTTTAGATAACACTGAGAGCACGGTTTGATGAGGACCCTCTGACTCCATTAAAGAGTTAAAGAGTCATAACTGAATATATTTACGTATAAAATCCTTCTGAAATTTTCCTTAAATAAATGTTTTATCATTTTTAGTGGAACAAATTTAATAGAGCTTATTTAGACCCCTTTTCATATCCTTTTTATTTTCTCATAAATGTACGCATGAGAATTTGACTTTGACTCGATGTAGCGTCAGCGACATTAGCAGTTTTCTGTGATTCTTTTATCATTGTTTTTCGGTCATTTTCGTAATCGGTACAAAGGTACACAAGCATGGGCGTGCTGGTGGCACGGCCCATGTAAGGAGGCCTTAGTCCTCAACATGGCCGACCCAGGTTCGAATCCAACCTGTGGTCCTTTGCCGCATGTCTCTCCCCCTCTCATACCCCCTCCTGTCAGCCTACTTTTGAAAAAAAAAACAAGCCACTAGTGCTGTAAAAAAGTCACACAAGCAGCATTTCTTACTGACAGCCTGCAGGAAACTCCCTGATTGGTTGAATCGCCTGTTTTGGTCGAACAGAGACGTGTTAACAAGGTAATGTTAGCACCTTTTCAGTACCCTGTAATCCAGACTTATTTACTCTAAGTCAGTCTAATCAGGCTACAGAAATGTACAATCAGAGAGACCGGTGCACCAGAATTACCCATAATGCAGCCATGCTTTTCTGTAACCATAATAGTCAAGATTGCAGCCAGACTCCTTTTATATGGTAAAGATGAGGTAAATAGAAGCTCAGTGATTTAATTTTTAATGGCTGCTTGTCTGTGGTTTATCTTGACTTTTAGGGAGCGAGAGAAAGCAAGAATTTCAGCCGATAACAATAGTTTAGTCTTTTAAAATATCTATCATTGAGCATGCTGAACTTAAATATGTTTTCCACCAGTTCACAAACTTAATGTTCAACTTTAAACCCACATTGACTGGTCTCTTAAACACTTTAATTGCTAAAGGCTGCTTAACATGTCTGGTCTCTCAACATATTGCAATAAGTTAAATAATAACCACTTGTTGCAGCTTTCCATCCATCCATCTATTTTCTTTACACTCTTCATCCCAAGTGGGGTCATGCTGGTGCCTATCTCCAGTCCATCGCAGGGCAACACAGACACAAACAACCATTCACACACACACCTAAGGAGAATTTAGAGAAGCCAATTAACCTAACAGGCAGGTTTTTTGACTGTGGGAGGAAGCCAGAGTACCCAGAGAGAACCCACACATGCTCAGGGAGAACATGCAAACTCCATGTAGAAAGACCCCGGGCTGGAAATCAAACCCAAAACCTTCTTGCATCAAGGCAGAAGTGCTACCCACTGTGCCACTGAGCAGCCCTTGTGGCAGGGTTGACAGTAAAAATAAATTGAAGTTCTTAGATCTTCGTGTAATTAAACTAAAAAGATTTGTATAAGAATAAAGTTTCACCAGCCGGAAAATTGGCTGATCAGTACGGAGCCTCTCTGATGACATGGTCAAAAAAAATGTTTAATTGTGGCCACGAAGTAGTATTTCGTGCGCACGTTATACTTATTGCGTGGCCACGAAATACTACTTCATGCGCACGAAATACTACTTCGTGGCCACGCAATAAGTTTAACGTGCGCACGAAATACTTATTAATAATATTAATATTATTCCTGGACAACTGGGTAAGCAAATCGAGCGCGCCTTCTCTAAGGTCTAAGGCGCGCTCGATTTGCTTACCCAGTCGGTCTCCGCCAGTCACGTGACATTTGTTGCTAAGACGGCATTTTAGGTGGAAAAGGCGTAGTGTAAACAACCGCAGCATAGCTAAACGAAGGACTAAAGGCCCGTTTACATAGCTGCCTGTCCAAGATAAGTCATTACAGTTAACATAAGCCTGAAAACAGGGGAGGATTTATTGATATAATTAATAAGTATTTCGTGCCCACGTTAAACTTATTGCGTGGCCGCGAAATACTACTTCGTGCGCACGTTATACTACTTCGTGGCCACAATTAAACATTTTTTTTTACCATGTCATCAGAGGGGCTCCGTAGATCAGTTCATTTCTACTGTCGTATTTAATTATAATACAGAAGTAAACAAAGGAATTCCAAGATTGATGTTTATATTTTACTGTTATAAACATAAAGTTATGAGAGGTTCAGGTAAAATAAGTTAAAGTAAGACCAGACATATTTTAAGGTACTAAATTTTTTTGTTGTTGATTTTTTTTTCCTATAGTTCCTCCCTCCATCCGCCGTGGTGAACAGGAGGTTGTTGTTGTGGAAAAAAGCCATGCTCAGCTGTCATGTGTGGCAGAAGGTATTCCACAACCCAAACTGTCCTGGGAAAAAGATGGGAGTCCTCTCAACGAAAGCCGAGGGGAGTACACCATTCTGCCATCTGGGGAGCTGGTTATCGACAGTGCTCAGGTATACAAACAAACAAACCAGGTGGACTAGTCACGTTTGTCCATTCATGCATCAGCTTCACCCAAGTTCATGTATGTATGTTTTTGTCAGTTAAAAACATTGGTCTGTTTAAAACCAACCTTTCAGCCAGAAGACGCTGGCAGTTATACATGTGTTGCAACAAATTCAGTTGGGGAGGACAGCTGGACGATGACGCTGTCGGTTCATACGCACCCCTACTTCACCCAGCTGCTTGCAGATGTTGCTCTTAACAAAGGAGAGCGGCTGCTGTTGAACTGTGGTGTCGGTGGAATCCCACCACCCACAATTAAATGGACCATGAACAATAAAATTATCCCAGGTTTGATGATTAAGAAATTAACATGTTCCCTCTTTGTATTTGTATCATCCTTTACAATGTGTTTTCTCCATGTTTTCCTCTCTAGTTCACCATAGTCCTATGATTGGTCACAGTGAGCTTCTGATAGAAAGGGTCAGTAAAGAGGACTCTGGCACCTACACCTGTGTGGCTGAAAACAGTGTGGGAAGCATTAAGTCCCTGGGATACGTCTATGTTAAAGGTAAACCAAGCTTTATGGACATATATAAAATCGTAGGGAAGCGTTACATTTCCGAATTCTCCAGAGTTGTACCTGACTTTACACGACTGAATAAAGTGAATGTGATTGGTCGTTTATCAAGAGGGCGGGATTGTTGTGGCAGAAGGTTCGCAAGCAAGTTTGGTTGCGGCCGGTTTGTGGGAAACATTTTGCTAACCAGTTAGCAACTTAGTGCTAGTAGGTTCCCAATAGGGCTCGGGATCCACGTTGCATTGTGGGACGTCGCGGTCATATTGACGGCTACGCTAACGTAAACATAGCTCTGATACAACGTTGTTGTTGAAAGCAGAGACGTAGAAGTAGAGAGAAAAAAGATGTTAAAATCCCGAAAAAGGACACATTAAATAGAGAAGCCAGGGACCGGTATGTTGACAAAATCAGCATTATTAATAATTTGGATCCATATGAAGTTCCAAACAATGAGTGGAGCACCGATGAGTGAGCGTCTATACTTCAAAACAGTTCCAAAGCTACAAGTCCTTGGAGTCTCATATGCAGTTCATGAATGGATGGGTTCAGGAGCTGCAGATCATAAAGCCAGCAAACAGTGGGAACACAGTAATCTGTACAAAGGTAAGCTGTGCTCAGACGGGCTCTGGAACCTGCTAGTTTAGTAACTGCTAACCGCTAGTGCTAACAACCACTCACGCATGTAATGTACTTTTAACTAGCTGCTATGTGTTTCAAAGGTGTAGTTAGTAACGTTAACTGCCAACCCTCCGGGTTTCTCACGTATATGAGCCTTTTCCTGCTGCCGTTTTTATTATTTTCCCGTAAAAGATCCCAACTTTGAAGGAAAGAAACAAAGTAGGCTATAAAATAAAACCGTGCATCTTTAACTTACCAGAATGAAAATGCAGGGAACATACTCTCATTGACATTGGAATACTGTGGAAAGTTATGTTTGCTCGTCTTACAGCCGCGATCCAAGCTAGCCGACGACTCTTTATCTCTGACGCTTGGTCTCCGTGGTTGCGCCTCCAGGCAGGAAAGCGGTGGAAAGTTAACCCATTTTCTATGTTTTTCCCATGGCAATCATGTGTTGAGCTGTTACAGCCCACAATACAGCAACGGTTTACCATGGTTGAAACCAAGTTAAGGTGAAATTAATCAAATTAAAATACGGCTGAGAGGGAGTACAGTATGCGGTAGTCATGGGCAGTAGTCTGAGCCGCGGTAAAAGAGGCCGTCAAGATGGCGGCGACGCAAAGTGCTTACGTCATGACGACCAAGCCCTATGGGAAATTCCATTTTGACCAAGTAGCACTAAATTGGTAGCCTCGTGAGACCATCCTGATCTTTTTAAGATTTCACTCGCTAATCAGTCTGGAGACTCTCCGTTAAAGAAAATTTGGAGCCGTTCACCAAACAAACGTCCAATCAGCGTTGGCTTTGATGCGGGTTGAGGTGTGACGCAACGAGAAGCGCGACAGTTCAGTCTAAAGAACATGGCGGCTTCAGCCTATGAAACTAGCGTTAGCGTGGCTATCGAGCAAGTTTTATCGGAATTACAGAGTATTTCTTCACTGAAAAAAGAGCAAAACACTGCTCTGGAGGCTTTTCTCAGAGGAAAAGATGTTTTTGCTCTTCTCCCAACTGGTTTCGGCAAGAGTTTGATCTATCAATTGGCTCCTCTTCGTCGTCGCTCTGTTAGTACGTCATATGCTTCGTTGATCTGATCCGGTTTATTTGGCCCGTCTATCACCAAAATAGGCCAATCAGCTAACCAGTTTTTTCGCCCCTTCCCAAAATTACTTCTACGGAAGCAAATCCATCTGGCGGAGTCAGGTTACTAAATTGGTGGTGGCCAAGGAATATTAGAGTAATTTAACTGAACACTGCAGCACTCTCCATGTTTATTACCACCTGTAGGAAAGATTTGTATGAAGCCTCAACACCAGCTTATGCAGACTTGAATGTAAATGTAAAAAAAAAAAGAAGAAAAAAATTAGTTGTTAATTTGATCTGTAAATGTAAATCTGTTTTGTAAATGTATACTATTCCAAGATGTTAGACGTGTCTATGGACTTTTTATACTTAATCCAATCCTACTTAAGTTGAGTCTTAATATGAAGAAAGACTTCATTTCTTTCAGCAGCTCATCAATATGTGAAAAATAAGATGTTAATGAAAAAAGACTCCAGAAACACAAGAAAATACACTACTATCTTAATCCTGACAACAATACAGTAAGAAGGAATAAAGAAATAAAAAAATAAAATACAATTTCAAATTGATTTACTTTATTTTTATTTACTTAGTGCAAACACACAACACATGTCATCCCAAGGAACTTAACAAAGACATTTTAATCAAATCATACAGGTTTTGTAAGAACTTTAACTTATCATCCATTGTAATCCAACCTGGATGACTAAATTTTAACGACACACAGAGTCAAACGGTAGGAGTTGTACTGCTCCAAAGAGTCACCAAGCGTTTAGAAAACCTACTAATGCACATAGTTTCCTGGAAGGTCAACCACAGTGAAAAAGTTCTGCATTTTTGTCAACATTGCCTCTGCCTTAGGTTCTTCTCGAAACGTTGACTGGAAACAATTTACATACAGGTGCTGGTCATAAAATTAGAATATCATGAAAAAGTTGATTGATTTCAGTAATTCCATTTAAAAAGTGAAACTTGTATATTATATTCATACATTACATACAAACTCATATATTTCAGATGTTTATTTTGTTTAATTTTGATGATTACAAATGACAACAAATGAAAATCTCAAATTCATCATATCAGAAAATCAGAATATTGTGAAAAGGTTCAAAATTGATGGCCCCTGGTGCCACACTCTAATCAGCTAATTAACTCAAACCACCTGCAAAAGCCTTTAAATGGTCTTTCAGTCTAGTTCTATAGGCTACACAATCATGGGGAAGACTGCTGACTTGACAGTTGTCCAAAAGACGACCATCGACACCTTGCACAAGGAGGGCAAGACACAAAAGGTCATCGCTAAAGAGGCTGGCTGTTCACAGAGCTCAGTGTCCAAGCACATTAATAGAGAGGCGAAGGGAAGGAAAAGATGTGGTCGAAAAAAGTGTACAAGCAAGAGAGATAACCGCACCCTGGAGAGGATTGTGAAACAAAACCCATTCAAAAATGTGGGGGAGATTCACAAAGAGTGGACTGCAGCTGGAGTGAGTGCTTCAAGAACCACCACACACAGACGTATGAAAGACATGGGTTTCTGCTGTCGCATTCCTTGTGTCAAGCCACTCTTGAACCACAGACAGCGTCAGAAGCGTCTTGCCTGGGCTAAAGAGAAACAGGACTGGACTGCTGGTGAGTGGTCCAAAGTCATGTTCTCTGATGAAAGTAAATTTTGCATTTCCTTTGGAAATCAAGGTCCCAGAGTCTGGAGGAAAAGAAGAGAGGCACTTCATCCATGTTGCTTGAAGTCCAGTGTAAAGTTTCCACAGTCAGTGATGGTTTGGGGTGCCATGTCATCTGCTGGTGTTGGTCCATTGTGTTTTCTGAGGTCCAGGGTCAACGCAGCCACATACCAGGAAGTTTTAGAGCACTTCATGCTTCCTGCAGCTGACCAACTTTTTGGAGATGCAGATTTCATTTTCCAACAGGACTTGGCACCTGCACACAGTGCCAAAGCTACCAGTACCTGGTTGAAGGACCATGGTATCCCTGTTCTTAATTGGCCAGCAAACTCTCCTGACCTTAACCCCATAGAAAATCTATGGGGTATTGTGAAGAAGAAGATGCAATACACCAGACCCAACAATTCAGAAGAGCTAAAAGCCACTATTAGAGCAACCTGGGCTATCATAACACCTGAGCAGTGCCACAGACTGATCGACTCCATGCCACGCCGCATTGCTGCAGTAATACAGGCCAAAGGAGGCCCAACTAAATACTGAGTGCTGTACATGCTCATACTTTTCATGTTCATACTTTTCAGTTGGCCAACATTTCTATAAATCCTTTGTTTTTATTGGTCTTCAGTAATATTCTAATTTTCTGATATGATGAATTTGAGATTTTCATTTGTTGTCATTTGTAATCATCAAAATTAAACAAAATAAACATCTGAAATATATGAGTTTGTATGTAATGTATGAATATAATATACAAGTTTCACTTTTTAAATGGAATTACTGAAATCAATCTACTTTTTCATGATATTCTAATTTTATGACCAGCACCTGTAGTCTTTTCTCAGTAAGTTCCTCATAGAGAAAACTGATTGTTAAGACTGGCATAGCATCTTATATCCAAGTCAATAAATAGCTTTTGCATAAACAATTATGATGTTTTTAACACTTATACTTCTGAGCTTTTTATTATTTTCTTCTCTTTCACAATAACCACTCGTCTTTATAATGGGTGTTGCAGAGCCTCCAATCATCGATGGAGACCTTTACTCCAACCGAATTGAACCTCTCGGCGGTAATGCCATCCTGAACTGTGAGGTCCGAGGAGACCCTCTGCCAACCATCCAGTGGAGCAAAAATGGCATAAACATCCAGATCAACAACCGAATCCGTCAGCTGGATAATGGCTCTCTGGCCATCTATGGCACAGTCGTAAGAAATGACACAGAAGTAAAAAATTTTTACCCCTTGCGCTGGTTTTAAACCAAAAATTTAATGTTTTAATGGAAATATACAAAACTGTCAAGCTTAAATGAAAAGGATACATGTTGTTATTTTATTATTATTTTTCCAAAATAAAAATCTGAAGTTTAGTAAACGTTTGAATTGACCCCCATTACTCTGAAACCCCCAATTAAAATCCATTCATCCATCCAAAACCAGATCTCTTCAGGGTCCAGATATGGGTTATTACATACTTGAACAAAGGCAACTGTTCTGTGGTTTCAGAGGTTTTCTAGGGAACATAAACAATCACAAAAACTAAGGAACACACCAGACGGCTTAGATAACGGCTGGCAGAAGTTAAAACCAGAGTTAGGTTATGAAACAATATTTCAAGTTTTTAAGCCGAGATCAACAAAAAGGAGAGGATAGATGTTAGGAGAGGATAGATATTAGTCATTAGTACATAGGAAAAAGCAGAGATGGGAAGTGACGAAGTACAAATACTTCGTTACGGTACTCAAGTAGATTTTTCTGATATTTTTACTTTACTTTACTACTTATTTTTATGGCGACTTTTTACTTCTACTCCTTACATTTTTACACAAATATCTGTACTTTCTACTCCTTACATTTTTAAAAATTGTATCGTTACTTTAGTTTTGAATCATTTCAATGGAGTTAGCGTTATTATTTTTCACGTCATCAATACCAAATTCGATCTAATTGGATGGGAATCTACGTTGCATTTGACGCACCACTACAAGATGAATCGACAGATTCGGCGGTATTCATTGGCGGCAAATCATTGCAGCTTGGTGGCGGTGGCGTTAGCATAGTAGCATGGACGACGAGATGATTCAAAAGGAACACAACGGAGATCTAGTCCTATTGGCAGACATCCATTTAAAATGTAGGCAACAGCATGAAAAAAGTGGTTTCTACTTTTACTTTTATACTTTAAGTAAATTTACAAGCCTGTACTTTGTTACTTTTACTTGAGTAAAGAAGTTTAATCAGTATTTTTTAACACAAGTATCTTTACGTTTACTCAAGTACAGAAAGTGAGTACTTTTGACATCTCTGGGAAAAAGCTTAATGTATAGTTTTCTACAAGCCATTTATACGGAAGAGGATTAGGGCCACTGAAAAAAAAAATATATTTTTTACTGATTTTTAAATTTTATTTCAGTTTAACATGGGAAAAAAGTCAGAATTTTTACTTTAATCTCAGAATTCTGAGAAAAAGGTCAGAATTCTGACTAATCCTCTTCCGTACATTTAAGAGACATGGCAAACATGCGAAAGAACTTTTATGGTCAGAGGAGATCAAAATTACATGCTTGTCTTTAGCACAGAAATCCTGGGAGAAAACAAGAGCAAAATACTGGAGGTGGAGACTGAGGTTTGCTTCACACCTGAACAATAATCTAGTAAAACGGAATCTGAAATGTTTTGCAAAGAATTATTATTTTATTTTTTCTTCGTCTTTATTCCTTTTTACAACTTTTATTGTTTACTGTGTTTGCTTAAACATTATTATTATTATGTGTGAGTGGCTGTGTGTGGTTAGATGAGCGTATGCATATAGATACGTTTGTATGAGTAAAGCAAGTTCCTCCCTTAAAGGTGGGCAGCTGTTAGATTGGTGAGAAAAGTCTGCAACAAACCCCTGTTAGGTTACCAGGTTCTTGTCATGTGGAAAAATCATATTAAGATAACTAATTTCACAACTTATATTTACTTCTAATGTGACTGTTAACCTGTACAAAGCTATTAAAAAAGAAACAGAAATCTGCCAGGGAGGTGAAGTAAAAATAGAAAACTGAGATAACGTGGTTGCAGAAAGTGTGCACACCCTTATATCACTGGGGATGTAGCTGTGTTCAGATTTAACCAGTTACATTCAAACTGATTTGGAAAGAGTCAGCACACACCCGCCACAGATGGTGCAGCTATTTCTGACATTTTTGTAGCCACATCTTCCAGAGCAAGCCATGGTCCTCAGAGAGCTTACAAAGCATAAATTCAATTTCAATTCAATTCAGTTTATTTCTATAGCGCCAAATTCACAACACATGTCATCTCAAGGCACTTTACAGTTCAACCAGATCATCCAGTCAAATTGATACAAAGTTTTCTATCTAAGGAAAACCAGTTGATTGCATCGACTCATTGACTCAAATAAAATCCCTCACACTAAGCATGCTTGTAGCGACAGTGGAGAGGACAAACTCCCTTTTAACAGAAAGAAACCTCTAGCAGAACCAGGCTCAGTGTGAGCGGCCATCTGCTGAGGCCGACTGGGGTTCAAGGAGACAGAAGCAGAGATACAAAAAGCAGCTGTAAAAGGCGGCCCCGTCCAGGAAACACACAGCCAGGCAGACGAGCTCCGAGCCAGCTCCCATGTCAGAGGACGAACTGGAAAACAGGCCGATCTCCAGCATCTATAAACAAAGGTGTTGATGGCAGCAGCACAGCTGATGTTTCTCTCCAGGATGGAGTCACAGCCAAACAGGAACAGACGAGGCAAAGCTACTCTGAGGAAAAGCAGAGAGAGCAGAACGTTAGAGATTGAAGCATGGACGTGAATTTTTGGGGGGACATGTCCCCTGCACTTTTTCAAACATCCGTTTTGGTCCCCTGCTAATTTTAAAGGCATGGTTCATGGTTCAGTATTTGCAGTAAAGTATGACCTCATAGTCTTAACCTTTGGTTCATAATAACAATGGCTAACTAATTTCTGATTGTATATTTAAAAAGCATAAAGCTGTGCATAACTTTTCTTCCTCTTTATTAATATCCAATTATTTGCGTTCGGGTTACATAAAAGATCTAATAAAATACAATAAGTTAAGGTTAGACGCTACTTCTAAAAAAGTAAAAATGTTATATAGGGCATGTTTGCATTACAGTGATTTAAAGAATTGTATGAATATACATTTGTGATTTATTTACTCTTTAAAATATGTTTAACAGAGTGAAGATGCAGGCAGCTACATGTGTGTAGCAACAAATGATGCTGGGGTGGTGGAAAGAAGTATCACTCTCACACTGCAGAGTAAGTCTTTGCTTTTGTCAAGATATGATTACAAGGTTTAATTGTCAAATAAAATGGAAGCGGGAGATTTAATCTAACAGATGTTTCCTCCTCCATCAGGTGCACCTATTATAACTTTAGAGCCAGTTGGAACTGTGGTGGATGCAGGTACGACTGTTGTTCTTAACTGTAAGGCAGAGGGTGAGCCTACGCCTGTGATAGAGTGGTCCAAAAATGCACGCCCCCTGCTGGCAAATGACCGCTTCTCCACCTTGTCTAATGGCTCCCTCCGGATCACCAGTGCCCAAAAGGAGGACACTGCTGAATATGAATGTGTGGCCAGGAACTTGCTCGGCTCGGTGCTGGTCAGTGTCTCTCTTACTGTACGAGGTAAGTTACCAAGGTAACCAACAAAAACCTTCCAAAATACAATTTCAAAGCTGGGATGTTTTACACTGTAGATTGGTAAATCAAACCCAAATGTATGCAAATGTATTTTTCAGTCCATGGGGGATATTCAGAGTGGACAGAGTGGGGCCTCTGCAGCGTATCCTGTGGTGCAGGGATTCAGAAAAGAGTCAGGCAGTGTAATAATCCGTTACCTGCTAACGGAGGCCGACGCTGTGCAGGATCAAGCACAGAAACACGCAGCTGTCGAGGAAAACCATGTCCAGGTACTTCATTAATAATGTTTTCTTGACCTGTTTAAAAAAAAAAAAACTGAAACCAAACCCAGTTTCTATTTTGCCGCTGAACAAGTGGACGGTAACTGGTCACAGTGGTCTCCCTGGGAGGAGTGTTCCCAAACCTGTGGCCAGGGCAACAAAACAAGGATCCGGAGCTGCAGTAATCCACCCCCTCAAAACGGGGGCAGGCCATGTCTCGGGAAAGCCGTGGAAGCCATTATGTGCAGTGTCAGACCATGTCCAGGTTAGGTTTTCATATTATACTTACTACGGCAGATGAGTAAAACACGTCTCACTTAATATAATTTTTTTTTTTTGCTCTTGTAGTGTCAGGAAACTGGGGTTCTTGGTTATCGTGGAGTCCATGTAGTGAGACCTGCGGGAAGGGGATACAGTCCAGGATCAGACTGTGCAACAACCCCCCTCCAGCATTTGATGGCACGCAGTGTGAGGGGACAGACACCCAGTCACGGGTGTGCAAAGAGAGACCTTGTCCTGGTAAAATTTTGTTGGAATAAAGATACTTGCTATTTAAGTCATAAAAACATAAATCATAAAGACATAGAATTAGAAAAAAAGACTAATGTGAAGTTTAAACAGACTTCCTAAAGGCATCAATGTCACAATAATTTCCTGCTTTTTAAAGATACATTTGAACCATTTCTATGGAGGGAATTTTGTTCCATTATTGTTGAAAGCAAATATTTTGAGAATGGAAATTTTAAAAACACATTTTGGAAATTGATATAAAATTGATATTGATATAAAATCGTATAACTTTTTTTTTAACCTTTTTTTTTCACATTTCTTTTTAATTATTTTAGATGGTAGAGTCTTTTGCTGATTTCTGTTTTTCAGATTGAGTTTTACGTATTACATTCTTTTTAAATTATGTTTCACAGATTACATCCTCTTCTCTTCCAGTCTAAAAAAAATGCTCACTCTTGATGCGAGCGTTAACACGTAACGATGTTTCCTACTAACTCCTACTAACTATTGCAGAGCAATAACTGTGGCTTTCGTGGAGGCGTGGTTCAAAGCTGATTGGCTGTGTCGCAGGCGGATATTGGAAAGCAATCAGTGTCTTCAGTTGAACTTTCGCCTAAGCTCCATTTAAAAATACAACTATGAAATTTAGAAAAATTTAAAAATGTAGAAACTATATTAAAAAAACAATAAAATATGGAAAATATATGAAATAAATCGATTTTGAACCAACATTTGAAAAAAATAATAAAAAAACATCTGCTGGATTAATTGGAAAACAGAAATTCAATAAACAAAATAAAAAAAGTGGAAAAATAATTTAGGACACAGGACAAAGATTTGCATAAAAAATCTCTTGACAGACGTAACGGTTCATCATCCGACCAATAAGGCAGCTTCACAGATGTCTTTTTAGGATGGAGCGGGGCAAAGGGCAGAGCCTCATATTTACATCTCATCCCAGTAGAGTTGCTTAGATAAAGGCCTCTCAAGGCCAATGGGGAGCCGAATATCCGATAGAAGCTAATTGTTTGGGTCAGGCTGGCTGTTAATTTTTTCTGCAAGCCTTCAGAGTTTTTGCAAACAGCAAAACTCTTAACACCTGTTTGCAATTCATTTGTTTCAGTTTACAACCATGTTTTTTTTATTTCAATTTACAAAATGTGTCCACAATGTGTCCTTTTTTTTATTTTTCCTACTTGCTTTGATTCTGTTTTATCTTCCTGTATTTTATGCACTTTGCATTGTCTTTGTACTGAATTGTGCTATACAAATAAATTTGCCTTGCCTTGCTTGAAGCAATACATTAATGTGGTTCATCTCTTTGAGGCCTGTATGTTTCATTCCTTTCCCCTGTAAATAATAGATAACTAACCACAATAATCAAACTCATTAGTATAATTCTTGTATTTATCAAATTTATGTTGATAAATGGAAGAAAATGTATGACAGGAACTCTACATATTAGGATAGAAAATGCCTTTATTTGTCCCACAATGGGGAAATTGTGGATTAATAATCTTTGTCTCTTACAATATTCTTTGTGTGTTCTACAGTGCATGGAAAGTGGTCCTCATGGATGAGCTGGGGGCCCTGCAGTGTATCGTGTGGTGGTGGTAGCAGACAGCGGACACGCCTCTGTGCAAGCCCTGCTCCTCAGCATGGCGGCAGAAAATGCGAGGGCAATGATGTGCACACTGATTTCTGTAATGGTGACCCATGTCCCAGTGAGTTTGGAGTGATATGAATACGGCACTCCCTATGAGGCTGATCTCTTCCTCTGCTTAGTTTGTGTATCTCTGACACACTTTTCACCACTCTATCAGTCAGTGGTAACTGGGGACAGTGGAGTAACTGGGGCAGCTGCAGCAAGACATGTAATGGAGGTCAGAGGAGGCGCTACAGGACCTGTGATAACCCTAGACCTGCTTACGGTGGGAGGGCTTGTCCAGGAGCTGATTCAGAGATGCAGAAATGTAGCACTGCTGACTGCCCGGGTGAGTCAGCATGTTAATGATATGTTAGTCCTGGGATCATAGAAAAACAAGTTCTTTAATGTAATGAATCCCTTGCTTTTTCATCATTGCAGAGGATGGTAACTGGGGGTCATGGCAGCCATGGGGCAGCTGCTCCGCTTCCTGTGGAGGAGGAGAAAGGACACGTGTCCGACTTTGCAATAGCCCATCTCCTAGTAACGGTGGTCGGCCTTGTCCAGGGGACCCCACTCAGGTATCCAGGTGCAACAATCAGGCATGCCCAGGTAACGACTTGATCTAAAACATGTTAATATATGGTATATCCTAATAAAATTAGGATATTTAGTTCAATGATATTCAATGATATGTGATCATATTTCAAACTAAAATACTGATGCCAATTTCACAAGTGATTTGAAAAAAACGTTTTCCACAAAATAGGAAAAAAATGAAACAAAGTCCTTTGATCATATGAAATTAATGTAGTGGCACAACAAATTCTGTAAATACTGAATATATTTCATACTTGGAAGAAAAACCTTTTATACCTTTGATGACTGTGAGGCATCTGCCATAAAGAGAGACTAGTTTCCTATATTACCGTATATAGGTTTTACTAATTCGCTAAATCTTGAAGGTTCTAGAGGTCCTTTCCATGCATTCGGATTTTCAGTTGTCATTAAAAAGCATATTCCATCCATCAGAATCATACAATGAATGATTCATTAAAAATCTTCCTCACTGAATTGTCTAGATGCCATCTTTGAATGAGACTTAGCAAGCATTTTATGTAAAGAACTGTACTTGTTAATTCCAGGTATTTCAGAAGCTTTTTCCTTTGTGATCACCTCTTTCCAGGAGATTCAGTTTACTTTTGTTTGCCTATTTTTAAAACCCCTTGACCCCTGAATTTATATACATGTATATCTATATATAAAAAAGAATTATCTTTGTAGAAGTAGCTGTAGTAGTTGCCAATTAAACATTTTTGTTAGATGTATTTTAAAAATAAATACAAATGCATGTATATTCCACATTTGTGAACACATAACTATCATTGATGACATACACCATTAGGAAGCAGTTGTAAGGAAAACAAGAGCTTACCAAAGGTGCCTAGGTCCACACCAAATATGTAATAACTGCCACTGGGGAATACACAGGCCATCTTGGCTGTGTGCGTACTACAGTGGTTCTCAAACTTTTTCTGTCATTCCCCACTTTGGACAAGGGGGAATTTTCAAGCCCCGCCTGTCCCCATCGCCCCAACACAATACTAATGAAATATGCAACAATCTTAAAATGTTCCAATTTTATTGAAGTAACAAGTAGTATCTAAATACAAACTATCTACATCAAATAAAGAAAATAAAAATGCAGCTGTGTCAAAATTTGTATCAAGCTTAAAGATAGAAAAAATTTAAGTGCCACTCTGCAATCTGTTAATAAAAGAAAAGAAGTGAAATCCATCTGGCAAGACAGGTCTATTTATCCCTGCATTAGTGGCTGCAATGAGCCTGTTTTGCATTGCACAGTTTCTCAAAACGGGGTTGCAGGCTTGATACTGCCACTCTCAAGTCATGCTCAATGTTCAGCTGAGATGGGAGTGGGAGAAATAACGTTGTTAGAGAAAGACAAAAAGTGAGTAAAAACACCCAAATAATATAGAGCTACTTTTTTCTGTCCATTAATGTTTATTATTATTATTATTTTTGTTTTATTAATGTTTAATTTATTACAATACTAACCCTCCTCCTTTACCCGGTTTGTGACCGGCAAAATGAACCATAAAGAGACACTATGGCGGAGTTACAATTTTTTAAAAACTATTTTAAACGTTTTCTTTTTTTCCCTTGTGGTCCACCAAGGAGCCTACAAATCACGGTACAACATGAACATGCTGCTGTGTGAATCAAACGCCGTTATTTATTTAAGATAAAATATTTCAAATTCAGTTATTTATGATCAACCTGCGCCGTCAATCCCGGCGCATGTGCGCTTTATTTGCAGTCTGGACGCTGAGGGTAAACATGCTGTGTCTCTGACTGCAGCGCTGAGAGGGACTCCTGCGATAGCGGGGGAGAACGGGGTGGGGATGGGGGAGGCGCCCCACGGCAGCACCTGCCGCTGGAGGACAAGAAAAGGAACGATACGTGCTTTCATGTAAAAGTCTCCAAAAGTCGCTAGATTTGTCGCTAGTCGCTTTTTTGAAAAAGAGTCGCTGGAGGGGTCTGAAATATAGCAACAAAGTCGCTGAGTTGGCAACACACAACATTATTACAAATAATATGCCGACGTTACGTCAATCATTATTTTGGCACTTCAGTTCCAGGTGAAATGTTTCTCATATCTAATGTTCTTTTAATTAGACTGCATGTAGGCTAGTAATGATTACTTTGTGGGTTTGATTGGTCTAAAAAGCGGCAACATACAGCTATAAGGACAGTTTGCTCTCACACGTTCTACATTTCACACAACACACACACACACACACCGGAACTTGGCGCGCCCCACCTGTCACGTCTCAATTCCCCACCAGTGGGTCGTGGGGGCGTACTACAAAGGGTTTGTTGCATATTTGCAACAACGGGCGTCAAAGGATTAAAAGTCTAAACCAACTGGCTGCAGCACCAGCAGTGTTCACAAGAACATTTGGAGGGTCAGAAATGCATTCACTCATCAGTAACAGGGCTAAAAGTTTTAGAAAAGCTTTGCTTTAAATAGTTAATTAAAAGCCTCTTTTGTGTTGCCTAAATAATATGGAACTCATTCTGGGCCTTCCATTAGAAATAAATCAGCCAATATTTTCTTTCCAAATACTCCAGTAGTTTCCAGAATTTGAGTCTTGAGTCACATAAGTTGAGTTATTAATTGAATTTTACTCATCCAGTATTTACAACCACAGACCATCTCTTTGACTTTCCACTCTGTACATAGGTGTGCGTGAGCTGTAGCACAGCCAATCAACTTTACGAGAATAAGAAAAGAAACATAAGAAAGAGTACATGTTTATGGGGCACAAACACTTCAATGTATTCATCAAAAATGGAAATATAATATGCAAAACATGAAGGCTTTCTTTTGGCAAGACTTGACTTTGGACTTCAGGATTAAGACAATAACTTGGTTTCCCAGGTTTCCTTTGTCTATATGATAATATTCAACAGTTGTTCCCTGCCTAATCTAATGTTATTATAAACAATTAAAGCCTGTTTATATTTAGATGTCTTTCTATTTGTGGGTTAGCCTACTTGGGTTTTTCCCAGGATCAAGTGTAATATAATTTTGTAAGCACAATACAAATATATCCATAGTGGACATTTTTGTGCTTTTTAGCTCAATTTTTACCAACTTTATCTGTTATTGAATTATCCTATTTTGCATTCGAATTCAATTCAGTTTATTTCTATAGCTCCAATTCACAACACGTCATCTCAAGGCAGTTCATAGGTCACAAGATCATAAAGTCAAATTGATTCAATGTTTTCTATCTAAGGAAAACCAGTTGATTGCATCGACTCATTGACTTGAATGCAATCCCTCACACTAAGCATGCTTGTAGTGACAGTGGGGAGGAAAAACTCCCTTTTAACAGGAAGAAACCTCCAGCAGGAAGAAACATTGATTAATTTGCCTTTAAAGTCATCATTACAATTAGGTCAATATACACGATATTTTCCACTGCTGCACTTTACAGAATGGAAACTTTCTGAAAGCTGTGCCAAACGAAATTTCATTTTGTATACACTCTGGTATACAAAATAAAAATAAATGTCTATGTCTAATATCATTGGTTGCAATCCTTCATATCTCTTGTACAGTTTTAGTGTTGTTTGGTTTTCTATTCTCCTATTATATAGTATTTCTAATTTAAAGAATGTGCTTATGTAACCAGCTGGCAAAGACACAGTTCTGTACATGTTTTGTAGCCTTTATTTGGGATTTATTTGAAAAAGCTTCCTATATTCTTTGTGTAGCCCTATCCTATTCACTGTCACAAGCATCTTTCCTATCAGGTGGACCAAAGAAAAGTCGAGGAAGCATCACAGGAAATATAAATGACATTGAGTTTGGAATCTCCCTCCTAAATGCCACCATCACTGAGAACAACTCTGGCAGCAAAACCATCAAAGCTACTGTTTCAAATGTACCAAGAACATTGGGTCAGTTTTGAATACACACTTTTCAGCTATAGGAAATAAACCCTCCTAAGCTTTGGTTGTAAAACTGAAATTGTAACATTTAAATTCAAGGTCCTGCAATGAGGAAACTCATCTCCATACTTAACCCCATCTACTGGACCACGGCACAGGAAATAGGAGAGGCTGTTAATGGTTACACCCTGACAGGTGGGATTTTCAGGCGAGAGACCCAGGTGGAGTTTGCTACAGGTAGGCTCTGATGATGGTCAAGCTTCCACATTATTACTCTCTAAATAAATGTAGCTGGGTCGCCCTTAAAGTTTAGTTTAACTTTATTCTGCAAGGTGAAATTCTGAGGATGACCCACATTGCTAGAGGCTTGGACTCCGATGGTGCTTTGCTTCTGGACATTGTGGTTAATGGCCATATCCTGCAGCTGCCTTCACATGTGGACATCAACATCAAGGTAAGTGTGAATAAAGGCTTGAGGAAGAATTATTTAGAGAAAAACGTATGGTGGCAGTAATGAGTTTAAAGCAGAGGTCTTCAACAGGGGGTCCGGGACCCCTAGGGGGTCCACGGAGTGACTGCGTGGGGGTTGCGAAAGCTTTCGTTGATTAGTTTTTTTTTTTATATTACCCCCTGGAATTTTTTCCACTAATTGAAATGTCTTTAAATCCACATTAACATGAATTGAACAGACTGTAATAAACAGATAAATGGAGGCAGAAGATGTCTTTCAGTCACATTCAGCGACACACAGGATCTCTTTCAAGCTGGGCACCGTTTCATTCACAACACCTGTCCCATCAACCAGGAATCAGAAATATTTTAATAATCCCAGGGAGGGATTACTTTAGTTACATTACTCCATCTGTAATAGAGTAACTATAGGACCAGTTTGATATAACGCAATTTCATACAGTATATATAATTAGGGGGTCCCCGCTCCATCTCGCCATCAGTTTGGGGGTCCTTGGCCTGGAAAACGTTGAAGAGCCCTGGTTTAAAGGAGAGTGGAGGGAGTAGAGGCGTAGTTTGGTCACATCTTCCTTTGGTCCTCAAACCGTGCTCAACATCCAACCTAGTGGTGAGAAGTGGCGTTCAGCTCCTTTAAGAAAATTCCAAGACTGGTTTAAAGTCCTAGGGAAATCATATTTAAAAGTCAAATCATCCTGATTTAAATATAAATGTATTCTTTATCAGAATCATAATTTAAAAAGTTTATATTTTTAGAAAAAATCCTGTCTTAAAATCTGTGTTTTTTTTTCAGTTATTTTATGCAAGCCAATCATATGTCAACTGTCATCTGTCAATCAAATTTTTTATGTCATAGCATATTGATTAATACGTCGCAGCTAATATACGCAACGGTTGAAATAAGAAATAAGAATAATTTACTTTACCATTGAGTTCCATGCCAGTGTTCACAGGGATGGACGTCTGTGTCTTCGGCAGGCGTAGAGCTCACAGAACTGGAAGCGTTACGAGGCAAGGGCTCACACATGTAAGCCTCTGCCACCCTGGCGTCCTCTTCCACAACATCTTCGTCCCCGATTTTGTCCTCTAAGGATGAGGAGACTCATCCACGACCTCCGACACTAAACTCTCCTCCTCTTGCATGTTTCTGCTGTCCATAGCGTTCCTTGACAGTGTCGTTTCTAAGTCACCAATTTAGTGCTACTTGGTCCCAATGGAATTTCCCATTGAGAACCTACTAGCATTAAGATGCTAACTGGTTAGCAAGGTGCTTCCGAAACACCGGCCACAACCAAACATGCTTGCGAACCTTCCGCCACAACAATCCCGCCCTGTTGATAAACGACCAATCAGATTCACTTTATTCACTCGTGTAAAGTCGTGCACCACTTAGGAGAATACGGAAATGCAACGGTTGGAACAGCCGCTTCCCTTCGACTTACAGTACAGTTAAAAACATTGCTGCGTTTTTCACCAAATGCGGTTTATAAAAGGACTAAAGAAGTAGATGGTGAATGTTACTGCTCAAACTGCGCTGATCTTATTACCAACTTTATGAAACACATTGTTATTTTTCTATAGAAGGTCTAGGTTTATTGTGTTGCACCAGTATGCCTCTTGCCTCTCGTTTTCTGCTGAAGCTTTTAAAGTCTTCTTTAGTATTTTTTTTTATTTTCTCTGCATTTCCTATCATTATGATGTTTTAAAGAAAATTAGAAAACCATGTCTTACATACAATGAAAGCTGCAGCAACATTGGAGTGCTTTTTGGGTGAACTGGTGAATAAGTTTTCATGTTTGTCCAGGACTACACAGAGGACTATATTCAGACCGGGCCGGGTCAGCTTTACGCTCTCTCCACCCGCATGTTCACAGTTGATAAGGAAAATGTGCCCTACTCCTGGAACCATACCATCTCATATGATCTAACAAAAGGAAAGATGCCCTTCCTAGTTGAAATGCTCCATGCCACCGCCATCAGTGCTCTCTACCACCCCCAAGAGGAAGTGTTGGAATACAGCATCCAGGCCAGAATCACTAAAGGTGGGTAAAAAAAAAAAGAAAGAGTTTGAGAATTACTGTTAGTGAAAATTAGACTTTACAATGCTGTTTATTTTCAATTCAAGTCAGTTTATATATATATATAGCGCAAATTCACAACACATGTCATCTCAAGGCAATTCACAGTTAACCAGATCATACAGTCAAATTGATTCAAAGTTTTCTATTTAAGGAAAACTGGTTGATTGCATCGACTCATTGACTTGAAGGCAATCCCTCACGCTAAGTGGAAAAACTTCCTTTTAACATGAAAAAACCTCCAGCAGAACCAGGCTCAGTGTGAGCGGCCATCTGTCGAGGCCGACTGGGGTTCAAGGAGACAGAAGCAGAGACACAGAAAGCAGCTGTAAAAGGCGGCCCCGTCCAGGAAACACACAGCCAGGCAGACGAGCTCCGAGCCAGCTCCCATGCCAGAGGACGAAGAGAGCACATCCAACCAGTCACAGTCAGAGAAACAGGACTACACAGAAAAACAGGCCAATCTCAAACATCTATAAACATTGGTGTTGATAGGAGAAGCATGCTAACTTTATTGCATCTGTCCTTCCCATTTCAAATTGCACTTAAGGTCCAAAAAATACATTTTCTGACTATGATTAGAGAAGAAATTTATAACAAAACTTTATCTTTTCAACAGGAAAGATGGCCCAGAGCTCAATCTGCTTCACTGTTTCTTTCCTAGACAGACCCCCTAATGAGCTAGTTTGCTGTTACCTTTTTCTAACAGAAAGTATTTTCCTTTTGTACGTCTCTCTCGTTGAGCCACCAGTGGGCAGAGGGCTGCTTACAGTGAGCCTGTTTCTGCTAAAGGTTTTTCCTGTTAAACGGGAGTTTTTCCTCTCCACTTTCGCAGCATGCATGCTAGGAGTGTGAGATTGCTGTAGAGTCACTGACACTGTGACCCCTGTCTAATGTCACCACAAGCTCATGCAGGAGGAGCAAAGTCAATTGGAGTTTTCTTGGATAGAAAACCTTTACCAATTTGTTTCTATATAATAGACTGTTGGCATAATTTGACTGAATTTAAGTGATGCCAACTGCAAGATCTCTTCACCTGCACGTAAATGCAAGCCAATGTAAGAAAAGGTTAACGTTAACTGAGGCATTTTCCGCGATCAGCAAACCTAAAGGCAAAGAAAACATTTTTTTCCCTACACAAAATCAGTGAAGTTATTTCAAAGCAACTATGGAATAAATTACATTAAAGCCTATGCTTTTTACAGACTGAGTAAAAATAGTAGGGGACACAATCAGGCTGGCTGTAAGTGAAGTTGTTTCTGCTGCCTCTTCCGGTCACAAATTGAATGTTAGATTACTGAGAAAAATAAAGAAATAAACTAACAATGTACTATCAGGCTGTGCATAATTATTAGCAGACCATGCTTGCATATTGCCTTGGGAGCAGTTTGCTGTTAAGTGTTGGTCAAATTTAAAGTCATTTCAAACCCTTACAGATTAAAAAGATCATTAAATTAAAAAACTTTTAGGGGTATTTAATTTTTTTCATATAGCAATATCAACTTAAAGTAATGCCATCAAAATTGCTGCTAAACCAATAATTTGGGTTCTTTTGTGGTTCTGTTTTGTTCCAGGGGATCGCAGTAACCAGTGTCCTCATGGCTTTACTTTGGTGTCCGCTGGGCCTTACTGTGCAGGTAAAGTGGATTTGGCCAAATGCCTCCTCCTTCTATCACAACACAAACTCGAATAACTTAGAATTAATGTCACTTTAGATATACTCATTGACTGAATGTATGGCATTTATTTCTATGTTCTTTATTTTTCAGATGAAAATGAATGTGAAGTTGGGAATCCATGCTCTCATAGCTGCCATAACACCATAGGGACCTACTACTGCTCCTGTCCACATGGCCTCACCATCTCTGCTGATGGCAAAACCTGCCAAGGTGAGAAATTTGCAGTCACATATTGCATTGGTACTGAAATTTAATAAGATCACAACTGACTTCACTTTTGATATCCTCTAACTTCATGTCTTAGACATCGATGAGTGTTCCCTGGATAGAAACGTGTGCCATGGTGGACAAGACTGTGAAAACACCATTGGTTCTTATAAATGTATGATGCACTGTGGGCGTGGCTTCAGGAGAACGGTGGACGGTCTCAGCTGCACTGGTATATCAAGAAATCAGTTTTTCACGGCTGATTTTGTGATCTGTGACTCTTTGAATTGACATGAAGCACATTTTTATCACTCAGATGTGGACGAGTGTTTGGAATCCCATCCATGTCATCAGCAGTGTATGAATACCATAGGAAGCTATCGTTGTGCGTGTGAACCAGGCTTTCAGCTCAGGAACAGACGGTGTATAGGTGAGAGGCCCCTGTTTCTTACATTTGCTGAGTGAAATATCAGACCAATGATCAGAATCGCAGTGGAAAACAGACGCTACTTAGGTGGAGTCCCTCAAGGCTCTTTGCTTGGACCATCTATCATTGGATCTTGGATCTTGGATCTCTACGCCTAGCTAAATTATTTATTTCTCCTGACTTTAATGCGGCCAGAACTGTAGGATGCACCCCCACCATACAGTATAGGTTGCAAAATGTACCGCTCAAACTCGTTCTTATTTTTCCTTGTGTTTAGTTTTATCATGACCATGTAGGATTTTATTTTATCCTGACAACTCTAGGAACTCATTTCTAGGAAGATAATAGATTACAGTTGAGATTCATAATTTTCCATTATAAATATTAAGCTAATTATAGGTTTAAAGAGTGATTTAAAGGAATAGTACACCCAAAACATGATTAGCCTTCATTTTTTACTCACCCCCATGCTGAACAACACTCTGGAGTACTTTTTTGATATCTCAAATGCATCTGGAGATCTGGGAGGCTTCTTGCTGTCTGCTGACATTCAAATAATGGAGGTCTATGGTGCCCGAGGCAGAAAGGTCCATAAAAGTCCACAAAAAACGTGTCAATATTCCTCCATACTGCTCGTCCAATGTATTCCAAGTGTCCTGAGTGGGTAGCGTCCAGAATTTACTCGAAACGAAGTCATTTAGAATGTTTTTAGAGCATAAACAGTAGTGTATAGGATTTCCTAAAAGCGAGTTCACGAGTCTACGGAAACCGCGGCAGAACAAACCAGATGAAAGTGCGCATTCAGCTCGGCAAAGAACTCATGCTCTTCCTCAACACTGAAGTCCTCAGACATTTTTCTTTCGTTGTTTCTTTCTTTGCACAGGTAAACAGCACATTTCTTCTTCTACGCTTGCATTATCATCAGAGCAGACGCTGAATGCGCACTTTCATCTGGTTTGGTCTGCCGGCTTCCGTAGACTCGTGAACTCGCAGGCGCGCGCTTTTAGAAAGTCCTATACTCTACTGTTTATGCTCTAAAAACATTCTAAATGACTTTGTTTCGAGTAAATTATGGACGCTACCCACTCAGGACACTTGGAATACATTGGACGAGCAGTATGGAGGAATATTGACAAGTTTTTTGTGGACTTTTATGGACCTTTCTGCCTCGGGCGCCATAGACCTCCATTATTTGAATGTCAGCAGACAGCAAGAAGCCTCCCAGATCTCCAGATGCATTTGAGATATCAAAAATGTACTCCAGAGTGTTGTTCAGCATGGGGGTGAGTAGAAAATGAAGGCTAATCATGTTTTGGGTGTACTATTCCTTTAAATTTGGAAATTGGTTCCATAAGAGACAACCATACCAGACTTTTAAAATAAGACAGTACTTACCGTAACATATTAAAAGCGTTCATGTTTGAGAATTTGAGAGCTACAATGGCAGCATATGTCTCCACAAATTTAAGCCCAAAAACTCCATAGGATTTAATACAGATTCCAATAAGAATCATTTGGTTAACTTAGTCCTTTCATTTCACAAAAAAACAGTAGGATTTGTTTGCAAACCGGACACTGAGAAAATGTTTATTATCCTGACAATGAGATCTTTAACAGTTTGTGTGAAGAATCAATCAGGAAGCTGCAGCTTATGCAAAATGCTGATGCAAGAGTCCAGACCAAAACTAAGCTGATAAATCTCAATACAAATTACCATAACCCATGCAGTGGATCTGTTTGTAATAGATATTTAAATCATATCAGTGGTCCATTGAGTCTTGTATATCATTGAATGTGGATGTGTTGAAGAGCCATGATGTCGGGTTCATAAAATGTAGGTTTTTGCTTAAGAAGAACTGAAATACACAATTTATGAGACAGTTGAACCCCAGACTCAAACACACTGTTTCCCACTGGACCTCCTCCGCAGAGCGTTTATTAACAGAACATGACGCATGGTTACAAACAGAGTATTGTTCTGAGAGAACAATTGATCAGTTCATGAAGACAGAATGCTCCATCAGAATGACAAGGCAGGATGGTCTCCTGACTGAATCATGACACAGGAGTGGAGCATTCCCTCGCACAAATGTTTCATAAACACACATTAATTTTATAATCATCATTGAATAAACCTAAAAAATGACCATGTCGAACAGTAGTTTTCAGACCTTCCTTCATCAAATCTGCATCAAATAATTGCACTCAGCATCAGCCACCAAATGCTGCAGGGGATCGATGGTCACCCATTTATTTAATACAGGTGTGTGGAGGCATGGAAATATCTAAAACATACTGTACAGGAAAGTGGGTCCTGAGGTCTGAGTTTGAAAATCACAAACGTCAGCCTTTTGCTAATTGTAGATCTGTTGTTGTAGACCTTATTTTTAGAGGGCTGCTTATATTTAGTTTCTGTGATCCACATTTATAGAATCAACTTGAAGTGGGCACAAAATCTTCCCTTCCTTAAATTAGGATGTAAAACTCTCTATTTACTGTAGCCTACCCATGAAATTCTAATAGTATTTATTCAATCCATTTGTTTGTGTCTTTGCTTTTCACGTGTTATGTTTTCAAACTTTTTATGCGTTGTTTAACCTTTTTCATAATGTGTTTAATTTGTTTCTTGTCTTTAGTTTGTTTCTGTATTTTCCTGTTTAATATTTTGTGTATTTTTGTCTCTTCTTGTCTCAGATATAAACGAGTGCAGGCAGCGGGTTTGCCGTTTGGATCAACAATGTAAAAACACACGGGGGGGTTACACCTGCATTGACCTTTGTCCAAATGGTATGACCAAAAGCATCAATGGTACATGTGTGGGTGAGTATCTGGCTCTTCAAGACAGAAAGCATTAGCTAAAAAAAACATACAAACAATAATTTATGCAGAAAATGATTATACGTTATCTCCTTCTTGTAGATGTCGATGAGTGCAGGGACGGGACCCACCAGTGCAGATACAACCAGATCTGTGAAAACACCAGAGGAAGCTACCATTGCACGTGTCCACATGGTTTTAGATCTCAGGGAGTTGGACGCCCATGTGTCGGTATGTTAAAATCTTTGATTGTCTTTAGTAATTAAGTAAATAGCAAAAAGTTTGAAATGTATTTTCTAACATGAACAAGTTGAACCTGGAATGTGATGTCGAGCTAAATTTAATTTTGGATTTCTGTCAGCTTTGCTTGTTCCCTGCACTTTGCATCAGCTCTGTCTCTTCTGTCTGCAAATTATTTGTTTTTGTTTTTTTTGTTTTTTTTTACTCTGCTGTTTGCACACCTTGTCCTGCAACTGCTTGATTATGTGACCAGATTCTGTGTTTAACTGCTGACTGAACATTTAAAACAAACAAAGGCTTTGCTTTGCAGATCTACATCACATCACTGGTTCATTTAAGAGATGTAAAAGCTGCAATGTTTTGTTGCTGTCTTTGCTTGTACATTTTTTTTTTGTTTCTTTTGCATTTAGCAATAACTCTGTCCTGCAGTTCTTTTTATTAGGTTTATTTTTTGGTTGCTCACTTTTTTTTGGACATTCAGAAGACATTTCACATCTTTCTTTCCTGAGCTTTCAGAATGAATTACTAACCTTTCTCCAAACAAATGTCATTCATCTGTTTTATGAAGCTGTAAGTGCGTTAGAGCAGGGGTTTCTAAACGTTTTCATGCTTCTGCCTTCAGACAGCATTAGCTTCTGGTAAGGGACCTCATTTGCAAACTAACCGACAAATAGACAAACTAAGTAAAAAAAAAAAAATGGATATAAATATTTACAGTGTTCATCTTTCTTTTATTTACGGAAGGGGATTAGGGCCACTGAAATTTTTTTTTTTTACTGATTTTTAAATTTTATTTCAGTTTAACATGGGAAAAAAGTCAGAATTCTGACTTTTTTCTCAGAATTCAGACTTTAATCTCAGAATTCAGGCCTTTTTCTCAGAATTCTGACTTTAATCCTGACTTTAATCTCAGAATTCTGACTATTTTATTGTCAGAATTCAGTCAGAATTTTGAGATTAAAGTCAGAGTTCTGAGATTAAAGTCAGAATTCTGAGAAAAAGGTCAGAATTCTGAGAAAAAGGTCTGAATTCTGAGATTAAAGTCTGAATTCTGAGATTAAAGTCTGAATTCTGAGATTAAAGTCAGAGTTCTGAGATTAAAGTCAGAATTCTGAGATTAAAGTCAGAATTCTGAGAAAAAGGTCTGAATTCTGAGATTAAAGACTGAATTCTGGGATTAAAGTCTGAATTCTGAGATTAAAGTGAGAATTCTGAGAAAAAGTCAGAATTCTGAGATAAAAGTCTTTTTTCCCATGTTAAACTGAAATTAAAAATGTAAAAATCAGTTAACTTTTTTTTTCAGTGGCCCTAATCCTCTTCCGTATTTATTCCTATTCAATTACTATTGAGTTTTTTTCAACATAAGAATTATAATTACAATGTTTTGAACGTGGCATTATATTATCATTGAATAGGAAACTTTTCAACAAACTGTGGTCGATAAGAACAGAACAAGAGAAATCTAACCTTTTGAACATGTGTAGTAGCAGGGTAGGGCTTTAGGTCTGTCATTTCCATAGGTGTGTCATTGACCACATGCAGTCGCGCTCCATAATTTGCTTTGAGTTGCTTTAAAGGAGAAATAAGTAAGATATTGACTGTAAAAGTAACCAAAACATTCTCAATTTTCACCTGGGATTTAAGTGTCACTCACCAAAACAATCAGTCGTCTCAATCAATACTGTCTTAGTCAAGTGTTTCTTCTGTCAAACAGAGCAAAGCATTTTGTATTTTATGTTGGCAAAACAGTAGCAGCCTCCAAATATGGCAGCCAACAAGAGAGTGTTTTGTTAAAATTTGAAGCACTATGGTTTAGTCCAAACCCACTACCTAACCACTAACCCTCAATTAGAAATTAAACTTTATTGATCTCACAATTCACTCTGCATTTAACCCATCCCTTTGGGGAGTGTTGGGCTGCCATCGTGCGGCGCCCAGGGAGCAGTGTGGGGTTAAAGGTCTTGCTCAGGGACCCAGAATGCAGACTGTGGGGATTGAACCAGGTACTTGTAACCTTCTCAGAGCACAAGTGCACTGCTCTGCCCCCCATAATGCACTCTCTGCATTTAACCCATCGCCTTGAGGAGCAAGGTGTCACTATCAACTGTCAGTTGCTTATTCTGTCACTGCTGGGTTCCACAAGACAGGCTTAAGGTCTTGTTGTATGTTTTTAATTTGGACCCCAGGAAGGCTAGATTTCTGCAATGGCAACAGCTAATGTGGATCCTTAAAGGCACACTATGCAACATTTTTCAGTTAATTAACGTGTTCCATAACGTTTTGGATGATTAAATGAGTCATTTCAGGTCGAACAAAGGTTTTCTCGGCCGCCCTGGTGGTCTGTAGGGGAAATACCGTACTTGCAATTGCAGGGGCACCGACCCGCACCCACAGGCTCAGTAGTCTCGTGCATCGCGAGAGTCGGTCTTGCTTTACGGCGAGAACTGCTACACGCCCCCAGTGAAAGACATGTTCGTTGCTAGCGCAGTGGCAATATTTGTCCAGTTATCATGGCGGAACCAGCAAGGAAATAGCGAAATGGTGATTTGTTGCGTTCGCCTGTCTGCTAAGCTCAAAACAACCGCGCCTGGCTTGAGGGAGAAACCAGGAGAAAACAGCTGAGCATATTTACGACAGTGTAATTTTACTTTCGCCCTCTGGGGGGAGCCTCGCTGGAAAATCAACACCGGTTGCATAGTGTACCTTTAATGAAATTATCAAATTACCCAAGTCCAGTTCCTCAGATTTAAGCTTGTCTTGGGGTTTCTGTGACCCAGATGACAGAGAATTTGCACAGACATGTTGATCGTTATGTGGGGAGTGTTGGCCTAGTGGATTAGAGCAGTGCGCTTGTGCTCTGAGAAGGTTGCAAGTACCCGTTTCAATCCCCACAGCCTGCAATCTGGGTCTCTGGGCGCCAGAGACCAAGACACTGCTCCCTGGGCGCCACACAATGGCAGCACACTGCTTCCCAAAGGGATGGGTTAAATGCAGAGTGAATTTCCCCATAGTGGGACAATTAAAGGATTTACATTACATGTTATGCCTTATTTATAAAGCCATATTTTATTTTCACAGACCAAGATTACTTTTATCTTTGTGAAATTTGGTAACTCTGAACACTTAATTTTGCATAATGAATATAAAAAGAACCTAGAAAGACCAGTACCACTTGTCTTTGTTTGCCTCTGCCTCTTTTCACTTTCTTTAAACTCTGTCCTTTCTGCCACCTTTGCATTTGGACACAGCTCCTGCCTGGATTTGCTTTGGCTTCAGTTATGAATTATCTTATATATTAACCTAAGATGGAACACATGCTTTTAGAATTACAAGAATTTTGATTTATAAAGAGGTTTTGGAATTTTTTTTTCCAGATATATTTTTTTAGATAATTCCTTTACTAAGATACAGTGGATTTCAAATGTGCCAGGTTTATGAGGTTGCACACCTTTGAAATAATATTTGTTTTAGAAAACATTTCTCTAACCTCCCTGATTCTATATGAGGAGACCCCGTCTTCTAGGGGTGTAAATCACACCCATCATGGCGATTCGATTCAGTTTCGATTTCCGACCCAACGATTTGATTATTTTCGATACTCAAGAATACACCAGGATTCGATTCGATTAATCGATACATTTTTTTTTTTTTTTTTTTTTTTACACCTTACAGGCTAAACAAAGTTTCAAGTTTGAAATAAATCAATGAAAGCTGTATTATCGTTATGCTTTTTTTTTTTTTGAAACAACAGCAAATAACAGAAGTAGAAAAGTTGCATCAAAAAATAAGCTGCTCCTCTCCAAGATTGTAGCTGACCGCAAACAGTGCAGCAGACAGGAGGCCGGCTTGTTTTGTTTTTATGACTGAAATTGCGGAAAACAACTCGTGAAGTTTGACCCGCTAGAAGAGCGAGGTGCGCAAGAACGCTGGGACCCTTTTTCCACCTGGATCTCTGCTCTTTTTGGCCCTCATGTCCCTCCGTCGTCGGACTAAACTCGCCCCCACTTCCTCGCCGCCTCGGCCGTATCTAGACCCACAGCGTGTAGCACAGACCACGCCTCAATACTGAGCATAATTAAAAAATTTCTGTGTCAAGCTCACTGCAACACACTGCTGAGTATAACCAGGAAGCGAGGTAGAAGGGCGAAATAGGTTTAGCGCCACCGCAGCACCGGAGGGAGAATTACACCCAGGAGCAAATGGATAAAAATAGACCGGAGGAAAAAAAGAACATGAATCGATTCTCTTGTGGACGTATCGATGCATCGGATCGTCAGCTGTTGGATCGATGCATCGATACAAAACAATTATTATTTACACCCCTACCGTCTTCTTTCTTTGGCTTTTATGCTGGTAATCTGTAGAGCATAAAAATCAAATCCGTCCTAATCTTTCTTTATTTTCTTAGTCAGATCCATCTGCTGTTTGGTTTCATGTAAAGAAAACCTTCATGGCTTGACACACCATGCTTCAATTAATGCTGTTTATGCTTCAGCTGGCTTTATCTTATTCAAAATGTATCCCTGCAACATCTCTCAAAAGGTTTTGACAGATCTTCAGAATTTCTAGATGTTTCCTATTGAATAGAAGGATTTGTTAATGCAGCCATATTGATCAAATCCAGACATCTGGAAAATATACAGTCCCAGTTAGAATACAAAACACTTGTTAGAAATATCTACACCCTCGCATCAGTTTCTATTTGGCTAATTTGATAATTTTGTAAAGGGTGGACTTTTTGCATTTTTATAGGAAAATAATAAGCTATAATTAGCATGTCTTTACTGTGCCATGGTATATAGTCATCATAAACGTGGCTAAGCTATCCTTGTTTCTGCAGTTGTAGTTTTTGTTTTATAAAATAAAATAAAAATTGTTTCTGTGACTAAATATTGCCTTTACCTTACTGGGACATTTGTTCAGTATGATCTTTTTTTAATATATTTTAAACCCCCTTTGCAAACTATCAAGCTTATGGATGCAAATGTGTACATTTTAGGAAAAACATAGAGCTTAATTTGATTTCAAGTGAATCAAATTCACCATAACTGATAGTATGTCAACTTAAAAATACTAAATACTGAAATTTATTTAAAAGGTACATCAGCAATCATTAGCATCAGCAGTTCTTTGGTAATTTCAATTCAATTTCAATTCAGTTTATTTATATAGCGCCAAATTCACAACAAATGTCATCTCAAGGCACTTTACACTTCAACCAGATCATCCAGTCAAATTGATACAAAGTTTTCTATCTAAGGAAAACCAGTTGATTGCATCGACTCATTGACTCAAATACAATCCCTCACACTAAGCATGCTTGTAGCGACAGTGGAGAGGAAAAACTCCCTTTTAACAGGAAGAAACCTCCAGCAGAACCAGGCTCAGTGTGAGCGGCCATCTGCTGAGGCCGACTGGGGTTCAAGGAGACAGAAGCAGAGACACAAAAAGCAGCTGTAAAAGGCGGTCCCATTACGGAAATACGCAGCCAGGCAGACGAGCTCCGAGCCAGCTCCCATGCCAGAGGACGAAGAGCACATCCATTCAGTCATGGTCAGAGAAACAGGACCACACTGGAAAACAGGCCGATCTCCAGCATCTATAAAAATTGACCTATAGATGCTTATTAATGCAGCTAGAACAGCTTCAACTTTTCTGGGAAGGCTGTCCAAAAGGTTTAGGAGGGTTTATGGTCATTTTTGGACATTCTTCAAAAGGCGCATTTGTGAGGTCACACACTGATATTGGACAACAAGGCGTTGCTCTTAATCTCCACTCTAATTCATCCCAAAGGTGTTCAATCGGGTTAAGGTCAGGAGTCTGTGCAGGCCGGTCAAGTTCACCCAAACCAGAATCTGCCATCCATGTCTTTGTGGACCTTGATTTATACTCAGTCACGCTCAGTCATACTTGAAAGGGAAGGAGCAAGCTCCAACCTGTTCCCATAGAGTTGATCGGATGAACTGGTCCAAAATATTTTGGTATGCTGAAGCATTCAGGGTTAAGTGTTTTATTTGTGGTTTTTATTGATTGTGAATAAAAGATTAGCCTCTGGAACGTTGTTAATATCTGCTCCAGGTTCATAGGAGTTTAGCTGAGAGACCTGGGATTTCTCTGGAAAATCCGGCCGCGACGAAAGGTTAAACATGTTTATGAGACATTCTGACGACATTCCTGGTCAGGAATTCTGTCTAAAGCCTAAACCTAACAGCTTTTATTCCTTCTGCCATCCAGTTTTTGAATAATGCTGACAGCACTAACTAGACATGGGCCAGGCATTTTAAACCATAGTCCCTGCCTGGTCCATGTACTGTGGTCTCTGTATTTGCTTCTTTTTGGTGTTGTCCAAATGCAAGATGATTGTTATTGACAGCGTTTCTGAATGCTTGACTGATTGTTGTCTTCTGCCCTGTTTGTTATGACTGTTAGGCAGTGGCGGCTGGTGAAAAATATTTTTGGTGGGGCTGATATAGCCTAGTGTATGTCTCCAACTAATCCGGAATAAGAATTCAAATAAACAATTGGACAATACATACAATTTAACAGTAATGATTTAATTTACTATATAATAACAGTAACAGTGATGATTTGGGTCACTGTGACGGGGTTCTTTGGCCTCCAAGAATCCAGTCTCAGTCGGGTTACCGGTGTTGGTGATTTATTGAGCTCAAAAACTCAAAACAGGGTGCAAAAGAAACTAAACATACAAGATACTCTGGGCCTCAGCCTCCCTCCGGTTACCAGCAATGTAACAAAGAAACAGAAAACAAAAATTGCCGCTTTTCTTCCCACAGCCCTCATTAAATAGTTTAAGCCCCTCACATCAGGCTCTCTTATTTCTGATTTCTTCTCATTAATCAGTTTTGTCCATATATTACCTCCACAAACAATTGATGTAAAACAAAACAAATAATTTTTACAACTTAATTCTTTTACACAGATTCATTGACTTATTCAATTACACAAAACTGGGTTTGAACCCAGCAAAGACGCAGCCAGACTGAAGATGACAAGTCCCCGCATAAACACGTACACACCCCCCCCCCCCCCCCCCACACACACACACACACACGGCTAACCCCACTGAAATATTAAGTGTGCACCCTCAATATGCCAGCAGGTAACCAGGAACAGCTTGTGTGTTTTAAGTTCATGGAGCTACTGGTCTCAGCGCGAGTGTATTGGTCCTCACAAACACAGTATAACAGGAATGTGTGTGTGGTGCGCAAAGTTAGAGAGGTTGTTTTAAGCGACGAGGTGGATTCGTCACAGTCACAATAACCATGACATGAAATGTTCATATCCTACAACAGGGATGTTCTTCTGGCAAACGGGTAGATAAATAAGGATCTCATCGAATTTGGTGGAAGCTGCATCTCGGTCGTTACGTTCGCCATCTTCCCTCTAACTGTCTGCACCTGCGCTTGGGTTCAGAAGCCTGTTAAAGCGCAGTATTTTCAGCGCCCCAATACCATAAAGTTCCGAGACGCTGATTGGCCATTAAATTCACCTAGCAATAGTACATGATTGACAGATTCTCTGCAAATGTGGGTCAGTCTGATCAGCGCCCCCAGAACAGAGACGGTAGGAGTCTGTCTGTGGAAATCCACAAATTAATGACAGTAGATAGGGAAATGTAGTTTATATAATTTGTTTTGTTTATAGGTACACAGTCTAGAGAGTAAAACTGACATTTATGAGTTAATTTCTAAAAATATATTTTACGTTTCTCTCTTCTTATCAGGGAGGGCGGTGCCCCAGCGCCCCCTATGGGCCGGCCGCCACTGCTGTTAGGCTAAAACTGCATTAAATAAAGTAGTTTGATTTTATTTGTATTTCATAAGAAAAGTGGAAAAAGTTTTAAAATATTTTTTTATGGTCTTAACACCCAAGAAACCTGGCATTTTAACTGGAGTTTGTATACCTTTGAAATCCACTGTATCAGTAAACACTGGGCATGGGCAGGTATGACATTTCCCGCATTTAATACAATTCTACATTTATTTATTAATGAGAATTTAGCTTTGACTCTTGAAAGTCAGCCATAAATAATCGCAGTTTTTACTTTTACATAGTGGTTTAGATTTTTTAATATGGCCATATTTTTTAGAAAAACATTACCCTAATCACAATAAATTCTTTGGTTACTTAATAGCAATTCCAAGGAGTTCCTGCCTGTCTTGTAAAATAGCTCACTATAGACGCTTAAAAAGATTATAAATATTGAAAATGAGAGTGAGAGATGCAGTAGAGCTCTGAACCAGAGAGAAGAGGGGAAACACTAATTCAAAAACCACTCACTCCACAACTTCCTCTTGCAGTTATATAAAATTAGTTAAAGCATCTTAGAACGCTTTGGAATCTAACAAGATTCCAACAAAGTTTCAAACAAAACTGGATTTTGTTTCCAAGTTTGAAGACATTTTGCTTCCCATCCAGGAAGCTTTCTCAATTCAAAATGTCAGAAGTAGCGTTTCAGTTCCAGGCTTATAGAGTAGCCCAAACAAAAATGTTGTTTTGGCTTAGAAAACATGCAAATTGAACTGGAAAAAACCCAACATATTCTCAATATCAGTTGGTATGAAATCGTACGAAAAGTTATGCACAGTATTTCGTACGTTTTTGACGTTTTTCCTCAAAAACAGATCAGTGCACATGCGCAACCAGACAGACGAAAAAAGCAGATCCGCGGACGGACATAAAACTGGGAAAAACAGTGCAATAATTACTGTACTTCTTCATCTCTCTAACTACTTTGCTTGCTGTTTTGTATCTTAGGGTTAGGGTTAATTGTATGCTAAATTCTATGTTATTGAATGGTGCGTAACATGCGCATGCTTAAAGATATCTTGTCTCAAGGCAAGACGTAAAAATACGACGAAATACCACGAAAAAAACATTGAAAACGAAATCACGGTGCATAACGGTGCATAACTTTTCGTACGATTTCATACGAACTGATAATGAGAATACACTGAAAAAACAGGTCCACCCCTTAGTAATCAGTCTGCCTACCAAACCATAGCGTGCGACCAGCCGGCCCATGCCTAGCATAGTGTCAATACATTTCTCTCTCATAAACATGACACTGTTTCATCATACTGTGAGTTTATTAATATATTCCATCCTCCCCCTTCCTCTCTCATCTTCATCCCTCCTATGACATTTCTTCACTTATGCATCACCCTCTCCTTTCTCCTCATCCTCTATTTCTCACTGTCATTTTATCCTCCTGGTGCTGGTCTATCTTTTACGTGAGGACAGACATAAATGAGTGTGAACGACTCCCTCAGCCCTGTGCCCATCAGTGCATCAACACTCCTGGTAGCTTCAAGTGCACTTGCCCACCAGGGCGCTACCTGCTGGGAGATGGCAAGTCCTGCGCAGGGCTGGAACGTCTACCCAGCTACGAAAGTTACTCATATGGCTACCGCACGTCTCAGTCCTCTCCTGAACAAAGACCGAGCCAGCGGCTGTACCACAGCTTTGCTTCTCACAGCTACAACTCCTATACTGGCACCACAAGCAGGCGCTACATCAACCGTAATCGGAGGGAGGCTCTCAAAAACCCCTCGAGGCTTGATATCCACACTTGTAAGGAAGGTTTTGAGTCCAGAGGTGGCATCTGTCTAGGTAACTATGTAGAAATATGAAGTGAATTTAGTGGCATTATTGTTGAAACTAGAGAACCTGTTTTGTAAATGGAAAAAAAAAAATGCAATCCAAAAAATTTGAATAACAAAATGCTTTCAGCACACCTTTGCTGTTTACTAAGATTTAGTTTTCTCTTATTTTTTTTTATGTATTTTTTATATTTATTTCAATTTTTTTGCCAAAATAATTTTTTCAATTTGTTTTATTTATAGATTATATATAAAAACATTTTTTTTCATAGTTTTATAGATATTATATTTTTTATAAATCAGATTCTACGGTGCGAGACAGGTGCAAACAAACTGCAAATCAGAAAAATAGCTGCAAAGCGGAGTGACACAACCTGCAAAACATGCAAGGACACAAAAAATGAATGCAACAGAAAAACTCTGCAAACGTGCAAATGTGGAGCAATGACAAAAAATGAGCTGCAAACTCATGTATGATGCAAACTCCAAAACATGCAAGCACAAAAATAATATTTTACAGACAAACATGCAAACAAAAAAGGCTTTAATCACTAAAAATAAAAGCAAACACCTACAATCAACAAAACAAATAAGAAATAAAACATCATAAAACTAAACGCTGCAATCACAGAAAGAAAATCATGCTAATAGTAAAAAAGAAGCAAAGTTGCACCAGAAAATGCTCCAGACGTCTAGAGGGAATCAAAGAAAGAACAAACTATTATCGTGTGTTGCAGCTCAGTTCTGTTTGCTGTGCTTTTGCAGCTCGTTTCTTTTTTGTTTGCAGCTTTTTTTTTGTTGCATTTGCTTTTTCGCCTTTGGTGTTTTGTAATGTGCTTTACACGTTTTTGCAGCTTGGTTCGTCGCCTGCTGCGTTTCCACGTTTTGGCCATTGTAACATTCTCTTAACTTCAAGCTCAATACGTCCACATTGACCATTACAATGCTGTTGCTAACATTCATGCAGACCAACAGAAATAGAAATTTGAAAAGAGTGCAACTTGGAAAAGCCCATTTTAAAAATTAGAAATTTGGCAAAAACATCCATAAAACAGGTAATTTTGAAAGAGAAAAAGAAAAGAAAATGTGGAAAAATAACAAAACTATTGGATTTTTTAAACTTTTTTAATTTTTGAAACATTTTTCAATGTTTCATTTCTCGATTTCATTCTTTTAAATTGAAATTAAAAAAATGTTTTCTTTGCTTGCAGCAATACTGGAACAGAATTCGCTCCATATAAAATTGGCAAATCTGACATGAAGCAGAAAAGTTAACAAACAATCTTCCTTCTTGTTGCAGCTTCATACTTATAACTTGTCGTGAACAAATAAGGAAACATGGTTTCATGTTACTTTATGAACCAACAGATATCAATGAGTGTGAAGTGAGGGACACGTGCCAGCATGAGTGTGTGAACACCCCAGGGAGCCACCGGTGTATCTGTCCTGCTGGTTACCACCTGATGACTAATGGGAAGACGTGTCAAGGTGAGGCTCGATCTCTAATCTCTCCAACAATGCAGCAGCCTCATTCTGCAGCTCATTTCAAAGCTATTTGTATGTTTTAATGCTCAGCCAACAAAACCTTATGAGAAAACTGATCCTCTTGTGACGCGCTGTTTGCTAAATCCACAGATATAGATGAGTGCCTGGAGCAGAACATTCGCTGTGGGGCAAATCGGATGTGCTTCAACACAAGAGGAAGTTACCAGTGCATCGACACACCCTGTCCTCCAAACTATCAGAGGGATCGAGACACAGGGTAAACATTCACAGCAATGGTTTAAACCCATCGACTAACTGTAGAAGAATGTAAAAAAAATAGTTTTCATAAATCGATAGTCTGTAGGTGCCTATCTCCAGCTTTCAATGGGCGAGAGGCGGGGTCCACCCTGGACAGGTCGACAGTCTATGACAGGGCAACACAGAGACAAACAGGAAAAACCACCATTCACACACAAGGAGAATTTAAAGAAGCCAAGTAACCTAACAGTCATGTTTTCAGACTGCGAGAGGAAGCCGGAGTACCCGGAGAGAACCCACACATGCACAGGGAGAACATGCAAACTCCATGCAGAAAGACCCCGGGTGGGGAATTGAAACTTTCTTGCAGCAAAGCAGCAGTGCTACCCACTGCGCCACTGTGCAGATTGATAAATGGACAGTTCTTAACAAATCTGCCTGTGACTGAAGATACTCTATCATTGTTCAACAGTCTGATAAAGAGGGTTCTTAATGTTGTGTGTGATAACCCTTATTAGAGAACATTACTGAACAAGAAGCATCACAATAATGAAGGATTGCTAGCCTCGTGAGACCATCCTGATCTCGTGCGCTTTCAAGGTTTCACTCGCAGATCAGTCTGGAGACTCTCTGTTAAAGAAAATTTGGAGCCGTTCACCAAACGAACGTCCAATCAGCGTTGGCTTTGAGGCGGGTTGAGGTGTGACGCAACGAGAAGCGTGACAGTTCAGTCTAAAGAACATGGCGGCTTCAGCCGATGAAACTAGCGTTAGCGTGGCTATCGAGCAAGTTTTATGGGAATTACAGAGTATTTCTTCACTGAAAGAAGAGCAAAACACTGCTCTGGAGGCTTTTCTCAGAGGAAAAGATGTTTTTGCTCTTCTCCCGACTGGTTTCGGCAAGAGTAGCCTGGCTTGTGGTTGTGTTTTCGTCGTCGCTCTGTTAGTACGTCATATGCTTCGTTGATCTGATTGGTTTATTTGGCCCGTCTGTCACCAACATAGGCCAATCAGCTAACCAGTATTTTCGCCCCTTCCTAAAATTACCTCAACTGAAGGTTTCCAGACGGATATACGAAGCAAACCCATTTGGCGGAGTCAGGTTAAAGGATTGCCAGGTCAGGGATACTGTTGTAGAGAAGTTTAACTTGACATAGATGATGGTGGAGTGTTTGAAGCACGAGGGGAACCAAAACAAGTCTAGAGTCTTTAAGATCACAGTAAATATGGGCGCTAGTTGGTCATTACAGGTTTTAAGGCATAGGGGGAGACATTGTCAGGTATTAAGAGGTTTCCAGTTATTCCCTCAGAGTTCTTACATTGTGGAAGGGGGGTTCCTCCACACTTTTCAGATTTTATAGTAAGAAAAAACACTGTGGACCCCTATAAAATACAAGTTTGATCAAGAAAAAGAACAATGTTTTTTATCACTCTACGAGCCAACTGTTACTAACCTGACTCCGCAGGATGGATTTGCTCTGCATATCCATCTGGAAACTTTCCGTTGAAGTAATTTTGGGAAGGGGCGAAAATACTGGTTAGCTGATTGGCCTATGTTGGTGATAGACGGGCCAAATAAACCAATCAGATCAACGAAGCATATGACATACTAACAGAGCGACGACGAAAACACAACCACAAGCCAGGCTACTCTTGCCGAAACCAGTCGGGAGAAGAGCAAAAACATCTTTTCCTCTGAGAAAAACCTCAGGAGCAGTGTTTTGCTCTTCTTTCAGTGAAGAAATACTCTGTAATTCCGATAAAACTTGCTCGATAGCCACGCTAACGCTAGTTTCATCGGCTGAAGCCGCCATGTTCTTTAGACTGAACTGTCGCGCTTTTCGTTGCGTCACACCTCAACCCGCCTCAAAGCCAACGCTGATTGGACGTTCGTTTGGTGAACGGCTCCAAATTTTCTTTAACGGAGAGTCTCCAGACTGATTAGCGAGTGAAATCTTGAAAGCTCGCGAGATCAGGATGGTCTCACGAGGCTAAACTGTTACTAGTGTTGCACCAATACTGATACCAGTATCGGACGGGGCCCCGATCCAGCACTAAAAGGGTGGTATTGGTATCGGCGAGAACCCACAAATAGAGCACTGATACCATTTTGAGAGCCAAAAGTTTATTCAAGTATTGTCACCCATTCCAGGTAGGCAATAAAAAGTTCTACTAGATTTACTTTGCATTAGTCTTTTTCCTGCTTCCCAAAGGTAGGCAGCAGCTTGACAAAGCCATGATGGCAATTATTTTACATCCAAGCACTATGCAGTTCTTCATATATACACACATCAATTTTAAACAGATGGTATCGACATTGACCAATAATGCACAGCCAGGTATCGGGTATCAATATCAGGGGTCAGCACTAACCGTTACTCACAGCAACTATAAAATCTAATTATCTTATACTGAGCATCTAAGCAAATATTGTGATTTTCACCTTGTAGGTTCTGCTTGAAGAGCTGCCTACCAAACGACCTGGAGTGTGCGCTGAGTCCATACGCGTTAGAATACAAGCTGCTGTCTCTTCCCTTCGGCATCGCAGCCAACCAGGACCTCATCCGGTTGGTGGCCTACACACAGGACGGCGTGATGCACCCCAGAACCAGCTTCCAGGTGGTGGACGAGGACGCCTCGTTACCCTTCGCCCTGCGAGACGAAAACATGAAGGGTGTTTTGTTCACCACCAGACCTCTAAGAGAGCCCCACACGTACCGCATGAAGGTACGAGCGCTCTCCTACAGCGAGGACGGCGCCGTGGAGTACCAGACAACCTTCATCGTATACATCGCCGTCTCTGCCTACCCTTACTGAGAACACTTTAAATGGAGATGAAGTTTGGCGGTTAAACCTCAGCTTGTGGATCAGTGTGGCGGGAGAGAGATGACGTTGTTTCTGGACGTGTTGCTCCATGTTGGACAGACTGATGTTGCTTTTAGGACAGTGAGTGCATCCAGTTCTGATGAGCTATGGATGTAAATGTAAGCGGAATATGAGAGACCGGAGAAACAGGGACAAAACCGATCCATTATTTTCTGTTACCCCATTCATTCTGTATAGAACTGTTTAGCTTTTTTATATTTTGTCTTAAAATGTTCTCATTTCATTCATATTTATTTATAAGGAACAGTTTCCTCATAGTGAGTATGTAATTCCTCTACCCACTGCATCAGGGTTAAACAAATACAACTATCTACAACTGAACTTCAGTTACTATAGTAGATTTGTGGTGCTAATGTTGGAAATATGAGGTTTCTGTAACATTTTCTTCTGTTTTATGAAAAATGCTCCATCAGCAGCTAGTTAGTTATCATTTTTATTTCCAGAAGTTATTACCAGGATTTATTTTAACTTGTACATAATGTTTTAACTCAAATTATGATGCAGTAGAGCTACAAATTTTATTAGTTTTATAATTAACAGTGATAAAATACACAGAAAGAAGAACCAGGAATATTAACTATTATAGGGGTATGTTTCAAATTTGAAGATTAATTTTAACATTTTTTTTATTTTTTAAACGTTTTAAAACATGATTTTAGAAAGGGACGTCAAAATGGAGAGTGACGAATGCAACATGCAATAAATACCTTATGAAATAATTATTTAACTGTCACATTACATTTTTTAAATTGGATATAAATATGGAATTTGTTTAATGTGTTTTACAGAAAATATAATTATTTTTAATGATTTAAAAAATAATTCCAGGTCAAGGGGTGGGGCCGCACTGCAAAAAATTCTAATCTAAATAAGTCATTTTTTTCTTAAAATTAGTGCATTTTTTCTTAAATTAAGCAGGTAAGTGAGACACTTTGCCAATGGAACAAGTCAGTTTACATTTAAAAAAAGAAAAACAATTGCGTTGTCTTATTTCAAGTGCATCATATCTAATTATCCCATTTTAAGAGTAAAAAATACCCATTCCATTGGCAAATCATCTTATTTACCAGCTCAAATTAAGGGTAAATACACTTAATTTAAGACATTTTTACAAATTTTTAGATCATTCTTGCAGTGCGTGAGCCGCTATCATTGAAACTTTGATGTCTGATTGGTAAAAAAAAATTATTCCTGGTTGTCTTATACTTGAAAGTCAAAGGCTGTGTCCAAAAGTCCGCCCTAACCTCTAGATCTCTCCATCACTATATAGAGCAGGGAATATGTAGTGGACTTTATAGTGAACTGACCGTTCGGGCAGATGATCACTACTTTTCGCTCCCCGCTAGTCATGCAGGGAGACTCTGCAAGCACACTGAAAAAATGATGCAAACAGTTTTGGCATTTACTTAATCATATTTATAAACTCGTGAGACCATCCTGATCTCGCGAGCTATTAAGGTTTCACTCGCAGATCAGTCTGGCTACTTTCCGTTAAAGAAAATTTGGAGCCGTTCACCAAACGAACATCCAATCAGCGTTGGCTTTGAGGCGGGTTGAGGTGTGACTCAACAAGAAGCGCGACAGTTCAGTCTAAAGAACATGGCGGCTTCAGCCGATGAAACAAGCGTTAGCGTGGCTATCGAACAAGTTTTATTGGAATTAGAGAGTATTTCTTCACTCAAAGAAGAGCAAAACACTGCTCTGGAGGCTTTTCTCAGAGGAAAAGATGTTTTTGCTCTTCTCCCGACTGGTTTCGGCAAGAGTTAGCCTGGCTTGTGGTTGTGTTTTCGTCATCGCTCTGTTAGTACGTCATATGCTTCGTTGATCTGATTGGTTTATTTGGCCCGTCTATCACCAACATAGGCCAATCAGCTAACCAGTAGTGATGCACGATATAATCGGCCCCCTATCGGTATCGGCCTGTATCGGCCTTAAAACTGAATATCGGACATCGGCCACCCCATCGATATTTAACCCGATATTTGATCAGCTTCTGAGTTTCTAAAGTCTAAAAAAAAAAGAATTCTTCTTCTTTCTCAAAAACTTCTTTTTTACAGACTTAAAAACTTCTAAAGACGAGGTAAAAAATATTGATGCATTAAAATATCACAATATCTTCATATGCTGATATATTGCCATTTAAAAAAACCATATCAATTTTTTTTTACTAATGAAATATTGCTATTTGTCATCGTTATGCCACGAAATCCCCCGAAAATTCACGAAATTTTGCCATATTTTTATATGTTGATATATTGACGCGGTATCGATCTATTTTACTAACAAAATCTCACAAGAATTTGCAAAATATCACGAGAGTTTGTAACAGAACGATGAAATTTCACGAGATTTTGAAAGTAAAATAGATCGATACCGCGTTTTTAAAAATCTATTTGATATCAGCATATGAAAATATATTTGAGTATATTATTTTTCAAAGTGTCAGAAATGGATAACAAAACTGCTATTTTGAATATTTTTGTCCAGCTTTAACATCGGTATAGATATCGGTTATCGGCTACATGAGTTTTAAAATATCGGCATATCGGATATCAGCCAAAATCCCAATATCGTGCATCCCTACTAACCAGTATTTTCAACCCTTCCCAAAAATACTTCAACGGAAGGTTTCCAGATGAATATGCGGAGCAAACCCCTCTGGCGGAGTCAGGTTATCATATTTAGTTACTTTAACACAATTGTTTTATGTCCTAACCTGCTAACATGAAACAATTGTGTTAAAGTAACTAAATATGATGAAGTAAATGCCAAAAATAGTGGCATTATTTTTTTTGAGTGCACGGTGCCTAAGCCATCTTTGTTATTTGTTGCAGATGCAACAAATCCCATGATGCTTTGCGAGGAGAGCTCTGCTCACAAAGCATCATGATCTACAGGTGCTGGTCATAAAATTAGAATATCATGAAAAAGTAGATTGATTTCAGTAATTCCATTTAAAAAGTGAAACTTGTATATTATATTCATACATTACATACAAACTCATATATTTCAGATGTTTATTTTGTTTAATTTTGATGATTACAAATGATAACAAATGAAAATCTCAAATTCATCATATCAGAAAATTAGAATATTGTGAAAAGGTTCAAAATTGATGGCCCCTGGTGCCACACTCTAATCAGCTAATTAACTCAAACCACCTGCAAAAGCCTTTAAATGGTCTTTCAGTCTAGTTCTATAGGCTACACAATCATGGGGAAGACTGCTGACTTGACAGTTGTCCAAAAGACGACCATCGACACCTTGCACAAGGAGGGCAAGACACAAAAGGTCATCGCTAAAGAGGCTGGCTGTTCACAGAGCTCAGTGTCCAAGCACATTAATAGAGAGGCGAAGGGAAGGAAAAGATGTGGTCGAAAAAAGTGTACAAGCAAGAGAGATAACCGCACCCTGGAGAGGATTGTGAAACAAAACCCATTCAAAAATGTGGGGGAGATTCACAAAGAGTGGACTGCAGCTGGAGTGAGTGCTTCAAGAACCACCACACACAGACGTATGAAAGACATGGGTTTCTGCTGTCGCATTCCTTGTGTCAAGCCACTCTTGAACCACAGACAGCGTCAGAAGCGTCTTGCCTGGGCTAAAGAGAAACAGGACTGGACTGCTGGTGAGTGGTCCAAAGTCATGTTCTCTGATGAAAGTAAATTTTGCATTTCCTTTGGAAATCAAGGTCCCAGAGTCTGGAGGAAAAGAAGAGAGGCACTTCATCCACGTTGCTTGAAGTCCAGTGTAAAGTTTCCACAGTCAGTGATGGTTTGGGGTGCCATGTCATCTGCTGGTGTTGGTCCATTGTGTTTTCTGAGGTCCAGGGTCAACGCAGCCACATACCAGGAAGTTTTAGAGCACTTCATGCTTCCTGCAGCTGACCAACTTTTTGGAGATGCAGATTTCATTTTCCAACAGGACTTGGCACCTGCACACAGTGCCAAAGCTACCAGTACCTGGTTGAAGGACCATGGTATCCCTGTTCTTAATTGGCCAGCAAACTCTCCTGACCTTAACCCCATAGAAAATCTATGGGGTATTGTGAAGAAGAAGATGCAATACACCAGACCCAACAATTCAGAAGAGCTAAAAGCCACTATTAGAGCAACCTGGGCTATCATAACACCTGAGCAGTGCCACAGACTGATCGACTCCATGCCACGCCGCATTGCTGCAGTAATACAGGCCAAAGGAGGCCCAACTAAATACTGAGTGCTGTACATGCTCATACTTTTCATGTTCATACTTTTCAGTTGGCCAACATTTCTATAAATCCTTTGTTTTTATTGGTCTTCAGTAATATTCTAATTTTCTGATATGATGAATTTGAGATTTTCATTTGTTGTCATTTGTAATCATCAAAATTAAACAAAATAAACATCTGAAATATATGAGTTTGTATGTAATGTATGAATATAATATACAAGTTTCACTTTTTAAATGGAATTACTGAAATCAATCTACTTTTTCATGATATTCTAATTTTATGACCAGCACCTGTATATCTGCTTGTCTGGTGACCATTGATGATCGCTGCTTTTCAAGGTGCATTGTGGGAAATTTCGAGTCATCCACTAGACTTTCAAAATACATCATTTATATATTTCTTGAATAAATTCAGTATTTATTTGCAGTATTAATACATTTATGACACGTTTGAATAATTTTTTTAACAGTTATAATGGCGCTCATCACCTACAATACTCACCCTTAGCAGTTCAATATAATATAACCTCCAGTTACTATATAAGAAAACATAGCTTTGTTGTATTTATCATTTAGGAAAAACAACATAATATTGGTTTTAATAGGGGATGTGAGAGTAAAATAGGCTTGACAATTTTATTTGGAAAAATGAATCACATCTGCATACGTTTTGATATTAGACATTTTAAACATCATGTAAGAATCATCATTATAAAGCATATAAAACACTGGTTCCCTGCTTTCTGTGACAGTAAGACCCCTAAAAGGGTGCTAAAAGAAGGAGAATTAAACCTAAACACACAAACCTCCCCTTCCTGTTCTGACAATAAAGTTCATAACACTAAGATTGTGATTAGCTAAATAAAAACATACAGGCAATGGTTTCATTCATAAAGGGGTGTCTGACAATGGAGCCTTATGTGGAATTCAGGAAAGCTTGAAAAGCTAAGTTTAATTAGGCTTTTAATGTGACCCCATTTCATAAAAAAACACCTTTCAGTGACTCCTAAAAGGAGGTTTCTGTTTTTAAAACGGTTTTAAAAATTCAGGTAAGATAAGTTTGAATTAAAAACTTAATCCTGTGGAAATTATGTGAAAATAAATGATTCCTTTTTCTGTATCTGCAACAATATGGTTTCAACCCTTTATAGATTTAGCCTTCTAGCAGGTGTCTGTCTCTCCTTCCAGAAGCCTTCATCAACTGTGGGTTTATTGTGTGAATAAGAATAAAATAGACACAAATGATCAGCAATCACACATTTTATTTTTGTTCCAGAAAAGAAAAAAAAATGCCCACAAAGATATAAAAGAAACATTTGAGTAAGGCAGTTAGCACATCACCTCGCTCACCTCCAGATTTCAAGAGCATCACAAGAACTACATGAAACAGCAGAAATCATCCGACATCTCTGGGTCTGACTGTTATACCTTATTACTGCATTAGGAACTATATTGGATGCATCATAAATGATTAAATGATTGCAGTATTCAAACATCATCCATATTCACAAGCAACAAGTGATTCATATATGTGGAAAAATGAGTAAACTATGTTTGACATGAGGTTAAAAAACAAAAAAACTCTGGGTCTGAATAGTTTTTACTGACAGCAGCTTCTTTTCAAAATTGTGAGCTTTTAAACAAAAACATATCCTAACATCTCGTACATCAGCCCAGCTAAAAATCCCTCTACAGATTTGGCAACCGATGTAATCCACCTTATAAGGCAGATAAAACATGATCTTATAAAATGCAGTTAAATTAGTCTTGCTGTTGGATGATGAGATTTTTTTAGCAACTAATCAGTGAGGATGTGTTAAAAAATCTGCAGCATGAACTTAACTTTATACTTGATACAAAAAATACTGATGTTTGATTAACAAAGAAAAACAAAAGTAGAAAATACAGGTTTCACAATAAAAAAAATCTGAGGATTTCCTGCCTTTTTTCCCCACTTAGGGGTCTCTGATGCTAAAGTAACATAATGGGAACCAAAAAATGAGATTACTGATTAGTAGTTGGTGCAGAATTCCCACCAGTGTTTCTTCTCTAAAGTAGAGCGTAAACAGCAGAGGGACCGCTGATCTCAGAGGGATCAGCAAATGGATGTAGTAGGAAGGTATTTTAGCACCCTGTGAGGACTGTGGTTTAGGCTGTGAAAACTGAAATGGAAGAAATAAAGAAAAACTGTTTTAACCCACTTTTCAAGTCCCATGTTTACGTCTCACGAAAATCAGCACCTGAGTGGGTAAAACTAAAATCTGGTGTTCTGTTGAGCTGCGATGCCCTCTGGGACGTGAACAGTGCGGCGTGTTTGATCTCTGCTTTTACACCGTTTTCCTCGCCGTTAGTACCCTGACAATGCTGCCCACTCCTCCGGCAGCCAGAGCCTGCAAACACAGCCAGAATAAACATAAAATGAACAAACACTGAAGATATTTTATTTCAGTTGAACATAAGAAGCCAAACAAACTTTATACCTTCACTGCAAAGAGTTATAATCATCAGTTTTTCTATGGTTATTTATGATCATGACTTTTGATCTAGATCAAGACCACATAAAGCCAATAAAAAAAATAATACTCAACAATGGATTACTTTTGCTGTGGCACACAATGAATGAGGAAGAATTGTGACTTCTAAACATAGAAGGTAAGTTGGCTTTTTAAGAGTAAAGTAGCAAACATATTATTGGAAAATTGAGTGGAAGGAAAAAACTTTAGATTAATGTTTAAAAGGAACAGGAAGGATCTCAGTCTCCAGAATTATTAAGTTTGGGAGAAATAAGGTTTGGATTCATGTAGGGCTGCAATAACGAATCGATAAAATCGATAAAAATCGACTTTTAAAAGCGTTGGCAACGAATTTAATCATCGATTAGTTGTGTCGCGCGATTAATGCGTCATCCGCCGCCGCCGTCATCCGGGGGAAGAAAAAAAAAATATGGCGGAGCGAGTAGCGCCGCAGTTGCAGTGTTGCCAACTCAGCGACTTTTCAGACCCCTCTAGTGACTATTTTTCAAAAAAGCGACTAGCGACAAATCTGGCGACTTTTTACGGTGTCACTGGCGGCTTTTGCCTGCCGTGGGGCGCCTCCCCCATCCCGACCCCTTTCTCCCTCTCCCACAGGAATCCCTCTCAGCGCTGCAGTCAGAGCCGCAGGATTGCAAATGAAGCGCGCATGCCCCGGGATTGACGGCGCAAATTGATCACAATAATTAAAATAGCCTGCGCTTTGTAAAGTGAAAAAAGTCGTAACATGCAACATTTGTAAAAACAAATGAACATGGCACGCAAGCACCACTGTTATGATGCAGCACCTGAAAAGAAAACATGCTGGAGCCTTCGATGGCAGTGAAGAGAGCTGATGAGCAGGATGAGTAACCATGTTTGTTTGGTTTTAAAGTGGGGAAACGTAACGTTAGTTTCTCAGGTAGCTCATCTGATGCTTTCCTTACCGTGTTAGTAGGTTACAGACAGTGATAAGGTTGGCTACTTATTTTACTTTTAATTTCATTTGAATTAGCTTAAGCAGCGTTTATATTTTCCTTTATAAATAAATTAACTTGCAAATTATGAGGGCAAGGCTTTTAAAGTTTAAATCTTCTGGCAAAGATAAAGTAAAGAAGATCCTGCAATTTATGGAAGTAAAGCAGAATAAAATCCAGCAAGATCAGTAATATGTCAATTAATTATTTGCCACATTCCCATGTAAATATCTGTCTTTGGAGGATGTGTTTTTTTAACACCCCTAGTTCTCTCATTTTTATTCCAAATACAATTTATAATTTGAATCACAGGGCTATTTTTATCTCTATGGTTCAGTATTTTTTCAAGTAGCAACTTTAACTGCTATACTTTCCTGTCTTAAAAGGCAGAACTCTTCTAGTCTAAAAAAAGCTCATTTGTTGAAATGGGGGGGCCTATTGTTTGAACCCCTTAGGGGCTTTTAAAAACAAAAATGTCTATTTTTGCGCTTTATGAAACAAAGTACCCTATATTTCTCATGTAAGTTTGCGTAGTTTTTACAAAAACATTTATTTTTCATATTGCACCAGTACAGTTAATGAGCAACCTGTACTTGTGTGCTTATTTGTTCTGTCTAAAATGTTTATTTTGGAATAAAGAGGTTAATATAAAAAAAAAAAAATTTTCCGATTCATCGATTAATCGAAAAAAATAATCGGCTGATTCATCGATTTTTAAAATAATCGTTAGTTGCAGCCCTAGATTCATGCTGGATTCAGTGTTTCAAAGGAAATTACACAGAAATGCATTGAAAGCAGTTGTAACAGCTGTCTGCATGTGGTCGGAAACTTTAGTTTCTCTTATTTCTTTTTTTTTTTAATATACTTTATGTTTATTGAATGCGTTTCATTTAACAATCACATACAGAACGAAAACCACTGTCGACAAGAAGGGTTACTTACATTCTGATAAATATGAAAAGATACAGGATGAAAACAGATAACAAATTTACATTTCAATCTTTGGATTTTTGAGCAGCTTTTGAAGTGACAGTACAAGTAACCTGAGTTATCAGTTATTGTTTTCTAGAAATCTAGTCCATTTGCTCCATCTCTTTTTATAAAGATCCGACTGCAGTCTCAGCATAAATGTTAACTTTTCCATTTTGTGGGTCTCCTCCACCAGTTCCAGCCAGTTCTTTATTGTTGGTGGGTCAGGTTGTAGCCATTTTCGAGTGATAAGTTTCTTGGCTGTAGCACTGAAGATTTTTAGTAAATATTTGTCACTCATATTCAAACTCTCAGGAACAGCCCCGAGCAATGAGAACATGGTAGGTTGTTGAAATTTAAGATCCAAAATTGTCTCAACCTTCTCCAAAACGTCTTTCCAATAAGACTTGATCTTTATGCAGGACCAGAAAATATTACAGTGATTTGCTTCTTCATCCCCGCATCCTCTCCAGCATTTAGAAGCATTCGGGTTTCCATGAAACCGCTGCTTCGGTGTCCTAAAAAAACGCAGCAAATTTTTCCAACTGAACTCACGCCTAGTTTCTCTTATTTCATATATTAATTTATACTAGAAAATAAACTAGAAAAGTTTTCACTCAGCCTGTTTAACATGCAAGGCCACAAAATTCAATAAAAATCCAGATTTTTTTTCTCAAGGTTTATTCATAACATGTTACTGTTTAACCAAAGTGTCTGTAATTTGACTCTGTCGACTTTCCATTATTGTTAGTAACGTTGCCCAGGCAGAACAGGGCTGATTACTCTGCAATAAGGGCTGTATGATGAACTTTTCTCTCTTTGCAAAGATAAAAATAAAAATAAGCTCAACAATTACATTTCGGTTTATAAACTAAAAAAATGTAAGTGCTCATATCAGCATTAATGCCTCCAACGTTATTTTGTACCAAAGAAAAAACACTAAGAGTGTTTTTCAGGAATTTCTCATAGAAGCACTTTTGTTGTTTTTCTTAATATGTTCAAGCAAGTTGGCGTTTCTTTTTGACATTAATATTTTGCCATCAAAATATCCATATTATTTTAATGTTACAAATGTAATAAAGTCTTGTCCTGGATTCCAATAACACTATTGGCTGGAAATTTTGATTTTCAAAGTATTTTGAGAGTGCCCTGTTATGCAAAACGAGTTTACATCGTCATAGATGAATAATGATAGTTCATTGGGTGGTTAAGTTCAAACCCCATCGACTCCTCCTTTCTCTGCAAATCTCATAATTCTAAACTTCCACCATAAAAAGGGGGAATCTAAACGAAGCCCTGAGTTGACGTGAACTCGGAGATGCTGCCTTACTTGGTTCTTGCCTGTACTTTAGTCACGCCCCGAAATTTATATACAGACCAGTGAGTGAGTGCTTGTTGCCATGATGCATCTTTGCTCTGCAGCTTCGCTCGTTGTAAACCAACCAATCAGAGCACAGCTCATTTAAATATTCATGATCATACCATAAAAGGAAGAAAACCTGTTGTTTCATTCTAGGGCTTTTAACCAGGCTTGCATTAGAGCTCATTGAACAGAAAATATGCCATTTTCAGCCCAAACAATGTTACACACCCTATTCAGAGACCTTTAGGACCAAATACCCTCTATAATCATTCTATGACCCCATTAAGTGTTTTGCTCAGAGACCCAGATTGTCGGCTGTGGGGATCAAACCGGGTACTTGCAACCTTCTCAGAGCACAAGCGCACTGATCTAACCTAATAGGCCAACACTCCAAATGATCAAATATCATTTTTTCCACATTAATTCAAAAAACTGTCCGACTTTTCAGGACAGCAAAGACATCCTTTTCATCAGGTTGTTTTAGAAAACATTTCAGGAACGGGGAATGTTTACCTTTTCATGCCACTGCAGCAGAACTGCGCTGCTGTTCTCTGAGGGCCTCTCAAAGCCTTTGTAGATATATTTCATCAGCAGGTCCACCCCGTTCTTGTCGAGCGATTGCACTGCTTTCTCGATGTCGCTGCTCTTAAAGGCACTGAGCACCTTCAGCACCAGGCCCTCAGCTCGGTCCTGATCGCAGAACATGGACATTAAAAATTCAAAAGTACAACAATAAGATAAATTAATTGAATGAATAGCGACCCACCTTGACGTTCTGATTTTTTGTATTGATAGGTGGGTTCTTCAGTACTGCATGTAACGCCTCAATGAGATTCCCTGTGAATGGAAGGTTAAGGATGCACACACACTCAGCAGGGATCTACAGGAAATATAAAGCTTAAAAACACCAATACCGAGAAATTTATTATAAAAAATAATATTTGAGTTTCCTACATCTTGTGACCTTTCATATTTTAAAGAAGCTGTTGTGGTTTACTGTATGTAAACACAAAATCCTTAAAGGATTCCCAGCCATTTAAATGGGCTCTGGTTGCCCTTCCTTTAAATGTTGAGATGCTATAGCTATGAAAGAAAAAGAAAATATGGGTTTATAGTGTCAACGCTATTTCAGCAACTTCACTGAAATGATTATTATTTTCGATAATAATAGTCATTTAAATCGCAGCAAAGTTAAAAATTAAATCTAAGGCAGCCTGAAGTGATCCGATTTTTTTGGCCCATATGTGACCTGTATCTGATCTTTTCATGAACAACACAGATCCGATTTTTTCTAATGCGACCCAGGCCGCTTGGCTATGTGATCCTGTATCCGATACGAATCTGATCTTTTCAAATGCGACCTGTGTCTGAACGGCCAGGTCGCATTCATCCGACCTGAACGCCATTAATACCCGACAAAGGTCGCTATTCTGGGTCTTGCTATGAAGCAGCAAAAAAAAACAAAGAAAAAAAACAGCAACCATGGCAGACGATGATGCGGAGTTATGATGGTTATGTTTAACCATCTTGAAAAGATTGTGTTTTTATGGTTGGGAAAGATCGCTAGATGCGCCCCGGCACTACCATCCATGTTTACTTCCATAAACACAGAGCACACTGGCCTGTGATGTCATTGTGTCCTTATTGCGCATGTGGGACACTAAGGTTGCATGACTGCAGTTCACAAAGAAGACCACATACAAGTCGCAAATATTTGGAAATGTGAACGGCAAAGCAAAGAATTCGGATTTCACAAGAAAAATCAGAATTGAGCAACAAGGCCTGCAGTGTGAACGTAGCCTATGACTCTGTATCAGCACTTGATCAGCTGTACTGCTGCAATCAATACCTTTGGTTATAGATGATGTATTTGGAATTGTTTTTACTGTGTTTAGTCCTGTTTCCCTACCTATGGGTTCAGCTTTTATTGCGTGTATCTGCTCTCATTCATCCTATTCAACATAAAATCTGGCTCACTCCTAATCTGCTTAACTGCTTTTGTTTTTTTACTGATCAGAGCACCCTATTGAGCTAATGTACTGTTACGTTTCCTAACGGAAAGTATTTATGCATGAATACTTCTAAGTTCCTCTGGTATCTCTGCTTCTGTCTCTTTGAACCCCAGTGGGCCTCAGCAGAAGGCCGCTCTCACCGAGCCTGGTTCTGCTGGAGGTTTCTTCCTCATTTCCTCTCCGCTGTTGCTGCCTGGAAGCTCGGTGTGAGGGATTGCTGAATAGACACACTGCAAGTATCTAATTTCCCCACATGCTCATTCAGAGGAGGTAAATGCTCCAAAGTCAATGACTGGATGCAATAAACTGGTTTTTCTTAGATATAAAACTTTTTAGCAATCTGAAAGAATGAGCTGTTCCAATGGTTTTTGAATTGGTGCAATATAAAAACGAATTGAGATGGTATTTCCAGACCCTCTGATCTATTTAATTTAAGCAATTTTTACAAATAATTAGTATATATTTTTAGTAGTACCTTTAAATTTTTTTTTTTTTATGTAAATCCTTTTAAAAGCCACGCATCCTTTGCCACATTTTGTTGGACTATCACATACAACACACTGAAGTTTATTCTTTTATTGTGGCAAAATAAAAGGAAAAAACGTTCAGGCGCATTTTTCAGGCACCTTAAATGGGGGCCTGTTGAGCCCTGAGCAGCAATCCCTGGAATGTGACTGTCAGGCAAGTCTGGGCAATGATTGGCCTGCTAGCAAAACAACCATCATTCAGGCACCGACACAAATTAAAATACTCATACAGAAAAAAAGAGCGGACAAAATGAAATAATCTAATGTCATGTAAAGGATATTGTCTGATAAGGGCGTCTACTTCCGTCTCGTCAGGACCCAGCTGATTTTCTCCTCCATCCTCTTCGTCCACAAATTTGTTCTCGTCGTATTCATCCACGTCTACTCGCCGAAAGCGTGCCGACACTGTGTTCTTCGACATGTTCGATGCTATTTAAATGTGCAGCTCTAAATCAAAGGGAGACTATTTTGAGCTCAACTCGGCCGTTTAGATCAAATACTTCCCTGTCTGTTTGACGCTGCTGTCATAAAGAGGAAGGCAGGCGGCTCCTGACTGCTTCCTCTGTTTCCCCCTAACGTGTGTGTTCGCATCATCATAGTGTCAGTACTGCCCCCTACCGGCTAAAGCAGGTGGCTCCAAGTAAAAAGTGTGAGACTGTAAATTTGACGCTAGAGGGCGCACAAACTCCAAATATGAAATGAGCAACCGGAACAAGCGATGATGCTTTGATATCTCTCAAAAATGGAATTCAAATAATTGTATTTCTTCTATTTTTTGTGATAGTTATAGGTTACAAATAATAATAATAATAATAGTAATATTAATAATAAATAATAATAATTATTATTATTATGACATGATAATTTTTTTTTTAAGTTATTGCTATAATAAAGATAATGCACTACCTACCCTTATGGCGTTATTTAGGGCTACTCCACTCATTACTAACTAAAAGTAAAGCTATTTTATTATTTATTACTTTATATCTATAAGTTTTTATGATAGAAACAAATGTTGCTATAGTTCTTTCATTGATTATTATTATCTATCCACCATTCAGTGTCTCAGGAAATCATACTATAAAACCGCATAAAATCAATATAAAAATTTAATTATATTATAACAATGTTATCTGAGTTCTGGAAGGTGTGTTAATTTCTATGTGCTGAATGTTTGGTTTTGCCTCCTTAATGAATGCATCAATAGAGTGTTGCATGGAGGCAACTAGGTTGTGTAGCCATTACCAAGTAGCATTTATTCAAATAAGAGTAAAAGATATTTGGCTGAATTGCTACTCAAGTGCTTAATATATAATTTTAATGTCTGAGTTATTTCTTTGATTAGAAATTATACATCTATCCATCCATTTTCCATCACGCTTATCCAGAGATGGGAAGAAACGAAGTACAAATACTTCGTTACTGTACTCAAGTAGATTTTTCTGATATTTTTACTTTACTACTTATTTTTATGGCGACTTTTTACTTCTACTCCTTACATTTTTACACAAATATCTGTACTTTCTACTCCTTACATTTTAAAAAATTGGCTCGTTACTTTAGTGTTGAATCATTTAAATGGAGTCACCGTTATTATTTTTCACGTCATCAATACCAAATTCAATCTAATTGGATGGGAATCTACGTTGCATTTGACGCACCACTACAAGATGAATCGACAGATTCGGCGGTATTCATTGGCGGCAAATCATTGCAGCTTGGTGGCGGTGGCGTTAGCATAGTAGCATGGACGACGAGATGATTGAAAATGAACACAACGGAGATCTAGTCCTATTGGCAGACATCCATTTAAAATGTAGGCAACGGCATGAAAAAAGTGGTTTCTACTTTTACTTTTATACTTTAAGTAAATTTACAAGCCTGTACTTTGTTACTTTTACTTGAGTAAAGACATTTAATCAGTACTTCCACTTTTACCAGAGTATTTTTTAACACAAGTGTCTGTACTTTTACTCAAGTATGGAAAGTGAGTACTTTTGCCATCTCTGCGCTTATCCCAAGCTGGGTCACAAGGGGTGCTGGTCCCTATCTCCACCTATATGGGGGCAAGAGGCAGGATACACTCTGGACAGGTCGCCAGTCCATCGCAGGGCAACACAGAGACATGCAACCATTTATCTAAGTCTAAGTCATTCCAACACACACGCACACCTAAGGAGAATTGAGAGAAGTTAATCTAATAGTCATGTTTTTGGACTGTGGGAGAAAGCTGGAGTACCCGGAGAGAACCCATGCATGCTCAGGGAGAACATTGAAACTCTATGCCGAAAGACCCTGGGCCTGGAATTAAACTCGGAACCTTCTTGTTCTTGAGCAGTCCGATTAGAAATTATAATCAGACTAAAGTATGAAATAATATGCATATTGTGCTATCTTTAAATAATGAAATAGAAATAATGTTTAAAAAAAGCCAACTAACTTCTTTCCAAAATTTGATTATGACGCAAGAAAAAAATCAAAATTCAAATCTTTTTTTTTTTTTTTTTACAACATATCTGTTTAAATTAACATCTGTTATGATGTTTGAAGATAACAAACAACTTCCAGTCGTAAAGGTTTGTGTGAAATTAAATCAACTTGTTCCAAGTGTCACAGCCAGGTCAGCAGATAGAAAATAGTGTTAAAATAAAACAAGCCTCACTTCACCATAAACTGAGTGGGTCTGTGCTTGTTTGGAGTAAAACTTCTTTATATTCTAAAATTTTACCCAAATAAATTTTAGCCCAATACTAACCATTGCATTTTTTTGCTGCAAATATCAGCAATTTAGTAGAACTTCCACTGCAACTTTTACTTATTTTTCTAGCGGTACTCGTTAGTCAGTCAGTCTGTTTGCTCATAATATAATAATATTATCTGTAACAACAGTTATCATAATAATTTTGATGAATAAATCATACTTTACTGCTTCAGCTCTTTCCCTTACTGACCCTAATTTGCCTTTTAGCATCTCATGAAACATTTTCTGCAACTAAAAACCTCCAATATTTGAGCACAGAAGATATTTTACTCTGAGAATTAGTGTAGTGTAGATATTTAAGCTTCAGAAACGGCAAGAAGAGACGCTGACAAACTGAGAGCGGTTTTTACTCCTGCATATTTCTCCTGAGATTAGTAATGTTTTTAGTGTAATAGTATCCAGATGTACTGTATGTGGTACAATGATGAAATTCAAGAGTTCGCTGGAATGTTCCTCTATTTATCTTGCCTGTGTGTGTTTGCTGAGTCATTTTTTTTATGTGACTACTCCATTAGTGTAGATACAGTGGAAGTTTTTAAATGTCTTATTCAAGCACCAGTGCACATGACCACTGGACAACATGATCTCACATTTCATATGATTCACGTTTTCTCCTTGAAGACGTTTTTTTCACTCTGTCGGCTGTTGTCGAACTCTAAGCAAACATTAGTTTAACTGTAATAATAAATGTCCAAAAACCTTTGCCACCTTTAGAAATCTGTGATGTTACTAGGGAAATCGAAACACTCAGGCTTCTTCTGGGAAGAGGAAGAGGGACACACCTTTGCTTTAATCATGTTTTATTGTTTAAGGGTGGAATTTTAATTACCTATCCTCCCTGTCTCGACTGCTGACCCTTTGCCTCAGGAGAAAAAATTTTGTAAGCTGTTTTTTTTTTCTCTGTTTCATAGTATGAGGAGTGTTACTCTCTTGACTTTTCTACAGAAGAATAAGTTGCAAAGTAAAGCTGGGAATTTCTAGAGCATTTCATTTATCTCTTTCATTCAAGCGCGCTGATCATTCATTGCAGCCCAGTGTGTAAGCACAGTCATGCACAAACCCTTTCCTCCCCTCCACTCCCTGCCAGTGCACCACTTAGCGTGCACTGGTCCCGAGTGTCCTCACTCTGGGCTATGTGCAGTGCCCCAACCTGTCTGCACTGTGAAAATGACTCAGAACATCAGAAGGTGAGAATGAAAGCACACCTTTTTGGTATGCATAGAGAATAAATAAAGCTTTGAAATAATGATATTTCTGTCTAATCTTTCCCCTATTATCTGAAAATCTGCTTTAAGACCACCCTGTGGCTGAACGTATCTGAAGGTGACAGGTGCTTCCATGTCAGTGTTTGGTCTGGCTCAGATGATACAATCATTCCTAATCACTTAATTAGTACTCTCACACGAGGGGAATGTCCCTCCTGAGTGATGACTTAATTGGGGAATGTAATGATTTCATGATTGCTGTGTTGGAGCAGGCCCTCCATTCAGTGGAAGCAGCGGCCGGATCCCGAGCAATCCGTAATCAGAAGGAACTCTCCAGTTATTTAAATCCATGTTACTTTTATTCTTGAAAGTGATGGAACAAGTGTGTTATTTAACTGTTTTACTCACTATCAGCCTATATACACTGCAAAAAACATCTAGAAATAAGTAAAAAATGTCTTAAATTAAGTGTATTTACCCTTTATTTGAGCAGATAAATAAGAGGATCTGCCAATGGAATGAGTATTTTTACTCCTAAAATAAGATAATTAGAAAATATACACTTGAAATAAGATAAAGCAATTGTTCTTTTCTTAGTTTAGATTAAAATTGTCTTGTTCCATTAGCAAAATGTCTCACTTACATCCTCAATTCAAGAAAAAATGCACTTAATTTGAGCAAAAATTACTTATTTAGATTTCCATTTTTTGCAGTGTATGAATGACCTCTATAGGCAGCTAAACTTGTGTAGCCATGGCTGCATGGTTGGAGATGTAATTATAATCTTTAGTCCAAGTTCAGCTGGTCTTCAGAAGCTGCTTAATGTCTGTTCAGCATATGGTGAGCTTCATGACGTCAAATTCAATCCTTCATAAAGTATCATTATGATCTGTCGCACTAAAGAGGACAAAAACATAATATTTCCCAATTTTAAACTATCTGGTATTTTATTGAACGTCTCAAATGAAGTCAAATATCTTGGTCATTTGTTGACATTTACCGTCAGGTCCGAATGATATACGCTCAGGCAAATATCCTTGTCCGGAAGTTTGGATTCTGTTCTGACGAAGTGAAACGGAACTTGTTCAGATCATATTGCACATCGCTGTAAACGGCACATTTGTGGTGCAACTTTAAAAAAGCCAGTCTTCATAAGTTGAAGATGGCTTATAATCAAATATAGTGCAGTTAAATATTCATCTTTTCTTTGGAGACATTGGTATAATTGCCTCCTGAAGGGGTAGGAACCTTCTCTGTTGTGCTTTTATTCTTTTTTTATTCTTAGTGTATCTGTTTCTTTTAATGTATATTGGACCTTGAGTCTGCAATAAAATCAATCTAATCTATATTTATTAAATATATATTTATTTATATCACTTATTTGCAAAATAGCACAGGGGTTAGATTGGATTTAAAATTTAAGTTTGACTGTTTTCTTATGATCTTGTCCTGCATCTTTTGCAGTCCCTCTTTTTCTTTGTCCATTTTCCAGTCTCCCTGTTCCTGCTAAAAGGAATTGCTTCCCCACCATGATGCTCCCACCCCTGTACTATTGTAATTTTATCTCTACACACACACAACTTTGCATGGATCCC